GTGTACATATTTCATCTCTCAAGTAGGAAGGGTAACTACGAATGGATAGTCAGTATCATAATATCGATCACTGAGAGTATTGGTATACATGCGACAATTCCACCGATAGCTTTGAAGGGTTGTTTTTGTACAAATTGATTTTTTTACTAATAGTTCAAAGATGATCAAACATTGTATATTAGGCTACAATTTACGATGACACTCATCAGTAATTGCACAGGAACAATGTCTCCGTTCACATGGTTACGTATTATAACTTTACGTTTGCTTATTTTGTTTATTTGGGGGTTTGGCGTTCAAATCAATATTCTAGCTAAATGACGGTGCGCTGTTTGTTTGTTGTTTAACGCCGCACTCAATAATATTCCAGCTATATGGCAGCGGTCTGTAAATAATTGAGTCTGGACCAGACAACCCAGTGATCAACAGCATGAGCATCATTCTACCCAATTGGGATACGATGACATGTGTCAACCAAGTCAGTGAGCCTGACCTCCCGATCCCGTTAGTCGCCTCTTGACGGTGGACTGTAAATGATTCAGTCTGGACTAGACAATCCAGTGTTTGATGCAGTGAGGAACGATCGGAATACGACGACACGCCTTCACCAACGTCTCCGAGCCAGACTATCTGAGCCATGTGATGGGTCCTGGCGACCAGCACAGTTTGCTGAGGAACAATTCCGTTCACCAGGAATCACTCGCTTACACCACTGTAGGACACTGCCTGAACAATGGGCGTCCATATCAATCAAACCAGAGTTTAAGGTGACATTCATCAGTAATTACACTTATAGGCTGTGTTAGTTTACAAAGGTTACGGATTAAAAATATAAGTTTGCTTTTTGTTTGTTTGTTGTTGTTTATTAAAGATTCCACTGGTAGACACGGGGTTGGTCGCATAAGCAATAATTACATATTAAACCCTCTAAGTCGATTCTAAAAAGTAGGAGGTTGTAACTGACTGGTTTTATTCCACCAAGAAGATTATGGCTTAATGGCTATGATATTTCATGAGTAATGTAACGATGAGAAATTATTAATTTTATTTACAATATAAAAGTTTGGTAGTTTACAAGCTCCAGGTATTTGTCGTTCTTGCCCGTAGTATGACACCATATGACATATGAGTGTGTGTGTGAGAGAGAGAGAGAGAGAGAGAGAGAGAGAGAGAGAGAGAGAGAGAGAGAGAGAGAGAGAGAGAGAGAGAGAGAGAGAGAGAGAGAGAGAGAGAGAGAGAGAGAGAGAGAGAGAGAGAGAGAGAGAGAGAGAGAGAGAGACCTACAATATCTGCGATTGATCAATTCTGCTCCCTCCGACTCTAAGACTTCTTTTTCGGCCTGTTGTTTACCAGTGTAGAAATTGTCCGATAATGTATATTAATACAGCCCTTCAAATCTCAAGTTCCACTTACATTGTCATTCAGCGCAGCGTTCCCCTGCTTTGGATTCTATAAATATCACCTCTTGTATAATTTATTATGATCACTGTTCGTGATTGAACTGTGGATATGTAGCTTGAAATGATTTCAGTTTAATTACATGTATGTATGTCAATTTGAATGTCAATAAATAACAATAATAGCTTTGTCGGTGTTATTATAGTTCTTGAAAATATATTCATTACTCTTTGTTTTTGGAATTCGATATTGCAATAGTAGCTTTTAACCTTGTAAAACCAAACCCAAACCACAGTTGCGGGTGATTTTTGTTACCTATTTCCAAGCTCTATTTGAAAGCACACTAAACAATGATAAACACGTAAAGGCAATATACCGTATACTACCTTGTGTTCAGCTTCCGTGGTTCAGTGGATGGTGTGAGTGAGTGAGTGAGTTTAGTTTTACGCCGCATTCAGCAATATTCCAGCTATATGGCGGCGGTCTGTAAATAATCAAGTCTGGACAAGACAATCCAGTGATCAACAGCATGAGCATCGATCAGCGCAATTGGGGGTTCGACACGTCTCTAGGTAATACCAACAACGCTAAGATGTGGCACTTGTTGTTGCACTGCCTGGTGCTAGGTATTAAGGGGACGAAAACAAGGACCGGTTGGCTCTGTATACTGTGTCTGAGTGGGGTTTCTAACAAAACACGTGGCATGTTATTTCAGTTATGTAGCGCAATAGAACTGGCATCCGTACAGGACTGATGCACACGCACACGCGCACATACACGCGTCACTAAGTAATTTAAATAATCCAAAACCGTAGTTTAACTTCAGTTTATCTCACCTACCTTGTGATTGATGTCAACAGAAAACAAACACCACCATTTCCATCCGTCATACTACACACGAATTAACACGTTTCTACTTAAAAGTCATTTCATTAATGTTAACATAATCGATCCATTGTCTTATCAGCGTTTCTTTATAACAAAAGCCGTATTTGCACATTTCTTGAACGTTTGTTTATGGCAGATGGTTTATGGACTTAGATCCCTTTGTGAAATCTGACTCCCGCCCTGGAAGGGAGCTGAATGGTTTTGCACCGTGTGTGACAGAGTGTTTATGTTAATGGAGTTTTTTTAATGCAAAATGGTAAAACTGCTTAAATAAATAATCAGTCAGTACTATCGATCCCTCCAAAATAATTCACAAGCGTAACGTCATTCGTTTGATGCTGGCTACCTGGAGGCAGGTTATTGCCATTGTTGCAGCTATGCATGTGCGCTCGCTCATCCTTTACTGAATCCGATCACATCCGATAAGAATCAGCCATCACTATCAGTCTGATGGAATACCCCGTCTCTTATCTAACCAAGCTGAGACGAACGCCGGGGGAGTGCCTACACGTCCCTGAAGTGAAACAGTGTGTAACTGTTACAGCTCCATGGCAACCGTGTTTATTTTTGTTACTTGTCAGTAACTTAGAAATATTTCAGCTACATGCTGGCGATATGTAAATAGACGAGTCCAGACAATCCAGTGGTTGATATCATGACCATTGATGTATAATATACTCATGGAAAAAAGTATCGCAACATCACATACTTTTTTCAACATGTTACCATTGACCATAACAAAGACTCTTATCCAAACCTCAATTTAACATAATATGTGGATATATTGGCTATCAAGGAATAATTCAGTGGCAATCTTAACGCATAAAGATGAACACATGTAGTGTATTTGGAGAAGCAAGCATGGCCAAAAATGGCTCATTTTGTATTGCTGAGACTTTAGTCGTATAGTTCGGTCACTTTCAAAATTCAGGCATACACTCAAAACTCAAGCAAGAATCACTAACTGAGGACAATGCCAATAGCTGGTGTTTTGTCCTGAAAGATCTCACTTGCGTATAATGTCCCCAACAGGGGACTGAGATCTGGACTCCTGGCAGGCCAAGGTAGGGTTTCTAATTTTGTTTTTCGTCCAAAGTCGCCTAGCTCTATACCCAATCGATTTTAGGCGATTTTGAGAAGTGCTGTATCCTCCGTAGGACACTGACGGCCCTTAACGTCATTAGTTTGCTTACGTTTTCTAAGCCAATCGCCTAGTAGTCGATATGTGACAACAAACATCTCTTGCAACAGCCCCAAATGACGTTCCAACATCACGCATACCAATTACCTCCCATCCTTGAGCAGTTGTCAGTTGAAGAGGCCCCATATTTGCTTATCAACAACGAAATCAATTCATTTTCCAAGTTATCGAGCTGTAAACTTGCTGAAACTTGAAATTTGCTTAATGACGGTACACGTATTGCACGTCATGCCGCTGTTGACATACATGCACCACAGAGGAATCAAGCACCGTGGCACCTTGAGTGCTCGGGGTTGTTTTAACTCTGTTGGACCCCACATCAAGCGGATATGTAAACAATGTTCCCCCGTCCTCTTTTTGACGTGCGACTGCCTCCCAACACATCCCCACAATCACGACTTTATTATGTGTACATCATTCACTACATATCCATATTGCCAGAAGATTCGGGTAAGAATTGGTCTTAAGCAACCGATGCTTATCGTACGAGGCGACTAACGGGATTGGGTGGTCAGGCTCGCTGTTAATTGGTTGACACATGTCATCGTATCCCAGATGTTCATGCTGTTGATCACTGGATTGGCTGGTCCAGACGCCATTGCTTACAGACCGCTGCCATATAGCTGGAATACTGCGGAGTGAGGCGTTAAACAACAAAGGAACCTATTGTCAGGTCATGTTCCTGGGCCGTCAGTACTGTGTTCGTAGACGTCAGCTAACTGGTGGACGTCTAAGACCTGTATCCGTTCCGGATTTCCTCCCACATTACCTGCATGCTGTTTAAAGAAACGTTGAACCAAACTCGCTCACCAAAGTTGTATATCCAGTCATCTATCCGAATGTTTTCATTCATTAAATCACTCGATCCTCTCTTCATCTGTATACGCGATCGTATAACCCTCCATCTATCCATATGTGAGGTGACGTGAAATTGGGTTTAACGTCGTGCTTGAGAATATTTCGCTCATATGACGACGTGCATGCGTGTGTATGTGTATGTGCGGCTGCTTGTACTAGCCCAGCTGGTTTTATAGTGCTAGCCCACTGAGATACAATGCCGCAGTGAAGCATGAATACCCCACTCAGACACATTATACTGACTCTGAGCTGACCAGTCCTTGTTGTACCCATTAATGCCGAGCGCCTGGCAGGGACCAACAAGTACCATATTTTAACATCGACGTCTTTTGGTATGACGCGGTCGGGGATCGAACCCGCGACCTTCCGCTCTCCGGGCGGACGCTCTAACCACTACACCACCGAGGCGGTTCTATCCATATGTAATTATTTCTTGATACATGAATATATGTTTACAAATGTCGATATCATCAACTACGCTATAGAACCCAAGTATAAACCGAACTCACAACAGTCAACACATTTCTCCAGATGTCAATCACAGATTCGCATTCGCATAACGGCTTGAGTATTTTACTCCTTCTCGACAACGGTAGTTCAGTCCATTCAGTGTGCAAGCTGTCGTGTAGCATTATAAGGTGGGAACTACACACAATGAGCTACATAGGCATGTCCAAGCTGTGCAGATAGATCGATGGATCTGCATTATTTGCTGAAAACAACGTCATGGTCACTTCTTCAAACTGACTTCCGGATCCAGCACGCCACATCACCAGGTGAGACGGTAGCTAACTGGTACAGACATACATCACTTAGCATTTCATAGTGATATAAATGGAAATGGTAGATTGGAGTTGATGTGGGGAGGAACTGACGCATAGTAAGCTTCATTTTGAGTTTTAGTTCAAACAGCGATTGTTGTTGGTGTTGGGACGCTGAATCGGAAAAGGAAATACTTAACTTCAGTTCTCTCCTCAAAGCACAACAAAGTGAGTCCCAAAGTTCACTTAGTTCAATCAGTCTGATTTATACTGCTATCAGAAAACTTAATATTTAGTTTTGCTTTAGTTTAGTTTTGAAATGAGGCTTAACGTGTGTCAGATCCAGCAAAAATTCCTACAGCTTCATCTTCAAACAGCCAGTCCACTGAATCTCCCATGTGGACACTCAGAATACCCCTATCAAATATTGACTAGTATATAATATCCTAACACATGATAGTTTGGTGTTGTGGGTTGCCCGGTAGCACTCACAGTCCCGTTACATATGTCTGGGTTCTTGTACCGGATGCAGGGTGTGGGACTACGTATTTCTGTTACATGTATCAATGATTGTTATATTAGTGGTTGTGTGTCACACAGAACTACGTATTCCAGTTACAGATATCTAGGTTTGTTGTATAAAATGCTAGGTGTGGATCTACGTTTTTCCGACACTTATAATTATGTAACGGGTTCTTGTATTACTTGCAGTATGTGGAACAACGTATTGTTTGTGGTGGCAATCTCCCGGGAGCTGGCAGCAGCAGGGCAACAGGCACCTTCCAGAAGCCTGGACGGGAAGTCCTTATCCGCAGAGGATGCATGTAAGGACGCTCACAGATTGAAGCAGCAGGATCTTCACAAGGAAGACCAACAAGTGATTCTTCTCAACGGAGATTTCAGTCTCTCTTTGAACGGTTTAAGGGAGATCAGTTACGAATGTTGGTTCCAAGTGATAAGCTCAGACCATCTAGTAGCCACACCTGAGCAGGTGTTTAACGCAGCACTCAGTTGGGCTGCGGCAGAATGTGAGAGAAGGTCCATGGAACCATCCCCTGCAAATATGCGTGCTGTTCTGGATAGATCTTTGTATGAAATCAGATTTGCCGAAATGAACCACTCATTTCTTCTCAAAAGCGTGTTTCCTTCAAAGGTGCTGACACACGTTGAGCAGATGGTTGTGCACGATTTGGTTGGATGTGAAAGAAGTATCTTCCCTGTCCAAGATAGACGTGATCCCCTAATGGATGTTTTCCTCTACAAATCTCACAGACAACCTGAGATTTATCTCTGTCCGCCTTATGACGGGGCTGATGGGGAGACATGGGAAAGTACGGAGTTCAATACAGATGACAGGACATTTGAGAGCAGTGAGGATGTGTGGATGTATGGTATATACACATTCGGGACTTTCGAGAAAGGGAGGCAACCTCGGGAATACATCATATGGATACGCACGACTGGTGGGGAAACCCTTATGTGGGAAAGCCTCTTGGCAACCAACACTTCAAGAAACCCTTACTCAGATACGATATCCGAGTTGTACTTTGATAGTCCAATCAGACTACAAAAGCATGTGACACATAATATCGATATTACGTTGATGAGCAAGGAGGTACCTGAATTTTGTGGTGAGGGTCTTAATTACGAAGCAAACATTGGACGATTTGAATTTAAACTAATGTTCCAAGCGAAATCCCAGGGTTGTTTTCAAGTTGCAGGGTATATTTTAGGTAAAAGTAAATCTTCAGGTTTCGGTTGCAACTGATCATATGACGCTGGGTTACAAAATTCACAGACCGCCACCAACAACTAATTATGGTACTTGTTGTTAGCTATTTTAGTGCTCGACATTAACCGGAGCAAACAAGGACCGAAGTCATAATACTTTCCGAATGCGATATCCATGTTATATAGCTGAATAGGGTGTTAATACTGTTAAACAAGCAGCCACACACACACGTGTCGCTACACAAGTGAGAATCTTTAACGCTACCTTAAACCCCATTTTACCTCATCTCGAGAATTCACAAACAGGGCCCGCCATATAGCTGGAATATTGCTGAGTGCGGCGTAAAACTAAACTCACTCACAAACAGGGATTCATGTGGATTCCATGCTTCGCCTTTCTTATATTCTGGGCGCCATTGCATTCTTCTGCCGCTCCATTATCCGCGGCTTGGGATCACAGATTCACACAGGATTATGATCCTTGGTCTGTCACCATCACTCACTTTGTACTTGTGAAATATTCCCAGGCGCACAATATAATGTCGCTGTGTCTGTTTTATTATTAAATCGTGTTTCTACACCAGTGAATGGTCATCATAAAACTGTAAATTGTGCTTTAAATCCCAAATACAAACCTATGCCCTTTCCTTGCCTCTGCGTGTGTTTGTGACAGGTGCTATATAAGAGGGGCGGAATCGCTCACCTTATTGCGATCAGCTGGTATCATTAATATTTGATAGTGATTCATAAACACACAGTGAGGGTAAAGTCGGAATCGCACACTCGCAGCGTGAATGTGCGGTTGTTGAATACTGTTACGTGTTCATTATATAATGTAAAGGCGTCATTGAAACCGAATAGCTATAAACATTAACTCTTTAGTAGTCAAACGCATACCCAGTTCAATTTGCAGTATGTACATCGAGTGCAGATAGGGATGGTTTATGGCATCACTTTGATGTTTCATGGAAGTTGTTGCATGCGTGACTAACCTTGTGTGACTGCGAGCATTTGTAAAGCTCCACTGTGTAAGCAGTTACAGCGCCCCTGGTGTAGGCGTCACCACTGTACATTCAATAGCACACAGAGAAACAATCTGATTATCAAGAGGTTCCAGAGATAACATCTACTTGATGAAGCGTTCAGCTGCCGCCTGTATGAAGGAGTGACTAGTTTATTAGATATCGCGCGGGTTTTACTTTTAGCATGCCTATCGCTTAGTCTTGGGAATTACAGAGGCCCAGATAAGCTGCGTATCCGGGTAAAATACGCATAGAAAATTTCCAATTACGCAGTGAAAAATAATTGTTGCGTACCAATTACGCATTTAAAGTGTTATATACGCAAAAAGTTTAAAACAAATGCGTACGGAATATATTTATAAAAATCGCTTGCGTAATGAAAAAGACATCGATTGCTATCAAGTTGTACTGTTAGTATAGGACAAGTGTTGTACTGTCAGTATAGGATGAGTGATTTTTTATGAAATCATTTCCATTATATTTAAGTTGGTTTTGATTAGGTATGACATGAGGCAGAACATACCTGCTTAGTAAACTTACTCAGTCACATAATACTTAGGTAAGTATAAAATGACTGAAATACGCACATATTTGAAAGCAGTGGGTAACGGAAAATGAAATACCCACTCAACATTCATAATACCCACTCCAAACAAATACAGTGGGTACAGTACCCACATCAGCTAAGTCTTATCTGGAGCTCTGCCGGAATATATGTAATTTTGATAGAAACAAACACTTCCTTTTCAAACAAAAATGAGTCACATTGAGGAGGAGATTCCGAACCTAAGGAAATCTAGGTTTGCTTCATTCAGGGCTTCAGTAATGCAGAAATGATTCGGTTGAACGGAAAATGATGCGGTTCATGGACTGAGAGACAGATTATTAGCATGATTACGATCATGTTTAGAAACAGGGTGTCAAGAAATGAAAGGCTTGCAACATCAGTATAGACCACTCTTAATGAGGCCTCATGAATATTCATATCTGTACCAAAACGAGGCTAAATTGGGCAAGGAAAGCAATCGCATAATGGCGACAAATCTCAATGTATACTTCCTGGTTTCAAATTTCCCTTGAACGGTACATTACGAAACTGTCCAGTAGTTCAGGGAAATCGCAGAGAAATGGGAAAGGGCTACAAAAATGTTTCTGTAGCATATCCACGGATTGAAGGGTGAATAATTACTGTACTTCACGACACACCACGATAAGTCATATGACCTAGATATCTAGGTTAACGTTTACCATGGTGTGCAGCATTTATGAAGGGAAGCTACTCTAAAGTCACAATAGTGGAAATATTACCAAGGGAAGTCAATTACGTTTACTTTATCAACATAAACAACGTATTTCCTGACCTGGATTCAAATCATCCGCTTCCACATGGGAGTAGATCTAGTGTTGTTAATTCTTGAGCTGGATAATCGAGATTATAAGTAATATGTAGATCAAGATAGCTCTCCTCGAGTGGATCTGGACCAAACAAAATTGTATTATTCATGTGATGAAATTATTTGTTTGGTATTTTTTCTGTTTAAAATGTTTTGTCCTATCGACTCTTGTTTTATAGATATAGGGTATTTATTCACGAATTTATTTCAGTTGTACCTACTGGTGATGGCGATGTGCGTGTAGCTGCATGTTACAATCGCAGAGGAAAAACGAATCGCCACATCATCATGTAGAAACTAGTTATTTCAATCAACATGAGTGGGACACAATGTGCAAGACAAAACTGGATGATTTTTTTCAAGTTCTTTCTTGACTGATTGGGAGGTGAATAATTATTTTACCTAAATGGACTTATGGTACCTGCATGGGGAATATTTGAACCAATTTTCAATACTGTGTTACTATACCATAACATTGATTTATTGTAGATCAGGTGTATTTATTCTGTACCACTGTAACTGAAGACCTTTTTAAGGAGAACATATTATCAGATTAACATAACAGGATTCACACTACAGCAAACAATTAACCTAAATAAATAACGAACACATGGAGTGAAGTTAATAAATATTTATTCTGAAATGGTGTCTTCAAAGTCCAATAACAATAGACACATTCACAATAGCTTCCAACTGTAACACTGATGAATAACAATAACATTTTCAGAGGATGCAAATTGAAAATATATTGGGTGCAATATTTTTGTTGATAGAAATATCTTTTTAGATTAGTCTGACATGAATGGCAACAATTACAGCTGGATCAATTCATAATTTATCATAGTTTTCTCCCCTTACACATTATCATAATCTCTTACCTGGTTTTTCTGGTTCCCATTGAACTCTTTTCAAACAGGATGAAATACATTCTTTTTCATCAATTATTAATGAATTGAACAGCAGCAAATGAGTTACATCTACAACTATGCCATTATGAAATACCTTTCTTTTATTCAGTTAAATCCATCAATGTGTATGTATTACAGCTGTCTCTTTTTTCATCCATCATTTACACAACACAAAAGCATGAAACAATTTCATTTACATTCATGTCTGTCAATTCTTGTGCTGTTTGGGCAAGGTACTTCACAAAACCTGGGAAGATATTCAACAAATGAAAAAGTTCCAGCTAATCAGTGCCAATGTTTGAAATGATGGAATACTGTAAAATGTTCAATCATTTTTTATCATCATACATGAATTTACAAACTCCAAACTTTTCAAGTTCAAGTTTTCTGTTCAATTTTACTATTTTGTCAACCTTTTCCTTGAGTTGCCTCTCCTGTTCATGTAATTTTGATGGAGTTGTTCAATGTTGGACTGGGGGTCAGTGGCTGCTGTATCACTCTCTGCTTCACTGTAATATAAGCATTGTAAAGCATCACTATTATCTCTTTGACCACACAAACAATAAATATATCTCAGGAATTACAAATATACATCAAGGAGTAGAGGCTAACATCATTTCATATTTTAGACAGTATGGGCAATCAATATTTTTATATGTAAATAACATAGCATCTGTGGAATTACAAATATACATCAAGGAATAGAGGCTAACACCATTTCATATTTTAGACAGTATGGGCAATCAATATTTTTATATGTAAATAACATAGCATAATAAAGTTCAGTTGTATTAAATTCTTTAAAACCATGTCAGTTGGCAAAATTAACTTAATACGATCTGACATTCTTACTGTATCTGAGATGGTGACTGTGGTAGCTTCCTTATGGGAGGTTCCTGAGCTGGTGACATGCTCTCTGACTCTTAATTAGCAGCATCTGAAATGGATATTTAAACACTAAATATATTTCAGTTGTTGTAATTAGATTGTCCAGTAATATGTCCTGTATCCCTGAAGTACTGGTCAGTATGCAGTAATTTTGAAAGTACATATTTAAGATTTTTTTTAACAGCATGTGTGTGTCCTGCATATACATGTACTTGAAATGTTACTTTGATTTGCAGCCAATCTAATTTCACTGATACAGAATATTTGCAAATAAAATTCCCTTGCCATCATGACAAGAGTGTCTCCATATGTCCATATGCTATAAAAAAATAATATAATGGACCGTTCATAATTTATGACAAGAGGGGGTGATGATGATTTTAGGTGCGGTGTTTGTGGGGGTTGGGGTGTCTCCCAGTTTGTTTTGGGAGGCAGGGGGAGGGGTCAATTGTGTACATATGAACTAGGGGGGTGGTCACTGATTTTGAACATGACAATGTGTGTGTGTGTGTGTGTGTGTGTGTGTGTGTGTGTGTGTGTGTGTGTGTGAATGTGACATTCACATTGTACATGTGCCCCTAATATTAAAACCTTGCATAGTGAACAGTTTGTACATTTCACGGCAGATCTCTAGACTATGCCATGTGTAGTAATTATTTTGTACTTACATTTTCCAGGATCTCTCCGTATTTTCGTCAACCACTGCCTTCTTATGATCTTATTCTTGGGAATATGGTGAAAAGATACCGTAAAATCCGGGCATCACTCCAACGCAAAGGCACACAGCAGTAATCTTTCCTTTTCGAGGTCGCCATTTTCAAGGTTTGGTCAACCTATTTAAGCCTCGCTTTCGATTTGACCTCGAGGTCATGCATATTGGCTAAGAATGGTCTATAAGGTAATACTTTGGGACGTATTCTTCACACTTTCTTGAACAAGGTCTGGATTCATGAAAACCACCCTTTTGCAAATATTCTACAGTGTCAATAAAGGTTGTTGAAAAGACATGTCAATGAAAGTCGGATAAATGTTTATCATCCAAAACTGTGTTCCACAGGAGATATCGCTTGTGTGAGATCAGACGATATCTCCTAGGAGATATCATTTTGACAGTAGATTTTGCACAATGCCCTGACAATGCTATGACGTCATGAACTTGATGACGTCACAATGCTATGACATCGCTGCACTGCTAATCTAATGGCAGTACTGTGTTCAGAGATGTACATTTTTCATTGAAAACTAATGAAGAGTGATTTTGGATGATAAATAGAATCTCACCCTCGTGTCTTCTGATATCAAATATATCAACACTCGTTGATAAAAGTAAAAATATCCTCGGCAAGCCTCGGATATTTGTTACTTTATCAACTCGTGGTGATATATTTGATATCAAAAGACACTCGGGTGAGATTCTCTATATATCAGACATCTCAGCCACCTACGTTTTCGCAACGTTGTGGGAAGGTTGTAGATTGGTAACGTCATGACACAACGTTGTCAAAACGTCATTTTATATCGTTATGTCACAACGTTATAACAACGTTGCAATTTACGTTGAGGAAACGTTATGCGTTGGGCTCCTCGCAACGTTATGACAACGTTTCTTATAACTTTGAGTTTTCTGTAAACGTTTCACTTTGAGATTCTTTCTTCCCTATTCTACAGCTTCAGGTAACACACGACCAAGCAGCATGCAAAAGTTAATTTCTGCTTTGTTTCATATATACTGTTCCCTAATGGGAAAACTATTCAACTATCTCCCCCGCCGTGATACTGCTGGAATATTGCTAAAAGCGGCGTTAAGCCATACTCAGTCAGTCGTCAGTAAGTTAAATAAAACTTTGACACAGCGTAAAATACGTTAGCATCAAATAACTTTAACCTTGTGGCGACGTAAAAATGACGTATCACAACGTCAGGCCACAACGTCGTGACAACGTAAATGGGAGTCCACAGAATAACGTTGTAACAACGAAAGCATAACGTTGTGACAACGTTGTTAATAACGGATATATAGTAATGCTGCTTTTAATTCCAAATTAAAGCGTGTTCTAAAATGGATCACCTGTTTCGATGTTTATGGCCATGACGTCCTCTCATTTACAAGAATTATAAAGTATAAAATGTCAGCGACAGAGAATACCAATAGGTAGTGGTCACTGGAAATCAGTGATTTGCGATCTGCGCAACTGGGAACCGATGACATGTGTCAACCAAGTCAGCGAGCCGATCCCATCCCGTTAGTCGCCTCTTCCGACAAGCATGGGTTACTGAAGATCAATATTATAACCCGTACCTTCACGGGTGGTAAGGTCACCATAATACTTCAGATTAAGACACAATGAAATTAAACTTCTATACTAAAGATACATAGGACATGGTAATAATTCTATTCCTCGACATCTATTTTACAACCAGGCCAAGTACGTCGCTTCCCCGGGGACACGTTTGCTTAGGGGTTTCAACGAATAATTGCTATCAATATCAGTGCACTCATTAATACGAGATTTCAAATCAGACTGAAGTATGAGTGTTAACCCTGCGATACTTTATGATATTCTACTGGTTTTAATGTCGGACCATACGACGAAGTCGGCTTCTCATTATGCGCTAAATTGTTACTTTCATATCTACCTTGTACATTACATGCTCGTCCATTAACGGTATCGTATACTTTTTTTAACACGTGGAATATTTACAAACAGAATGACAGTATGTTTTTTCTCCATATCCTGTATAGAAGATCATAGATTGTTCTTTGGGGAATACAAACGTTTGCGGACAATATTCTAATCTCGATTTATTTAATTCCAGTCAAAAACCTGTTTACCACTACTAATGGACTTTTAGATACATAACAAAAGATGTCATATTTGCGTATGCATGAAGACACAGCAAATATTAACTCATCCCTGCACTTAACCACGTCAAGGATATGAAGCGACTGTGTTGTCAAGGTAAACGACTTCGCCATTGCTCTAATGCAGGTGTCTGGAAATATCGATGTTGATAAAAAAGCTCTCTGATTATTTTCGTCACTGTACTTCAATGCCTTCATACATTATTCATGAATTTCAGAGAAAGTAATTGATGATTGAAGATTCGTATGAGGTATTTGAAGGAGTGAGTTTGGTTTTACGCCGCTTTTAGCAATATTCCAGCAATATCACGGGGGACACCAGAAACGGGCTTCACACATTGTACCCATGTGGGGAATCGAACCCGGGTCTTCAGCGTGACAGGCGAACGCCTTAACCACTAGGCTACCCTGCCGGCCCCCTTTTTTTGGAAGGAGAGCTTATGTTGTACACACTCGTGGAGGTTTCATCCTGTTAGCGGCACTACTCCAGTTATCAGGTTTCATGTTTCGCACTGCCATGTGTCTTTGACCTGCATCAGTTATTCTTCACATCTGATGCCATCTTGAAAAGTCTTTATAAAGAGCAAATTCAGAAGCTCCCCAAAAGGCACTTTCCTTTTAAATGACACACGTGAAGATCCAGGTTAGAATTGATCTTCAGTAACCCATGCTCGTCGTAAGAGGTGACTAACGGGATCGGGTGGTCAGGCTCGCTGACTTGGCTGATACATGTCATCGTGTCCCAATTGCGTAGATCGATGCTCATGCTGTTTATCACTGGATTGTCTGGTCCAGACTCCATTATTTACAGACCACCGCCATATAGCTGGGATATTGCTGAGTGAGGCGTAAAACTAAACTCATTCACTCACTCACTTTTAAATAACAAGCACCGATGAAGGTAATAGAAATATCCGCTAAATATTGATTGCTTTGGAATAGAATCTCCAATGGTATCATCTTTATGTGAGTGCACCTTAAACTTCATTAACAATAACATATAGATGCTTGATGGGCATTAGAAGTTGGGAGGTAACACAGCAACGTATGTCATGGATTTACAACTCCTTAAATATATACAGCACGAAGTTTCTGGGCTACTTCTCAGGCTACACCACCTGATGAAGGGGCAAGAAGTAGCACAGAAACGTCGTGTTGTAAATATCAAAAAAGTTGTAAATCCATAACATACGTTGTTGAATAACATATAGTCCACATACTTCAACGAAGCGAGAAGTATCCACTGAATAAGGGATGAAGGATTGACACTGACGGTGTTGTTGGAAACTGCACAGACTTACAGTCCGTTTGATTTCATTTGAGACCGATGAATTGCTCACTAACACAAAATCTAATAAATGCAACAAAACCAAATCGCATGAAATCGACAGACCTACTCTGATGATTTATCTCATAATTCTTGCCACTGGAATAATGCTAGCTGCTTACAAACGTTGTTTAACAGACAGTCATCTCATTAAGGGGTGGGGGTGGGGGACTTGCTGGTAGAACAGCCAGGTGTGCGAGTTGCATGTGTGAAATTGTTGATTGCTCACTAAATACAATAAAGAAGGCATGTGTCTTGACCCAGTCAAATGTGACAAGGATGTACTTACCCATACTGTGGAAGATTAAAATCCAGTGATATTCAGAATCAGTTATCTGAACCAGGTGGTGCAACAAAAGACCCATTAACACGCACATATGCTTCGACATATTTTCAGTGATGCGATTGAACCAATAGAAAGATGTTCAGCAACTGTGTGAACTCTACCAACAGTTATTTCTTTATATGCTGTACACGTGTCCTGGCAAGCTGGTATACACCTGCAAAGGCGCGGCGCACGTGACTCACGAGACAAGACATGGGACCCGGTGATTAAGGTGATGTGAGGTGAACTTGGGTTTAACGTCGTGCTTGAGAATATTTCGCTCATATGACGACGTGCATGCGTGTGTATGTGTATGTGCGGCTGCTTGTACTATCCCAGACTGAAGCCGGTTTTATAGTGCTAGCCCACTGAGATACCATGCCGCAGTGAAGCATGAATACCCCACTCAGACACATTATACTGACTCCGAGCCGACCAGTCCTTGTTGTACCCATTAATGCCGAGCGCCAGGTAGGGACCAACAAGTACCATATTTTAACGTCTTTTGGTATGACGCGGTCGGGGATCGAACCCGCGATCTTCCGCTCTCCGGGCGGACGCTCTAACCACTACACCACGGAGGCGGTCCGGTGATTAAGGAGGCTACTCTCAAAAGGGGATTTTTGATCGAGCCAGAACATGTTTTCAGTTGGCACTTTAAAGATACACCAAAACCATTATATACATAGAGAAGCCAAAGATCATTTCCATTCTTCCACTGACAGAACATCGCTCGAGTAATTAGGAACATATAACACGAATGGAGAAAATTGTAGTGTCTAAACTTGAATGAAGGCGTATGGTAAAACAAATTCCACAGGGCTATAGAATCCTCCAATGACATTCGAAACACGACTCAGCACTTCTTTAAAAAAAACACGGCGAGCGCAGCGTAAATGCTGTTTTGCAAGAAACGTAAGAGGCTAATACCTTTGATAGAATCAAACCTATGGTTGTTTAAATTTGTTCCCATTAACGTATTAAAACAGTAACTGAATTGATAAATTCTCTTCCAGATCAATATGAAGTCATCATTCAGACTAAGTAAATTTATTACACAAAAACATTCTTATTCTCATCAAATTCGCAGCAATGTTCAATACAAAATTGTTAAAAGTTTTTTGCCAAGTTCCAAGTCATGGAGTTAAAACTGGACTCAGGAATTATGGCACATTTAGTATTCTCCTAAATAGAATTCCTACAACAATAGCTACTCTGCACGTAAAACAGACCACACGACCAAGACGACATTCTTTTAGAACGCCTGCATAAGATTGGAAGGGATGTCCGATATATAGTTGCTTTCCCATTCCCATCCACATTTCATGATTTTAACTAAACGTGTTAGGGATGACAATACAGATTTTCGTCTCTATAATACAGCAAATAACAGAGCTTTGCGTTTCTGCGCATTGACCTATTGGTCCTCTTCATCACCCTCTTCCTCTTCTTCCGCCTCCATCTCTCCAACTTCCTCTTCCTCTTCCGGGGCATCTAACTCCTTCTCGCGCATTGCCGAGCGTACAGCCGCCTCTGTCTCTGGTGACGGGTCCTCCGCTTCAATTACTTCCGGTCCAGTCGGGAACTCGGGTAACGGTGGCTCAGGGATGGCAGGTTCGAAACAACTCTCAAGATGTTTATGTCCCCAGCCAATATACACGTTCTCAAAAAACCTGTGAAATGAATACAGGTTGTTGGTGAAAATGAAGGTAATACCTCAGCAAACTGATTTGTTGATTAACTGGCAAGGTGGTTAATGGAAACTGCGTAATACGAACACTTTGAAAATGTCAAGTTCTTGTAGGATATTTTATGCATCTTTCTCGCGCTGTCCTTACCTGTATTAGAATGTGAGCAGATATTTAGGTTTCTGGGTTTGCGTTTATTTTCCCGAGTCGGAAGATGTATTTCCACACTTGTTCAGTATTCACATTTGCTTCGTTATAAACACACACAACAATACCGACTATAACAACAACTTAGTTATGGCCTAATGTGAATGGTTATTTTCAGCACACGCACTTGCATTATCCTGTGTATATACGCTGTCGTAAGATATATAAGTATATTGAAGTCGTGTCATATGAAAACTACATCAAGAAATGACCTTCAACGTATGTGAGTAGTGAGACGATTTCGGGCGGCCTTTGGCAGAATATCGGACCAGTAACAGGCAAAACCTGTAAGTTTTGTCCAAATTCAGGAGACAGCTAGCAACTTAGCAAGTCTGTTTATACTTTACATCAATTGTTACAAAGCAAGTAACCAACTTACGACATATGCTGAAGGGAGCATATGTTTCGCTGGACAAATCATTCTTTCCAATTGATTTTACTTTATTCGTTGGACTTTATCCTCGCCATATGGTCCAAGACACCGCAATTCGCAGTACAGAGTTACTCCCCTTAGCAATGACAAGAACCACTGATCCCAGGTACGGCTTCCAGAATCGCCCAGATGACGATGTTTGTTTTGGCACCATTCTCGTGCTCACGGGTTTCCCGAAAGTGACAGCCAAATGCCATCTGTCTTCCCACATTCCACTGATAGGCCGCTATGTAACTGAATTGTTTCTTTAAATCCGATTTAAACCCGACTGCCTCACACAACCCGATCACTAACCTCGCTTTATCAGAAGCAAAGGCATACGCCCCTGGCCATGTGTTCGAGTGAAGAATAGCCACTGAATATTCTGGGACAAACTGTGATGACGCCTTCGCAATCCAAGCCGGACTCTTTCCAACCTCTACAAAGAAAGCGTTACCAACATTGTAGTATGATATTTGTTTCTCATTTAACGTAGCACTGAAGCAATATCTAACCAATGACCTATATATAATCCGAGTCTGGACAAGACTATCCGGTGATCGATATTGTTAGCAACGACCATGCCATCTGGTACGATAACACACAGACAACAAACTAATCCATTAAGGCCAACACACGTTGCTGGGGACCTATTGTAACTCGGAATCTCTTTCGGGCATAGTATGCAATATCTAACCAACGTGTATCAATATAATGTGTAATATAATGTGTATTACTATTGTCTCAAACACCTATGGCATACTGTATATTAGGTGCTCGAAAAATGTGACAAACAAATACGTTGAAAGTGCTCCAAATACGTTTCTATTGATAAATCTGAAAAGTTAATAAGGACATTGGTACATCTTATAGCATTAAAAGAAAAATGAATCCAACTCACGGGCATCCTCTGATAGCGGAGTCAACAATGGCGGCCCATGTTCCGGTTCCGGTTCATCGGGCTCGTTTCTTTCCTCCTCTTCCTCGTTCTCTTCCTCTCCCTCGTGCCCCTGCAGAGGGTTGTACCACGTAATCCGACCCTGTTGTCACAAACACCAGTACCACTGAGCATAAAAACCAGCAAACACAAAGCAAAAAAACAAAACATCCTGTCACGTTCTCTTATGTTCATATATATGAATACATTAAATTGATTTTATATAGAAGTAGTATTTTACACAAAATGAAATATATTTAAAAGACCCCGAGCAGTGTTTACCTCTGATATACATTTGTTTGTTTAATATGGAGTTCTATTTCAACAAACAAAATTCGACAGAGATATATTTAATTAAAGCGTTGGGCAGATTTTAAATCGTATACTTAGGAAGGTCCCATACCTGTGGTAGGACAAACGGAGTGTGGTGGACCCAATTCGTCATTCCTTGATCTGTCAGGTCTCTCATGCTCAGTCCCTCGAAGTCCTGATCTTCCACGAACCCATCCCTACCTATAGAAAATACAAGAGTACTGTCAATTCAATCCAAATTCAGCAACAGTATCATGACTTTTACGGTTCTGCTTGTCTCGAAAATGTGGAGGTACAGGTGCAATTTTCGTTGTTCGTATTTAGACGGATACACGTATTGGAAATCGTATTTGGAGGAGATTAAATTGCATCAATCTAGTTGAAAAATGAATACATTTTACGCATATTCACAAGTATATATTTTTCTATGGTCTTAATCAAGCAATAGAAGGGATAGCCTTACTACCCTCCGCCGGCTCCCCCTCTTCTTCCTCCTCCCCCTCCTCGTCAAACTTGAAGAATCCAATGGGGGAGACATGTGTAGAGGCACTGATCCGGGCAATTTGCGCCCGAAGATAGTTCTTTTCAAGACCCGGGAATGGTGGATATGTCACCATCTACAAAGTGGATTTGATATGTCTTATTTGAATACATCTAAAGGCTACAACAAAATACTTGGTTTTCCACATCGACGAATTTCATATGTTGTCAGTTCATAACTAGCAGTTATTTCCATATCAGGAACAATTTACAAATTGGAATTTAGTATTATCAAGTAAAGTAAATTATTGATTAAATAAAGATTTGGTCATAATGTGTAGATATATCAGTTGTACATTTCCGTTGTAGCTCTCCGTGAACAGATAGATGAAACAATCATCTAACTAAACTAACGGGCAAAAGAAACGATACCAAGACAAAATCACTGATATTACAAAACGACAAACCACCATTGTGAAAAAGGAAAGTGAATTGTAATAACAGGTGTATGGGCAACATGCATGTTTTGTAATATCAGTGATTTCGACTTGGTATCGTTTCCTTTGCCAGTTACTTTACTATGTATGACTTGGAACTGTCACGGCAGTGCAAAATACGTGGTCCACATACGACTTGGTACACAAACAAGACTGTTGGCAAGGCAATGATTAGCAGTATGTCGTATATGACGGTGGACTGAGCAGGGGTGGAAATAACCCATTGCCCGACGCCCGAGTCCAGTGTTTTTTTCTGTCGGGCAAGCAAATTTGTATATCACACTGTACCGGTGTCCAGTTGATATTCCAATGTTAATAATGTTGTTTATTTAAAAAATCAACAAGAAAACGGCCGGTATAGTGGAAAAGTATCAGGGCAAGTGATTTTGCATGTGCCACTGTACCGGAGTACACTAACAATTTTAAAGTTATTTCCACCCCTGCCGGACTGTAAATAAGTGTGTCTCGACCAGAGAGTCGCGTGATGGACATTATGAGCACCGATCTACGCGATGGAGATTTGCAATCATCCAAGTCACCCCACCCAACCTGTCCAGCCAATACACGTTGTAGCCTCGTACGACACAGTGAATACAGAAGAATGTTAGATTACCTGCTGGTTGGGATATCCAGTGAAGTACTTCCTTAGTTTTCTAGCAGTGACAATTTGTTCAGGTGTGACATGGGGTAAACGATACCACGGCTGGCAGGCTGAAAATAGAATAATAAAACGTATAGACAGGAGCTATTTCGGACCAACTTCATGTAAAGTCACACCTTAGCACAAGCAAATCAATAACATCAACAATGTTCCATCATAACAAGGGACTGTCCAAAATATATAATCAACATTAACATGTCGCCCACAACATTCAAACTAAACAATTTTACGTGAGTCCAGATAATTATCATTGTTATTTTTATTGCTAAGCAGCATTATATTCAAAATATACTCAACAGAATTTTTATTAATGAAGGCAGAGATGACATGGATTTCAATTTCATTACTACCTTTCGATACATGTGCTATATAGTACGTTTAGCAAAGCAACATTTGCTTTATACAAGGAACTGGCGTATGTACAAAACGTTGAAATCAGCAAGTCATCTCTGCCTTCTGCAACTTAAAGATACCGTAGCTGTATTTGACACCCCCACTCACGTTCTGAGCACACGAAGTACACCTTTTTGTTCAAGCCTGTCCCTGCTGCATCACAGGGGATTTTACGTGGGTGCTTGAACAGCGGCTTCATGGACAATATGGTTGTGGTTTCTGGAAAAAAGAGTTATGGTATAGGGAATATGGGAAATGAGATGAGAGCAATTAACTGATCATTGCATTGTGCGAGCCATTTCAGTTCATTTAAAGACATTCTAACAGATCCATGCATTGTGTGAGCCACCTAGAGTTCAATTAAATACATTCCTAACTAATCCATGTATTACCTGATCCAGCTTGCATTGTGTGAACCACTCCTAGGAGTTCAATTGAATACATTCTTAACTGATCCATGCATTGTGTGAACCACCTAGATCAATTAAATACATTGCATGAACCAGCCACCTAGAGGTCAATTAAATACATTCCTAACTGATCCATACATTGTGTGAGCCACCTGGAGTCCAATTAAATGCATTCCTAACTGATCCATGTATTGTATGAACCACCTAGAGTTCAATTAAATATATTCCTAACTGATCCATACATTGTGTGAGCCACCTAGAGTTCAATTGAATACATTCCTAGCTGATCCATACATTGTGTGAGCCACCTAGAATTCAATTAAATACATTCCTAACTGATCCATGCATTGTGTGAGCCACCTGGAGTCCAATTAAATACATTCCTAACTGATCCATGCATTGTGTGAACCACCTACATTCAATTGAATACATTCCTAACTGATCCATGCATTGTGTGAACCACCTGGAGTTCAATTAAATACATTCCTAACTGATCCATGCATTGTGTGAGCCACCTGGAGTCCAATTAAATATATTCCTAACTGATCCATGTATTGTATGAACCACCTGAGTCCAATTAAATATATTCCTAACTGATCCATGCATTGTGTGAACCACCTAGAGTTCAATTGAATACATTCCTAACTGATCCATACATTGTGCGAACCACCTAGAGTCCAATTAAATATATTCCTAACTGATCCATGCATTGTGTGAACCACCTAGAGTTCAATTGAATACATTCCTAACTGATCCATACATTGTGCGAACCACCTAGAGTCCAATTAAATATATTCCTAACTGATCCATGCATTGTGTGAACCACCTGGAGTCCAATTAAATACATTCCTAACTGATCCATACATTGTGTGAACCACCTGGAGTCCAATTAAATACATTCCTAACTGATCCATACAGTGTGTGAGCCACCTGGAGTCCAATTAAATACATTCCTAACTGATCCATACATTGTGTGAAGCCACCTAGAGTTCAAATAAATACATTCCTAACTGATCCATGCATTGTGTGAGCCACCTGGAGTCCAATTAAATACATTCTTAACTGATCCATGTATTGTATGAACCACCTAGAGTCCAATTAAATATATTTCTAACTGATCCATGCATTGTGTGAACCACCTAGAGTCCAATTAAATACATTCCTAACTGATCCATACAGTGTGTGAGCCACCTGGAGTCCAATTAAATACATTCCTAACTGATCCATACATTGTGTGAACCACCTGGAGTTCAAATAAATACATTCCTAACTGATCCATACATTGTGTGAGCCACCTGGAGTCCAATTAAATACATTCTTAACTGATCCATGTATTGTATGAACCACCTAGAGGTCAATTAAATACATTCCTAACTGATCCATACATTGTGTGAGCCACCTAGAGTTCAATTAAATACATTCCTAACTGATCCATACATTGTGTGAGCCACCTGGAGTCCAATTAAATACATTCCTAACTGATCCATGTATTGTATGAACCACCTAGAGTTCAATTAAATATATTCCTAACTGATCCATACATTGTGTGAGCCACCTAGAGTTCAATTGAATACATTCCTAGCTGATCCATACATTGTGTGAGCCACCTAGAGTTCAATTAAATACATTCCTAACTGATCCATACATTGTGTGAGCCACCTGGAGTCCAATTAAATACATTCCTAACTGATCCATACATTGTGTGAACCACCTGGAGTTCAATTGAATACATACCTAACTGATCCATGCATTGTGTGAACCACCTGGAGTTCAATTAAATACATTCCTAACTGATCCATGCATTGTGTGAGCCACCTGGAGTTCAATTGAATACATTCCTAACTGATCCATACATTGTATGAGCCACCTAGAGTTCAATTAAATACATTCCTAACTGATCCATGCTGATCCATACATTCCTAACTGATCCATACATTGTGTGAACCACCTGGACATTCCTAACTGATCCATACAGTGTGTGAGCAACCTAGAATTCAATTCAATACATTCCTAACTGATCCATGCATTGTGTGAACCACCTGGACTTCAATTAAGTACACTCCAAACTGATCCATGCATTGTATGAACCAACTGGAGTTCATTTAAATACTTTTATCAACGACGTCTTTATTAAACAAATAACTTCATTGACTTCTTCCCGAACAATCAATTGGAAAAGATATTCACACTTACCGTCAAAAAGACTATCCTCCTGAAACAACAATATCCTCCTGAAACAACAATATGAAACATCAATAGTCACATTAGTTGGTAAACTACTTAACCAGAATCTTAACCATAATCTACTGTCCTGCTCAAAATTATACTCGTCAGTGCGTCCGCATTAGGTTGCATATGGCAGGCCAAACTTTATTCTTTACATTGGTGTCTCTTTTCACGAAGCTTGCATAACAATAAATCTGTCGTGATTCTTTCTTCCAACGATTCACTTACCCTCTCCTCTGCCGGGTCGTCGTCTTCCTCTTCCTCGTCATCACTGATGTCGGTTTCATACTCCCCTTCCGGGAATTCCGCCTCCGCTACGTAGTAGTTTTGCTTTAGTCCCAGAACCTTCCCCCAGAACCGGACAGTTTCTATCGGCCACACTTTGACCAGCTCCCTCAGAGACAGAGCTATGCGGGTGTATTCCTCCATCGACAGACCAACACCCGCCATCTAGGAAAGTACCATAACTTTGACAATACTTTTGCAAGAAATAGTTAGGCATAAGTCGTTAGTGAATAAGGATTTCACGCTTCTTTTAGACAAAATACTTTAATAATCAGCGGGAACATAAAATGAGCTTCTTGAAACCGTCTTCATTCCATGAGATGAATCGAACTCGGTTTTCGGTGTGAAGAGTGATCGCTTTAATGACTAAACTACACCAAACCGTCAACTAGATATTAAACGGTTAATCAGGATATTAGTTCGTCAGGGCAATAACCATAAATAAAACATTGTTTTATTGGTCAGAGAAAGAGAGATTCCGTGATACATTTAATAAAAAAGACCCCGGATAATTACAACAACGAATGTGTGGAATATGCATAATGTAAACCGTATTTATATACCATAGACACATCAGAGAATATGATGTCAAAGTCCACCGACCTGGAAGCAATGAGCCTGTTTCATGAGGTTCGGAATCGCCGTGTATCTCTCATCTTCCTGAAGGCCATCTTCCGGAAAATCGTGGAGTCGGTTCATCTCTTCATTGCTGATTTTCTGGAAGACATTCGTGCATTTCACTCATTGGCTCATTGCGGAAGAGTAAGCCTATTTTGTATCACAAATGGGCATTAATTTCAACAGCGGCGGGAAAATCCCAGATAAGAAAAGCTTACATTATTTCACGTCGGAGTGAAAATTCAGCGCGGATGAGAAACACAAAAAATACGGACAGCTTTCTGCTGCTACGAAGTCATTCCATTCAATGCGCAAAACATTTTCTCTTTCTTAGTAGTGTTCTTAAATACCGTTGTACTGTTATCTTCTTAAATGAATAAACCTTGATAAAATCATGCAGTGTTGATGCTAAAACCTTAAAAACAAGCAGCCTGTATATGTAGGTGTGTCTATATCAAGAAGCAAAAGACACAAATATTGCTGTTCACTAACTTGGAACTGTCTCTGTTCAACCTTAGCAAGGTGGTAGCTGGGCGAAGGTGGTGGAATAGATCTAACTGTACTCTGGGTGATCTTCACTTTGTCCCTCTTCAACTGTAGACTCAGTTTCTCAAGGTTGTCTAAAAAGTTCTCCGGTTGATGTTCCAGGGCTCCCGACAGCAAGACAGCCAGATGGTCGTACCTTGATGTCCAATAATGTGATTCGTTACAAGTGGACAATGTTTATACGAAATACATTTCTGAAACATGACGAGTTGATACCGACCACTTCTACCAAATTGTCTTCAGCAACCCATGCTTTTCATACGAGGAGACAACTGGATCATGAGGCTGCCGACTTGGTTGATGCAAGTCATCGTATCCCAAATGCGCAGATCTGGATTTTCTTGTCCAGACTCGATTATTTACGGATCGCAGTCATTACGCTATAATTTTGCGGCTTGCGGCCTGCTTGAACCATTTGCCTTGATGCTCCGGAGGATTTTTAAGTAATGAGTAGATTGTTTATGGAGTAAAAGTCTAATGATAGTTATTCAGTACCTGGTGTAGTGCTGTCAACAAATGTTCTGTCTTAATTGTACTAAATTTCAAATCCTCCGTAACATGCTTTTATCTCAGTCTAGTCCGGCAGCGATGTACCAACTGTGGACAGGACGACAATCTGCAAGATCGTTCATTATAAACATCCTACATCCAAGAGTAGCCTGCTCTAAAGACTGTATGGGTTAACCCGGTGTTTTGCAACATTGTTTACAACCGCCGAAATTGACTGCATATCATTATGCAATTAAATCTATTACAGAGGTGGGGATAACCTTGTGGTTAAGCGTTCGCTCGTCACGCCGAGAACCCGGGTTCGATTCCCCTCATGGGTACACTGTGTGAAACCTGTTTCTGGTGTCCCCCGCCGTGATATTGCTGGAATATTGCTATAAGCGGCGTAAAACCAAACTCACTCACTCTTATAGCCGAGGTCATTCAATCGCCAAGTTTACCCATTATTTGCCGGAAATGAAACATTTGATGCGGAGGTAAAATATACTGAACCTCCACGCGAAAACAAACAAGGGACGCTACTCTGCTGTCGCTACCAGCAGTTACCCGATTACACTGAACCATCTAGTTTGCCCATATCAACTGCTTTAATGACTGGACTATTTTTATGAATGCTATTCATATGATTTCACAATTTCCAACTCAGTTACCTTCATGTAACAATAATAAATACGCATGTTATACAATATATTGTTGGTCTCACAACGGTTACGAACATACACAAGCATTCTTTGTGAAACAGCCATCAAGCGAATCGGGGGTGCAACTTTTACATTCACTTTCCCGAAAACGCTTTACAATAACGTCTGCTTCAATGGTTGACCTGACTTGTAGCGCCCACCGTCACAAAAAATATATATGAATTTTAAATAGTCCCTGCTTAAAACATCGCAAAAAGATGTCGAAAACATAGTTTGTTGATTAAAGAAAATGTTTTGCAAGTTGAAGAGATATTAAACTCTGTTTACTTGCATTATGCTATTCGCATCGCCAAGCATTGGCGACGATCTTGAAGACAAAGTATCAGTATCACATAGACCAGAACTTCAACACATTTTACTGGAAATAAGAAGCCGTAATAGCATATACCCTCAGTATGTCAACAGGTGTGGGATTCTCTGGCAAATTCATGTTTCTGATTACACCTTGCATCCAGTGCATTCGCGAATCCGGCTCCACAATACATTTTGGGTTAAGGGGAGATATTTATTGAAAAGATACCCGACCCTTGAAAAAAGTGATTTCTTTATTTGATTCAGAATGTGCCCATGTTAGCCAAATAATAACACTCCATTCATGAATCTTCACAATTATTATTGTATGGCCTGTATACACACCCATATTAGTTATGGCGTAGCGTGGTATAAACGACGTCTAATCATACACTCCTATAAGAATCTCAGCACGACCTCAGCCAAGGTTAAAAGAAGTGACAAATAATCTAAAATGTCAAACGTAACGATAAATATGGCACAGTTTTATGTACATATTATAATTCATATAGGTGTCTATTCTGTTGTAACAACAGCCGATATATATATACACACACACACACATACATATATATATATATATATATATGGCACTTGTTACAACAGAAAAGCCACCTATGTGAATATATATATATATTACTACCTTTCATCGCCATTATATATTACTTTGGTTAACTTTCATAACTCAGGGTATTATATATAGTTCTGGTGTGACATCATATGGACAATTGTCCGTGTTACTAAGGTGCATGCACCTGTCATGGGAACAATATCTTGATATGAAAATATTTGTTCACATGTCGCTACTGAGGGCCCCGAGGGATTGTTGTTGTCGAATACATTTGTTGTCGTTAAAGCTGACGCTTGTTTATCGGATGCATATGGGTTTTTTGATATACTCCGTTATATACAGGCCATCGAAAACTACTTCCTTAAATGGTCAGTAAAAATCCAGTCGACTCTGATATGGAAAAGTTTGCAGTAAATACTAACAACTAAGATAAAAAAAATTAAGGTAAGGGATGTATCACAAAGTGTTACTATGGAGATTCTACGGAACAAAATTCATGATCAATTTGCTGGCCTGAGCCTACTTACAAGGAAATGCCTTCGTCTGTGGATTGTGTTAGGAGGTGCATCTTGGCATTCATGCAGTTTCTGTCCTCTTCAGACAGGACAGGAAGAGATTCCTCTTCATTCTCATCTTCTGATGGACGTTTGGGAACATCCCTCATTCCTTTAATGACATTCTTCTCGCTCCCTCCAGCCATATTGACTCGCGATATATTATATTTTGCGAAATAACTGGTTGGTTTAGGTGAAACCAAACAAATAATTTTGATAATGAAGTCTTGAAGTAACTAGTGCCCCATTCAAGTGAACGCTGGTGTGACGGATCAAAATAGAACGTTGTAATGGCAACGGGATATACACAGAGTTAATTCGTCAATAGCGACTGACACTTTCATACAAAACTCATCTTTCGAGAATTTCCTAGGTAACAAGAGTTTACCCACAATACATCGGTACAATCTGTATGTAAACAAGGTACGAAAATGCTAGATACTACACATACTGACGCACAAAACAAAGCAATGTATCCGGCCAAGTTTTGTCCACGGCTCCTAGTAACCGGCGCTCTCTCGTATCTTAATCAAATTAGGACTCGCACTGTACTACGAACGTTGGAGTCTCATAAAGAATTTACACGAAAACAATTAGATATCTGGGATTTTAATCTCGACTGGCTCGCAACTCGATCGCTACCGGCTCGATTAATGTTTGAATTATTTAAAAGGTCGTTAAGCAATAGTGAGTTGGCCCTATGCTACCATTGTGCGAATACAGATAGCATCTTAGATAATGTTAATAAATAGGCGTGGACTTGACGTGAGCTAGGTATATCATATATAGTTGCCTTACAACTGAAACCATGCTCAGTTAGTTGTGAGGGGTATATCACAATACAAGGTAGTTCTGTATGGAGAGGACTGTTCAACATTTACAAAACAAATTTCAGACAATAACAATATATCCCTTTCTTATTTTGCATGTACGTTCTTATCCTTCAAAGCGTTTTTTTGTCTAGTTAAAATAATGACAAACACAAACACAAAACATCTGTGACTTTAATAGGAATAATAAAAAACACAACTTTGATAAGATTGTCCTGAGGAGGCGTATTTTATGTCCCTTATGTGCATGTTTAGGAAATGTAAACATAATATGCAACTTCTTTCAAGAAATAAATATTTCATATAACAATATTTTCTTCTGACAGGCTATATGGGGCTAGTAGCACGCATGAACGCAAGGATACTTTGTAACAGTAAACTGTAAGGCAAAAATGTATACACTGTTCTTGAACAAACAGTTAAGACAATTATTAAAACATTACCAAAATTATACCATTAGTTTCAAATTCATCACAATCGAAAAATCAGTTCTTTTTTGTTTAATTTTAGACACCCTACAACATGGGTGAATAACTTACCTTTTCCTTGCAGTCTTTATTATGTTCTGGAATATCTGGTCATATTAATGCGTTTGCAGCCATGTTTGAATTAGGGTGAGAAATAAATGCCTAAATTGATGAGGTTTTATTGTGATAGGATATGTGTTTCGCACTAGAGATCCATGGGAGGTAACATCCTTGGGAAATATTTCCAAAGATAATATTTCCACAGGCAGTTTCTGGAATATTTTCTCATCTGGATATTGTTTCCAACGGAAACTGTTTGACCGAAAACATTAATCGTTTACATTATATAGTTAAATTACCACAATTAAATAGAACAAGACTGAAGAGATATGTGGATGCAGTTGGCTGTTTATGTTTAAGCATGAAAGAAGCATTGTCCCATGTCTTTCTTCACAAACATGTACATACTTTATATCGTAACGTGTGCATTCCTTGTATTCATATAATGAGTTCTGATGAATATATTTGATATTGGAGTGAGTGAGTTTAGTGTTTTACGCCGCTTTTAGCAATATTCCAGCAACATCACGGCGGGGGACACCAGAAATGGGTTTCACACATTGCACCCATGTGGGGAATCGAACTCGGGTCTTCGGCGTGACGAGCGAACGCTTTAACCACTTGGCTACCCCACCGCCCCTTGATATTGGAAGGGGCTGAGGTTGATAGATATATTGTATGGAATATAAATACTTATTAGCCACATCTAAAAAGGAATGAATTGTAACAATACTAGTATATGTTTGTGGTAAACAACCTACATTTTCTCCCCAGAAGTCTGAAGCACAATTATCTTTTCGGGAATTTTCGCGGACAACAGAATATCAAATGGTCTACCAAATGGTGTCCACACCACACACAAACTATTACATGTATATAACTCTTTAGGGGCTAGGTAATTGGGCGTATGTTAGGGTTAAATGTGACATTGTAGGGGACATTTCCTCAGCTTGCGAAATGACTTCAAATGAACCACAAACCCCATATGCATGTCAAGTAAATCCCCTCTGTTTATCATTAGTAATATCAGTTTCGTACTAATCAATATTAACTAATACTAAAATCTACAGAATTATATAAGCTAAAACTCTCCAAAGCAAATACAAAGCCAGTAGACCTTAATAACACTCGTCAGATTTACTGAATCCATTTGTAAAATTCAGTAAAGCCCAAAATTAACTGATATTTCAATCTTGAACCACTACACTGAACATGTCTCCGGGGTCTTCAGGGCGCACTCCCTTGATTCGTCTCTATGTAGGTGCATGATACCTACTTTGGTGTCCCCAACATCAAACTGAATCTGCTCTGCTCTGCTAACAGGGGAGTGTTGTTTGGCCGAAATACAAAATCCCCTAGGATATAAAAGACAATACTTGAGTTTAAATAATGTTCTCAGTAAATGCATATTTTCATAGTATATATACATATATTGGCTTTTGACCAAAGGGGTTAGTAATATATTATTTGTGTCGTTCAAACTAACTTTACTTGCAAGCCACCGGGAAGGACTTTAAAGTGACTGTCATATTACCCTGCTGGGAATAGAGCCAGGCTTTCCTGCTTTTTAATTCATTGGCATCACACACCTCATGATTTACCTCTCAGTTATTCTAAAATTGTACATTTGCTCTTGGTGATTAATACGTTTGTTTGTCAAATGATAGACACTCACTTTCCGGAGGTGACTGTCCCCTAGAACCTTGATTCGAGGAATTCTGCCCACGCAAGACATCTGATGAAAAACGAATAGCACTATAGCTCGTGGGTATACTCCTTGTGACTTGATGTTAACACAGCTGATTATAAAATGAATGTTATCACACTTACTTTTATCTGTTGAATCCCGGTTTAACATTAATTCACTGCACTTAAGCTGCAACAATATAAAATAAGATTCATTCACTCGCGAATGTTTTCATACTTGACTTGACTGTATGCGAAATGAATTACCAGTACCTCCAGTGGTTAGGTTCATAGTGAAGTTCTGTAATCTGCTGGCTGTCTGATCAATCATGGACGCATCCCCACCCCCGTTGAAGGAAGCAGGTGTGATGCACCGTCGCCGGAGTGATTCGTACAAGGACTGAATACAGACAGATACTGAATATATCGACATGTATATGTATATAAAAGTTGGAGCAGTAAGGAAGAAAGACAATCTATGGATGAACATTTTCTTTATAACAGTGAGAGCGACGTTTCAATGTAGGTCCTAACACCGTTATCAAGCAAGTTATGACTTATAATAAAGACCTTCATCCATATATTGTCATCCTTCCTCCATGTATAGGCCTGCACGTTTAAACATTGTCTGTAACTCTTTGCTACAAACTACTGATTCATGGGGTCCAGGGCAAATACATTTTTAGTCTAGGTCATCAGAGAATATACATGCATAATTTCCTTATTACAGATCTTGCTGCTTGACCTTGTAAAATATAAATAACAATTGCTTCTCTTGGAAAGTTATAGGGAGATGGTGGCTCGCAGGATATGCTACTGATTCATGGCGTCCAGGGCAAATACATTTTTAGTCTAGGTCATCTGAGAATATTCATGCATAATTGCTTGACCTTGTAAAATGTAAATAACAATTGTCTGTCCTTTTCTACATTCATGGCTGCATATTCATATATTCGTGTGTTCTTGGTAATAGCAAACCCTGACAATGAATTAAAACCTGTAGTTTCTGGTACTGTCTGCTTCTTTCAGATAACCTCTCCGCCAACTCGCCGTGCTTCTTCTTCATACCGTCCAGGTCCTTCTTAGCAACTGGAACAGATTTGAATACATTCCACTGTCGTATTACTGTATTTCGTTACGTCCATAGTCATTTTGTGTCAAGTTTGCTAGCTGTAGAACAGTGTTTGAATATCTAATGCAGACTTTAGATTTGATAGACTTACAGTTGCCTTTAATGACATACAATTATAAGCTATAACCACTCAACGGATGACAGTACAACACCAGTACATCGTATATGGTTAGTTAACCAACCCATTAAAATCTTAGTATGCATAGGATTATTTCACATGACTGATTGTTATGTTGTGTCTCTGAAGCGAAAGTTTTCAGTTCGTCATCTTTATATTTCTATTCATATTTTCATAAAAGATAATATAATGGATGTACTCAAACCTTTTAAATGGGATTTCAAGGCAGGGAGTTGTCAAGATAAATAACACACACGCTGTGTCTGAAAGGAATGCATTCTATCCACATTCTATACATACAGTTATGTTAACGTGTACACGTTAATGAGAAAAAATATATTCTATTTATGTAACATTATAATCACGAAGTTTTCTGAATGTTTACCTTCTACAACCTCGCGTCATGTGCATTAATAAAATATATGCAGTTATTATAGAATTTGCGTATACATTGAACCCTTCTCGTGAGAGGATACTTGTCAACTCAGTTTGAGTTTTTGACACGATTTGTTCGTAGTACTGTTGAAGCTGTGAGGATTTTTCCCTGTGCTTTGTCGCTTGATATTCCTGGTAGATGATTTCTTGGTGTGTCTGAAAGTGTAACGTTTGAAGTTAGAAAAAGGCACCAAACCCGGGAAGCTTGAAAGAGAGCTAGACGTCAATTGGCAGTTTGATTCAAACCGCTGAAATAACACTCTTCTAACAACTATCTAAAATTTCATTATGTATATCACGGTGACACATAATTATTACAACATAAAATTGGAAAAGAGTATACCCGGTCCAGGGATTGTGAAAGGCAGGGACCATGGGCCATTTTGCACATTAGAATGGCCATAAAATTTTGAAGATTACTATTGATACAAGGGCAGTGGCCCATTCTAAGTTCAGAAAATGGCTAATAATCCTGAAAATGGCCCATTGTCAAAGTTCTCTATCCCAAACCCTGTCGGTCTTGACTATCATGAGAAACAGATTCCTTCTGGGGAAAAGGGACAAACAGCTGTGAAAATTCTACGAATGGATCACTGAAAATCAGTGATGACAAAAGGTGTTCGCGAAAAGGGTAAGCATGTCCTATCCTTACGTTAGCATCCGCCATCCACACAATGTACCTGAAAATGCCTGTTTCACACACACCACAAATACGTTTTGGCGTAGGTCATGAAATGCATGTTTTGGTCACTTTGTAAGTCGTTAAAATGCGACCATCAATCTTTAACAAATATGGCGGGTGGCCTCACTAACATTGTTTAATATATTATGTGCTGTCTGCAAATTGAACTCAAGTGTCATTATCGTTCGATCAAACGTTTCCGAAACCGATATTGCGTCAGTTTCAAATTGGTCTTTTGACCTTGAACTACCGATGTGATAACAGACTGGACAGGTTATAAGATTTCATATCTGCAGTTGGTGGAACACCATCTATTTGATAAATTAAAATACACGCTTTTTGTCTGTGAAGAAAAGTTTATTCTTGAAAGTTGTAAAAGATAAAATACCACATTGTACAATAGCTACACAAAACATGTATCATTCATCCAAAATGCAAGACATATATATATATACATATATGAAAATCCATTGTGTGTGCTCCAAAGCAACTGAAGTCACCAATAATGGTTACTTCCTACAGCGTAACCAAACCCCAAGAGTATGCGTATTTTTTGTACATTCTATTGACATTCCATATATATAACGGGAAGACATTAGTCTGTCCATAATAGGGTTACCTCTATACTATACATTTTACCTAATTTCCCGATTCAATTAGAAGAACTGCAATGCTTTAAATGACAAAGCATTAACCAAAATGCGTAGTTTGTTTCACAGCTTGTGCTCGTCACGTTATATCATATCGTATAGTCAGTGTCTAATGAGACAAAAAAAACACAACTCCTTAGTACCAGGTGAGCGTATAGTGATCATCGGTAGCACCGTCACAAACACATAATAAATGAGACCAAAAAAAACCTCAATACCAGGTGAGCGTATCGTGATCATCGGTAGCACCGTCACAAACACATAATAAATGAGACCAAAAAAACCCTCAATACCAGGTGAGCGTATCGTGATCATCGGTAGCACCGTCACAAACACATAATAAATGAGACCAAAAAAACCCTTCTCAATACCAGGTGAGCGTATCGTGATCATCGGTAGCACCGTCACAAACACATAATGGCAAGTCAATTGGACACCACTGTTTAAGAGAGGCTAGGCAGCAGTATGACACTATCGTGGAATTGAGATCAAATATTATACATATATGTATGTTTTATGCACACCGGAGAGCTATGGGGTAGCATAGGTTACAAATGCTTCAACATTTACCAAACATGTTATGTTCCTGATAACACAGTAAAAGGAGATAAAATTATGTGTTTCTATTTTGGGGGATTGAAATGGATTATTCGGTTACAAATGAAATTTCCTAAAATCGATGAATCTTTAACACCTGGAATTCTGAAACAAGGCCATGCCTTCTGAGAGCTATATTACTTTCTTATATTCTTTACATGACCTGTGTTACTTTAAATAACAAAAGAAACATTAAAGTTAAAACTCCCATTCGCGGGTCGTAAAGGAAACGACATTCATATTTACATAATATAAATGTCAACGACAGAGAGTAACCAGTCTCAATCATGCATCTTTACAGATTCCACTGTATGCCAGGGGTTTGAGAACAGAGACCTGCTATAGCGGTAGCATCCTGAAAGACATACAAAAGATTAATATTGAGTTACTGTACTCGCCTATTGCAAAAACAAGCCATTATGTCACTTCACATCCGTGAAATGTTTCAATACCCACTGACGATGTGTTCTTTCTTGAGACTCTCAGAAAAAAACCGGTTTCCATTTACTATTACAAACGGTAAGAACGGGAGTCACATCACATCGTTATTATTTGTGAAATGTTTTAAATGACCATTGACGAAAATGAGAACATTTTTATTTGTGCCTCTTAGGAAAGCTGTGTTCCTTCCAACGCCACTATAGGAAAGTGCAAGCAGCCTGCACCGTGACAGAATCATCTGATCTAAAATGACAGTACGTAATCCAAGGCATGAATCGATTGTGCCTCTATCCGTGTCAATGTTCAATACAGTCCCGCCTGAATCCATTATTTTATCTCCGAAACTACTCCGAGATATGCTTCGAAAGTAGTCAGAATCAGTAGCGATGAATACCTTTGGATTCATCCCTGTCCACTGTTGTAAAATCCGCAGTATATTCTGAACATTTTCAGTGCGAGGGTCAGATCCAAGTTTTACATGTGCACATATGAGGTCTTCGTATCTAGTTACAGAACGATTGTTGAGAGCAAGTATATCTTGTAATACTGTCTGTGTTTGTATTGAAGGTGCCATCAACATATCCCAGTTGTCCTTGAATGTCGCGGATTGTGTTTGTGTTGTTATTTGGGATACTTGTTTGATATAAACCGGATTCTGTGTAAGGATGCCTGTAAAGTCCATTGTTGCCCTGACGAATACAATATCCTGAGAATAATACATATTGAAATTTTTCCACCTCAAAACATCCAAAACTGATGAATTATGAACATCATTGATGACTGACAAAGACTTTCCTCGAAGTTCTTCAATATCAGGTACCCAGTTCAACTGATTTGGGATTAGGAAGTGCTGCAGTTTACATGGTGATGTCATGGACACTTTAAACATCCTGTTGGTTAGATTTGCCAGGAGAAATGTACTTATAATCCCTGCCTGTCGGACTCCCCATCCTCCACAAAGCTTTTGTTTATTACACAGATAGACCAGGAACTTGTTTTTGTTTAACGCAGTCTTTGTTTTGGGATTCTCAGTGCCATCGTGTTTCATTGATCTTTGTCCAAAATCATCAAAACTCCCATTGACATTCTCAAATACTCCGTTAATGTGCCGTCTGCCAATTTGTACATCAAAGGTCTCTTGGCGGTTGTCTCTAGATGGCATGACGTCATATTGATGTGAGCCCTGATTATCGAGGATCTGCGAAAGCCGGAAGTTATTCATTCTCGTGTCCGCCCGTCCCGTGCTGTACATCACGAGATAAAATAGGATGAGGGAACTGTTGAAGAAAACGAGGATCAGGGCGAACTTTCCCATGATGCATGTGGACACCTGCAACACAAAAAGCGGTAATCATTATGAAAAGTCAAACATGCACATCCAATCCATGACTTTAAGCCCAGTCCCTGCTATTAAGATAATATCTAATATACAGTACAACCAGAAATTATTGAGAATTTAAAGATTGTAAAAAAAAAAATTCACTCATTACTCACGTATTAAGTGTGAATATTAGCAGAACATAACTCCAGATTCAAAGACAGGTGAACAGTTAGTATTTTGTCAAGTCACCATGGTCAGCAATGCGGGCTTTAATGCGGCAGGGCATACTACTGATCAAAGAAGTTAGAAAGTCGTGGTCCAATATCGGACCACCTCTTCTTTCATTTCAGCAATATTTGTCAGATTTTTCTTATTGACACTTTCCTTCATAAGTCCCCAAACATGTTCTATTGGATTTAGGTCAGGGCTATAGCTTGGCCAATCTAATAATGTCATATTTTGTGTCCGAAACCAGGCCTGTGAATGCTTTGAACGATGTTTTGGGTCGTTGTCCTGTCCATAGAACACGTGAGCAGATGGAAGTACATGTCCCTCGAGAATATCTGTGTACCGCTCACTGTTCCTATTCCCTTCAAATACACAGAGGGGCGTTGCCCCTAACACAGACATGCCACCCCACGCGTTAAATTTCGGACTGTACTTTGGGCGCTGATACAAAGGTTTTTCAGTTTGTTTTGTCCAGAATTTCAGTGTATTAGGAAACAGCCACACAGAACTTTCATCTGAGAAAATCACATTGTCCCAGTTAAAATTTCTAGGCTGTAAGCACCATGCAGTTCAACCTTCGCTCCTTTTGTTCAGGTTTCATGATCGGTGATGGAATTCCTTGACTTTTCTGCCAACCCATTGCATGCAGCTCAGTTCTAATTGTCTCCTTACAGACAGCCACAGTTCCTCTATCAATCATATCCAGCCTTAAGTTTTCTAAACTCCTTCGTTTGTTTTTAGAAACAAGAATACCAAGCCGCCTCCTGTCACCGACAGTCAATTTTCTGGGCCTACCTGCGCCTCCCTGGTGCTCAATGCCATATCCATTTGCAATATTTTTCAAACCACGATAAACAGTGGACAAAGGGATGCCTGTTCTACTTGAAATCACTTTAGCTGATCTGATGTCCTTGTTATAATACTCTAAATCAATTACCTCTTCTCTTAAATCATCCATACTGAGGATCACTGAAAATGTCGTCTGCTAGCAAGTAAACAAAGGGGGATAACTCTTCACAAACTAATGAAAAAGGAGTTGTCTCTCTTGAATGAAACCAAGCACTTGATAGCTGGTCAAGGTTGTTTATACTAGAAATCCAATTAAACATATTCCTAAAATTCTCAATAATTTCTGGTCATACTATAACATAATATGACATGTATTATTAAAAGCATAAGCTACAAAATCAATACATGACAAACAGCATCTTCAAAACTTCTTGCGTTCCTACACATAAAGCTCCTCCATCACATATACATATGACGAATCAAGCCACGATCTAAGTCTAGCGTCGGAGAAATCTACACATCGTTTAGATAATAGGAGACGTAATGTTTAGGTTCTTTTCAGGCTGTGAAACGATAGCCCATTTCGTGTGTTTTGACCCTAAACGGGTCTTAAAAGTGTTTAGCCATAGCTACCTTGTATATGTCTAAACTTAACATATTTTTCAGTGTGGTCGAGTTTCATCCCCACACACGCATGGATGCACTACTTTCTGTCTGTCTGACTTCTTTTGATAATTACATGCAAGGCCTAAGGACAGTTAGGTCATCGTGAAACACAAAGCATAACAGGCGTACATTTCTTGTGCATAATTATAGTGACTCACAATAATGCCTACTCATACTTCGTCTTCTCTATGACGCGTTTAGAAATATATATTCCATGACCTACATGTGTGGATGGACCTTCTTATTAAAAGAATATAAAACTCATACAAAAGTGAATTCTATCAACATTGTACTGCTTACCCTTTCCCCTATTCAGAAATGATAAAGACAGTTTCAATATACTGGACTACTGGTTTGGAAATTGATTACCAAATATTCATCACATTTCGGCACGGGTTGGTGCCACACCTACAATTCTTTTCGTGTGTACCGTTGCTTCTCAGGTCATTGCGCCTTGTAAACCGTGCATAACCAATACCCTAAAATTTAATTCACGTGCTTATACATCTCATGAGTTTTGCTCGAATATTGTCTGATCAACATTGAGACCCTAGTATAAACTGTGGGAGAAAGGTTTTATTGTGAACACATGGGGACATTTCAAACACTGACGCATCAGTGGCAATATATAATGTACCATGCACTTCTTTATTTTGACTTGCTCCACGGTGTTAACGTGGCATTTTGCAGTTGATTGACTTGCCTTTGCATGTGTTTCTGACGAGTGCTAATTTTTTGTTTGTTTGTCTCACTCAGCACCATCCCGCTATAAGACGGCGGTCTGCAAATAATCGAGTCTGAACCAATCCAGTGATTGACCTCATGAGCATCGATCTACGCAATACGATGTTTGTCAACCAGGTCAGCAAGCCTGACAACCCGATACCGTTAGTCGCCTCTTACGACAATCATGGATTGCTGAAGATCAAGTTTAACCCGGATTATGACGGGTCGAATAGCACCGGTAGTGCAGCAAGAAACGCACACTTCGCGAACTCCATTTATCATTGCTATTTGATACCGATTCCAAGGATAAACACGATATATGGCCGGAAACGCTAAAGTGGGAGTGTGTTTCTGTATAATGTTAGTAATTTATAATAATATGTTTAAGTATACTACGTACTTAATTACGGTACCACATTAGTTCAGCTGTAGTCAAATCATCGGTATTATATAATCTAAGAGTGGACTGGCAACCGTTTCACAGAGCCCCCAAGCAATATTTACACCATTCATACCGCACCTCTCGGCAATGTTTTCACAATGGTTGTAAACCCCGAACCCGTGTTCCGCTGAGTAATGTGTTTCAAGGTTCAAGGGTTTTTTATTCTTAAAAATCACCAACGGTTGTACAAGAATATTTATTTACTAACACCAAAATTGCTGGTAACATGATCGACGTGACAGTTAACGGCATTTTGATCTGAAAGAGGTAGTTCGGGGACAAGGGTAACGATTTGGGCTGCTTTCTGATGTCATCGTAAATGGTGCAAACTCCGACAAAGACTATACAACATAGCGTTATCAAGTTCATAGTTGTAAAAATTTAAACATACTACTTTATGGATGACAACTTACTAGTATTGTAGATTGCATAGAGCGACGTTTCGATGTAAATTATTACACCGTTATCAACCTAAAAGTGAATCTACATCGTCGCTCTATGCATCTATGCAATAAACAAGAAGTTGTCATCCATAAAGTTGTATGTTTCATTTTTGATTCACCAATTTCTGGAATGCCGATCAAACAATTCATAGTTGTAGAAGGATGATGTTAATATACATCATGGTTTGTCTCCGAATGAGGACGGTGATTTGCAAAATAACTCAAAATCGGCAGCCTATTAACGTACACAGCAATGAATGACCCGTAGCACCTGTACGCAACCATATCTCTTGTTTGTTATTTTATACCCATCACTTGAAAAGGTTGTTTAAGAAACTATCATGTTATTGTTATTACCGCCCCTGTTATTAGAAGAAGAAGAAGAAGAAGAAGATTTTTATACCCATCACTTGAAAAGGTTGTTTAAGAAACTATCATGTTATTAGAAGAAGAAGAAGAAGAAGAAGGGTTTATTTGTATAAAGGCCATACGACCCATCGTACAAGATGGTACAATAGTGATTTTAGTTACCATTTTAACACAACGACGCTAGCAGGGGCAGAATAAACATGTTCTAAGAACTTGACAAAATTATTTATGAAGTTAATGTCTGATAATGTACATATGCTGTGGATAGAATAGTAATATCCATGGGCCGTTTTCGGAATGTAACGCCGAGGCAAATCCTCATAGCGTTTACAAATAAAAACAATATGAATTTCATCCTCAATACTTTTACAGTGTTTACATAACACAATATCATCATTGCAAGTGGCAATACCTCTTCTAATAATATTTGATACCTAAGTGCATTACATCCTGATCTAAATAATGTGAACAGACGCTTGCACTTATTACATATGTTCAGTGGTAAATATTTTTCACAGGTCAACAGACATTTATGGGAATTATAGAAAGACAGCGAAGGAACATCTAGGGGAAAATGCCACTCTTGCATAGAGCAGTTAATTCTTTCAGTACACATATACAGAAACATGTTTGGATCACCGACATCTTGTGAAATGCAAGCAGTACCAAAGCCAAAATAAAATAACAAATCACTGACATGTCGAGCCCACGTGGGACGTTCCTAAATTCAACAGATAATAAAAATTGATAACATTGATATGGGTATCTACTTTGATGCATTCTTAATGATCTTAGCCAGTATTTAATACATTTGACATAATAAACATTACTTAAGGGTGCCCTCCCACATTCCCCATACACAACAGCATTAGAAGTTCTGTAACTAATTATGTGTATAAGTGGACATCTTTAACGGAAGGGGGCACTAATTGTCTATATAAGTTGATATCTTTAACCAAAGGGGGCACAGCGGCGCAACGGAGGAAGAGTGCAAAATACCTGCATGGGCATGTGCTTAGTGTGCTATACATAGTATACGTCGTTGTTGACTGACAATAACGCTACTCAGCTGATGTGAAACAGTTGATTTGGGAGGTCTATGACGTCTTGAACAAATTGTATTAATATTGTCTACCGTGCACTTCCCAGCTAAGTCATAACGCAGTTCAGGGGAAGGTATAACGAGTTGAATGCTTTCCTTGCACCACTTACTACTTAAAATCACATCAACATCGTTCAAAATTGTGTTTACAGAGATCAAATCGGTTAGGCTACATTAAGTCTATTATCAAATCGCAGGATCTTATAGCTCCACTGCAAACGAACTATTATGCGATTAACATATGCACATGACTGACTGACTGAGTTTAGTTTTACGCCGCTTTTAGCAATATTCCAGCAATATCACGGCGGGGGACACCAGAAATGGGCTTAACACATTGTGCCCATGTGGGGAAACGGGAACTGACGAGCCAACGCTTTAACCACTAGGCTACCCCACCGCCCCCATATGCACATGAGCAAACGTTAGTTAAAAATAACCAACATTTACGTCCTAAAGCAATGTCTTCTGTGGAACGAGAGTTTAGATTGACAAAAAGAGTATTACCTTCATATTTCTGTTCCCAGCCTTCTCTGCCGAATCGGCTTCCTTTCCGCAGCCTACCATACACTGGGTTTACTATATTGTGCCTGTTTGGTAGGTTCACCTGCATCCGCCCTGGCTTGAATATGAGCTTATATGCTATAAAAGTAATTAAGCCTCTAAAGGCGTGGCTTAGTGTCCTGGCATAGCTTGTAGGCTGCTGGTAGCTCGTGCAATGAGACAAGTTCAAGGTAAAGAAGAAAGGGCTGGATCCCACGCACCAGAGACTTCTTTGTAGTCGGGACTCGAGACAGCTTGGATAGGCTATTAGCACTGATAAAATCAGCCTATTGCATTAACATGATCAGCATGCGCAATTGGGTATCGTCAACATGTACAACGGCCTCTGCAATGTACCGGCTGAAGAGATATACTAAGTGTTATGTAATTCAATAGACTCTCACAATTGCTATCTCGAACTAGGATGAAGCTACAATGTATTGTAGAGAAATTGCTCCCTCCAATCTGCTTGAGTTTAATCCTTCACTCACGCACGCACATATACATACACACCCTAACGGTGACAACGCGACTCTACAATTACGGAAACATGCTTTTGTCTTACTTGGTACGTCCAGAAGGAGAGTGCTCTGGTGCAGATCTCCATAATAACTTCAGGTCTCTGTCCGGCTATCACCATCTGCGTGTTTAAGAAACTCTAGCGTCAAATAAATAGCGTTTCATATATGCCAGCTTGAAAATAGAGGAGAAACCTAATAACACTTTTGCTGTTGTTTTGTTTGGTTTGGTTGTTTTTTCAGAATAACCCATCTCGTACTGTACCCATACAATATCAGAATTAAAATTGGAGTTTCCGTTGGATAATCAGTCAGTCTTGCCACTTCCTATGGACCTCCAACTAGGGAGCAAAGATTTCATAAAAGGGACATGTATGTTAGTTCGTGCGGGCGTGTGTGCGTTTGTGCGTTCGTGTACTATGCTTTTACCAAGTAATAGTGTTGTTGTTCTTTAAAAAGTCCCTGATAGATATTCACCTTTCTCGCAAAGAAACAAATATTGAGCCCTTTTCATTTGGATTGTATTAATGAGCCCATTGGATAGAGGTTGCCATTTTATAGAAAGATTAAGAAGCTGTTTATAATGGAAACACATAATTGAGCCCCTAAAGATTAAACCAAACATCGTTAGAAGATGACTCTAAACTTCGATTGTAATCATATATTCCTCTTTGCAATGATAAAAGTGTTAGAACAGTTTCAATATGTATCTTTTTAAATTGACGTGGTGTAACAATCTTATTCAAGTAAAACTGTCGCCCACGAACAGAAGATAAATATGTGGGCCAATATATGCGAGTGTATTAATCAACGCTCACGATAGGCGTTCACATATTGTGGCCGTATTAGGACATACCTGCATACCCACATTCTATAAAACCTTAAATGTGTGGCTTAGAACTTTGTCTGTGACAATGAATACCATCAATGATACTGTGCACATTGAACGAGTGTGCAAAAGCAGAAATGATGACAGTGTTCAGATTGTGTGTTGAACACATTTATGGATATTAGAAAACATTTTTATATATGTCAGTCTCATCTTCTCTAATATATAGGGATTAGAAATGAACACGAGATGCTATAGAAGTATTTAACGCGATTATAAATTTTGGCAACACTTTGCTGACTCGTTAGCTTCGTTCAGTTGCACATCAACATCTTCAAAGAACATTTCGCTATATATCACAAGCGGGTGAATGATTTTAATACATTTAAAAAGGCTGCTGACAGTTTATTCACATTTCAAAATGGTCATATAGAAAGGGGCGTTAAAACTATTAGTGCGTATAGTGCTGATCAAAGTAGGTACACAATCATCACACTTCGAGCGGCAAACATGATTTCACTATCAACTCTTCCGTGTTCACATCGTATATTGAGGGTACCACAGATCAATGAAATGTTAGTGACTCGATAGTTGGTTCAGTAAACATATTCAGTCGCTACAAAACGTGCCAGGAATGTCCTCAATATGCATCGTGCTGGACGAACCATCATGTCAATGTTTTTGTTTGCATGTCAGTGTTTATGTGACTTTGCGAATTTGATGATTCATCATAACTTCGAGTTTGTTTTACAAAATTAATCTCGTTAAACATGTGGACAATCAAACCATTATTACAGAGTGTATGTAGATTGTTATACTTACAGATTTCCACTGTTCTGTGGGCTGCACGTTACTTCTTACAATATCGCACTTTCCCGACAGAGTAGTCTCACCTACATCACGATAAAATATTGCATGAGTGGCATGTAATGCTTAATTTACTAAAAACTCCCTCGGTGTTTATATTTTCTTAACGGAAATGTGACTCATTCCAGTCCAATAATTACAAACAACATTACGTGTCTCAAGAAAAAACATGTCTAAAAGTGGTCATTAGCAATGCTGTCCCCCATCAACCACATTTCTGCCCTAGTAAGTATATTTGAAGAAAGCATTATAACTACACATTGCATATATCAAACAGGTCGAATATAAGTTGAAGTGAAAAACAATATATTATCATGACTGGTGGGAAAGGCTTATGCGACAGTGAACACTGTACCTAAACTGAAACACTTTGAAATCGTTTAGTGGATTTTGACTCTTGATCAGTGACAAGTGACTAGAAGCTCATGTTCAGGTACTCACAAGCAGGACAAACAACTGATTTGTTGAATTCTCGACTCCCATCTTCGTCACAGAATACATCTTAGAGTGTTAAGAATATATGTGTAGTTGAGTAGCACGTGTGAAAATACATTATTTTGCTAAACATACTACGTATAAAACAACATAAAATGCTTCAAATCAACAAACTACTTATAACGAATGCAATGTTAGTATATGGTGCCTTCTCTGTACCATACTCTCTGATATTACTCTGAGGAATTCTGGGTTAGACTAGATGACCTGTGCTGGTCGTAAGCAACGACTAATTGATCGAATGGTCAGGCTCGGTGAATAGCTGATAACGTGTCACCGTAACCGACTGCCTAGATCGTGGCTCACTAGAGTGTCTAGTCGTGACTAGATTACGTACATATAGGTCAGATATTGCAGAGTTTTACAAACAAGCAAACCTAATGTCACTGCAGTTTAATAAGTTGCATTAAGTCTCAGAAAACTTGTGGAAAATTCATGGTTAAGTAGCCATCTGGCTAGGTACACTAAGGTATAGGTAAAGTAATTGTTGCTCTTGATATTAGACTGACACAGAGCAATCGAAATGGGTCACAGAATGATTAGTATTTAGAACAATTCCTTGAATAAAACATCCATAAATGTAATTTATCAAGCGTAAATTTTCGTCAGAGTACTAATGAGTTCAAAATAAATGAGAACGGTACACCACAACATAGGTTCATAGGTTTACGGACCATCCTTAACACCACGCACTACATAAGGGACCGTTCATAATTTATGGGGTGGGTTGGGGTGTTGATGATGATTTTAAAAGGAGGGGGTGGGGGGTGTCACCCATTTTGTTCTGGGGAGGTTGGGGGGTCATAAATTTTGTACACGTTTCTAGGGGGGTCAGCAATTTTGTACATAAAAATATTTTAAAATTATGCTTTAAACATACCCCCCCCCATTAGCCATAAATTATGAACGGTCCCTAAACGATTCTACTCAATGACCTATTCTCAGATAATAACAACTTTCAGGGTGGAGTGAAATTATGAATGCATATTGCCTCATTGTACACATATACAGTTAAAGTATCCTTGAGATTAAGACTGATGTGAATACTTAAAGTAGTATTAAAGTAGTATTGTGACCCCATTGACACAGTGACCCCATTGCCTTGGAAAATGACTGGCGCGTTTTCATGTGAGCCCAATTTTTCAGAAATGAACGATATATACGTTTTAGAGTGAGTGAGATTAGTTTTAAGCCGCATTTAGCAATATTCCAACAATATCACGGCGGGGGACACCAGAAATGGGTGTCCATGGTGGGAATCGAACCCACGTCTTCGGCGTGACGAGCGAACGCTTTAACCACCGGCTACCCCCACCGCCCCATACCTTCTAGAAGTCAATAACCTGATATCCGGCTTTATTGTACACATGTATACTATCTGGGTTAATCGGACGTCTAAAACTGCCATACCAGTATGAAATATATTTGTGTTTTTTACACGAGATGAAATTTTATTGGAACAGTAAGATTTGCAGGCTTTAAGACTGTCAGTCAGCCGCAGGCAACATGACAAAGAAAAGGATACGTGAACACGAAGTAACCTGAAAAAGAGGTGCATCTTCCGTTAAATCTTGTTAAGGTAATACCTGTGATAGCCGATAAATATATATACATGTAAAGATCAATTGGCTCTGTCGTATGTAAAACTACAATATCCACTAATCTGTGTGCAGGATCTTAGGATGTATTAGCGCATTAGCTTTTATGTATTAAACAATGATTTTAGTGCTTTTGAAGCCATGTTAACAGCATATTATTCCAGCTGCAAAAGAATTTAAATGGGATGTTTGAAATCATTCGATATTATGATTGAGGAAAAACATACCCATGCAAACGAACAGATTTGTTTTCTGCACTTTTTAAAGTTGCATATGAGATCTCCATCCATTGCCTCGTCCTTCTCTGTAACAGCTAGCTGTAATCTTTTTGGAAAAAGATAAAATATAACGATGCCATTAAGAAAGGTGACAAAGGTAACACGTTATAATTGAGATTATGTTCGTAATTTACAAATAAACTCTGAAGATATAGACAATTCCTAGATAAAAATGCTGTTGTAGTGATGTTTGCGTGCCCCATAATTTCTGACACGGCAACAACAACAACAATAATGTTTCAAAAACCAAAGCCTAAAATTAGATTATCAGTTCGGTACTGTACAGAGAAATGAACTAACTGAACTGTCATTTCAATACGCGTCCAGCTGAGACATCTTCATTAAATAAATAACGCATATTATTCTTCTAAGAATGACATCCTTTTGTCGATTTACACATTATATATTGATTTTGTAAGCATTCAAACACAATAAAAGACGCACAGAAGCACCTGTCACAAACAACCGTCGTCTGCTTCAACACGCACGTGTTTCAAACATACCCTTTACGTTAGCTTACATGTATAGTGTCTCAACAATAGATACACAAAAAGTGTACGTTTAATTTTCCCTGGTTATTACCAAAGAAATACAATAAATTACCTCTGATTATATGACAATGTGATATTTATGTGCTGAAAAGGAAAAACAAACTTCCAACATACCATATTTTATACATTAATTATATGTTTGTTGGAAACTACAACCCTCGCGCTTCCTCGCGAGAGTTACGTGGCAATAAACATGGCTGGTTGGGCAGGCTTCAGCGATGAAGACTTGAGACGAATAAAGCAAAGCTCAAATGGAGGGGCAGGTAACAAGTGTTCATGACTAAATGATGATGTAGTCATTTCGATAGAAGGTTGTTTTTGTTTTACAGTATTATTGAGAATCGTTGAGAAAGGGTTTGGCAAGCTGACACGTCAAATCTTCGTTCTCAACGTGTGACAGCTCAAGTAAAATTGCCAGCCAATAAGTTAAGTTTGGCAAGGCAGCTAATTTCTATATTCAATACCCGGGACATTTAATTACCCTAAAATTCTTAGCATGTGCAGATCTTTGATATGCTAAATTAGTGACTAAACTTATATAATCCACCACTGGAGTTTGACTGGTTTCGTTGCAGTACACTTTTTCAACAGATCAGGGGCTTCTTTCTGTAAGTTTCACGAAGCAACCTTTACTAAGGTTAACCTTAACTCCCATTCTTTAACTTTGCACTAAGGTTACCTTAGTGACTTACGATCACCTTAGTGCTTTGTGAAAGGAGCCCCATGGCAGCCTAGCGGCTAGACTGCCCACCACTGCTTTCAAGTGTTTTAATGGTTTTACTTGGCTCATCGATTTGATTACTGTGTCCACAACTTAAAGTCAAGAATTACAGATTTGTTTTCTCCTACTGAGCATGCCGAGTGAATGAAAAGCATGGACTATAAACAAGATAAATCCAGGTGAAAAATCTTACAGATCTTTAGAATATCAAGTAAACAGTGATATATTTAGTTCTTAAAGGTCACATGCAACCAAAAAATCAAACATAATTAAAACACAATTATCACTTATTCATGACATATAATATACATTGCTGATTATGACAAAACATTTAATTATAAGCGTACAATCGCAAATCAAAAGTGCAATATTTTGTACTTGGGTTTACTTCCCTTGAAACGAAGCACCCGGGATACCGAACCCAGTCAGAGCAGGTGGGTGTGCACTCAAGTGTAATGGCTGGTTCATTTGCAGATGCCCTCACGGCTCATTGTGTATGTATATATAGAGATGTTGGGTTTTGTAAATACATGCTCATTTTTTGTGTATAACATTTTGCAATCAACAGACATCATAACATGTCATGTGTACAAGTATCACACCTGCCTGTCTGTGTAATTACATAATGTGACAGAGACCGAACTCGGGCCATAAATCAATGCGTTTTGTTTATGGTGTATAGCCTGATAGGTGTTAAGTTCAAATTGCATGTGGTCAGTGATCGAAGTTGTGTATTGAATATTGTCATTAGCAGACTGGCAGGCAGACACATAGGGGTCAATAAAACAGACATTGAGTTTTGTCTGTGACAACGACATATCTATATCACAGTTAGAAATTCTGTCAACGCTAAATAATAACATTGCTTTTAAGTATCGAACTGAGAATGTGACTCGGTAAGAAGAACGTGTGGTGAAATAGACAAATGAAATTATATAAACAGTTAAATCGGTAATCTACTGTCATAACATATAAAAAGCTCGCACCTGTGAAATATCAACAAAACATTAGAAAAATAGCTCACACCAAAGCCTTCACCGAGTATTCACCAGACAACCCGCTTACAAGCTGCGAGAACCTATTTCACTGCGCATGTGCTATGAGCGCAGCCCAGCTGTTGAAACCACTTTTCCCCCAAGCGCTTGGGGAAAATTAGTGAATCGCAGGGTTTTTCATCGCGTTATTTTTCAACTTTATAAGTTGAATTTGCATTTTTGATGATTTGTTTCAGTAAGTCCATACCGAAAGGTATCAGAATCTGCAAAGTTGTGTTTTACATTGCATGTGACCTTTAAATCAATATCATTTCTAATTTTGATCTAAATGCAGTAGAAATCTGTTCCTAAACAAGTGTATACCATACGTTTTGTAAATAAATTTTGAAAACGGTATTGGTTGGCATGTTGGAAATTTACTTGTTGCATTAACATAAGGGTGATAACTTGGTGTGCTGATGTCAACTAAGGCTGCTCAAATGAGGGACAGTAATATGTGTATTGTAACAACTTTACTTGTTGTTTGAATGCTGGAAATTAGAACCATTGACTCAAAGACACTAAACTACAAACAGCTTCTTAGTAGGGATGTCATGATACATAAGTTTCATAAATCGATACGTATTGCAATACCCATGAGACGATTTGATACCTATTTTCGTGGCATTATGACGTATATTTACTTACATTTTTAACATTAATATTTCATATTTTATAATTGTCCATGAAAAGATCAACTTTTGTTATTCTTAGAGATTAAAAAGTTCTAATTTCCTATCTTTGTGCATGAAAAATAATCATTTATAACTCTCATAACATAAAAAATAACATGATACAATTGCAAAACTTAAACGGAACATAAACGTATTTTAACCGATACTTTCAAAACTGAATATCGATACAATTTTGAATGTATCGATAATTGTATCATCTAAGAAAAAGTATCGATGTATTGTGACATCCCTACTTCTTTGTGAACTACAGCAGAGACCATATACAGGTTTGGCAAGTTCTGGGATAATCAGGTCTGGAATTAGTAACAATATAGAAGATGCCTCCAGGGATTACTTGTGATATAATCTCTAACCTCCAAGGGCAGCAAGTGGTTTAAAGTACCCAAACAGTCAGAAAGCTGGTTACTTTAAGTATTCAGTTCATTGATTTAAAAGATTTTATACACAAGATAATGTATTCAATATTGTCTGATCTGTGATGGGCACACTTTTCAACTTCAGTCGAGCTTAAATTGTTGGAATATTGGTAACAGAAAACATATTCTTACATGGAAGTGCTTAGCACATAATTGTAAAAAATTCAGGAGCTATCTATGTAGTCATTTAACAGATCCAACAGAAACTGACGAATGCCGAAGTTACTTGATATTGTAGTCAACTGTCGTAGACTTTGTACAATTTATTTCATGTCATCTAATCTTATCTTACTGATAATTGTATTCTCACCTCTGATGATGATCTTCAATATTCTGTTTTTAGACACAGCTGCCTTCAGACAGGCCCAGTTCAAAAAGCAGCAAGTACCAAACAAAGATAGGATTGTGAGAAATTCCAAAGGCCATGGAGCAGCTGCTTCTGGCAATCTGACTCAACTGGATCCCTCACAGAGGCTAGTGCAGCCTGAGGAACCGAAGGTGAAGGCCAATGGAAAAGGACCAAGGGGAACAGATCAGGGGCGACCGAAGCCGAGTGCGAGACAAGATGTGGACAAACTGGACAAGCAACAGGAGGAAGAAGTGTCCTCAGAAAAGCAGACTGACTTAGGGCAGAAAGTAGAGCATGAGCCACCATCAGAAGACAAGGGAAGCATGCGAGAACTTGATGAAACAGAAGCAATTGGGTAGTTAGCTCCTTATTGTTATAATTGGATGTACAAAGGGAAATTTAGTGTTAGGAGGTTGTTGTATACTGTTCAGCATGTAAAATGTTATTATACAGTATGACTATATTGAAGGAATAATATCTCACCTGTTAATTTTGTATATTTGTGAGAAATTTGAAATTGGATAACAAATTTAAGTGCAATATGCATGATATGTTAAACTGCAGACTGTAATATTGATCCATTTAATAGACATGTGAATGATGTCTTTGTTGTAGTGTGGAACTGGACAATATGGCGAGGTTCCAGAAGCAGCAGAAAATGATAGAAGAGGCCAACAAGCAGAAGAGGCTGTTCCTGGCCAATGCCATCAATGAGAGGTGAGTCTGTTGACTAGTCTGTCTGATCTAAATTCACGGGCCTACAAAGAGCTAGAGACAGGAAGATTCCCAGTTCAGGGGCGTAAGCCCATATGGCAACTATAGAGGAGGGTCAAACGAGGGGCAACACTGAACCATTGTAATGAGAGACTGGACTATTGAGTAGTCTGCCTGTAGGGTGCTGGTAAGGATGATAAGGATTTGGACATTTATCATGCGCTTTCTGACATAATGCATATTTCACACACGGGGTAGCGTTTAGTAGAAGTACCTGACCATTAATTATGAGAGATGAGCCCACTGACTAGTATGTCTGTGGGGGCAGTACCTAACCATTATAACTAGAGATGGGCCTATTGACTAATCTGTATGAGGCAGTACCTGAAGCATATCATTGAAAGGGTTGCCTGTTTACTAGTCATTCTTTAGGGGCCATACCTGACCAGTGCCAGTAAGAGGTGAGCATGTTAAACTATGTTACTACTCTTATAATATATCTAAGATAGCTTTATGGAATAAGGTCCGAGTGTGTAATGATGATGTGTTTGTCAGAAAGATGAATCAGCTTATTGTTGAGTTGTGTGTTCCAGGAAGAAGAAGGCCAAAGCAGAATCTGTGAAACTGACAAAGATTCAGTCAGAACTTGGACGTCTTGACACTTTGCTGTCAGTCGATGTTGGGGTCATCAGGGACAAGATAGAGGCAGCCAGCATGGACTACACGGAAGCTCAGTTGAGTCATTTGGGGTCACTCTTTAAGTGAATTTGTTCAAGAGAACTAAACATTATCGTGCACAGTCTTATAAATTCGTCATAGTTCCAAATGTTGGAAACAACATCCAGGGGTGAAAATAACCCATTGCCCGACGTCCGAGTCCAGTGCTTTTTTCTGTCGGGCAAGCAGATTTGTATATCATGCTGTACCAGTGTCCAGTTGACTTTCCAATGTTAATTACATTGTTTATTTAAAAATCAACAAGAAAATCGGCCGGTATAGTGGAAAAATGATCAGGGCAAGTAATTTTACATGTGCCACTGTACCCGAGTACACTAGCAACTTAGAAGTTATTTCCACCCCTGAACATCGTATTTAATATATACAGTTTTCAAAATTAGGCAGGATTGTCAAGGGCCTCTTTTTCATGAACCCAACCCAAGAATGGGCACACTTACATGACCTCAAGATCACTCTAAATTACAAACACTTGCTTATATATTACAGTACATGATATCAGCTGAAAAGGAGGTAGGCGAAGGGTTAGACACATCATGAAAATATTGAAATATAGATCTAGTCATCAGGCTGACATGTTGAGCGTGTTTTAGGAGTCAATCAAGGTTCAGTGTCAGTGTGACCAGTATTTCAGGTATGAATAAAGTGCTATCTGCGGCTCTTGAGATCACCTCTTGTATTTGAATCCAGGAAATCCTGTTATACTGTTATTAGCGATATGACAAATATGCATATATCAAATATTATATATAATAATTTCAAACATGCCATGTCAACTTGGTGTTGTTGGTGAAAAGTCCAAATTGTTGTAAACAAAGGATCATAAACCTCACTTACTGACCGCTGTGGGAAGCAAACAGTGCGTGTTTCACACCTTAGCCCACTGGGCCGCCCATGTTACTTGGGTTGTTAGTGTCTGTGCTGCATATCTTAAGCAGGAACAGAATGTGTTTAAAGTTGGGTTCAAACTAATATTATTAGGACATTGTTTTAGGACAAGAATAAAAAGTTTATGAAAAAAGGTTTGGGTGTACACATCATGCATATATGTCTATGATATGAACTGGTTAATATAATCTTCATGATAATAACTTTTTTTCTCAGGAGACGGTACACCCGAGCAGAGCAGGAGTTTATCAATGCAAAGATGGACTTGTTTCATAAAGGCGAGTTGAAGGAGAGGCTCACTGAGCACCTGTACACAATAATTCACCAGAATGAGGTGAGGAAGGCCAACAAATTGGCAGAACTGATGAAACAATTAGAAATGGAAGTTGCAGAAGAAGAAATGGAAGTGTCTGTTCCGACCATTCCAATGCTTTCAAATTTTAATTCTGTCACAACACTCCCAAACCCAGCACTGAAGTCTCCAGTACACAGCCCTGAGGTGGTTAAGACCATAGATCTGAGCAACAAAGATTCTTCAAAAGAAAGTACAGACTCTGTGCCTACCAAGTCACCTGAGGCTGAGACAGGCAAGTCAGAATCAGGGGCAGATAACTCTTCACAGACACAAGCAGGAACTAACACTGAAACAAAGCCTGGTTCAAGTGTGGAAGGTCAGTGTAATGAACTTTCTGAAAAACCTGATGAAAGTAAGACTGTTGTTTCAAGTGATATATCTAAAGATGTGCCTCAGAAACAAGATGCTGTATCTTCATCTGTTAATAAAGCAGCTTCATCAAGTCAGGATGTGGGGGTTGCACAACAGACGTGAATATGTTCATAATTTTATATATTTTTTGTTATTATTTTATTTTATTTTTTTGGGGGGAGAGATGGGGTTTTTTTAATTTTCTTTTTTTGGGGGGTCACCCATTTGTTCTGGGGAGGGTCATCAATTTTTTACTCATGTACTAGGGGGTCAGCAATTTTGTCCATGAAAATATTTTATAATTATGCTTAAAAATGGGGGCATTGATTTTGTACATGACATGCAGGGGGTCACTTATTTTGTCATTCACTTCATTACTTCATTACCAGGGGGACTGCCATCTCAATGTTGAAGGGAACAACTTGCAGATCCCATGATATTCAAGTAACTTACCTTGAGATTGTGTAGTGTTTAGAATGACATCTATTATAAGCATGGAAGATGATAATCAGTCCAATTCCCTATATGATGTTCACTTCTATTTGTCATGTGGTTTGTCATGAGATAAATTGTGAGCTGGAGATCTAGTGATGAGTAATCAATCATGCATGCACTACCTTCACACATTCAATGGTCATACAGTGAGATAGATATGTTATTGGTTAGTGTGAATTCTCCACCCTTTCCTCCCTCTCCATCCCTACTCTCACTTTCCATCCCCATGCTCATTGTGCACTCCATCCTCATTCTCCACCCCCACCCTCACCCACTCACTCTCCACACCCACCCTCATCCCTCTCCACACCCTCTCCACCCACCCACCCTCACCCACTCTCCACACCCACCCCCACTCACTCATCCACTCCCACCCTTGACACTCACTCCCCCCCTCCTCACTCCCACCTCCATTCTCACCACCTGAACCCCTTTGAATAAACATGAGAGTGTACGGTTTGTTACTAGCTTAAGGGACAAAAGGGTTATATCTTGAAATTGTATTTCTCTAACACTCTGCTTAATCTGATTAACCTCAGACTTATTGCCTCACGTGTCCTAAGTGTTGTGCTGTTATTAACAAAAGCATGAAACTTTGTTTAGAAGTGTATAAGTATTATGTAAATATTATATTTTTCACTTGTCTCGAAGCAGAAACGACAAAAGCACTAATGCAATAACCTGCATGATTTGACATGTTGATGAATGGCAACTGATGTACTTAACATAGGAAGCATGTGTACAGGCACTAGAGTCTACATGCCCTCTATGCTTCCTCATTTGCTCATTTTCAAGATGAGAAATGTGTTGTTTTCATGCAAAATGTTGATTCCTCTGAATGTCACAGATTCAGAAATGATACTTGTTTGTAAACCGTCCATGAATTATTGCCTTTGTAAAATATATCATACCCCTGAAGATATTTTATGATTCTTTATCATGTTATGACCATTACAATATCATGTGCTATGCAATACTTGTGAATTCTGCTGATAACAAACTATCTTGAGGATGTATATGTTTTATAGTGTTATAAGGAGCAGTGCCATTTATTACAGCTGTATGTGATGTAATGGGGTCATTTGATAAACAGGCATACCTGGAGTAGTTTTAGCTTCAGTCAATTTGCAATACCGTGCAATACATCAAATTCATGTTGTCAAGGTAATCATGAAATGTTTTTGTAAAACTTTTAATCTTTGTAAGGCCAGACCAATTATATTTCCGCCAGTCATAATTTTTCAAGAATAAGAAACATTTTTTTTATAATTTTCCCCGCTCAAAAAATAAAATCATTATGTTGTATTGGCCAAAAATGTAAACTTACAAGAAATATTTTTTTTAGACTTTTTTGTGCCATATACACTTAATAAATTGCCAAAAGTAAAATACTTATAGTATTTAAAAGGAATATTACTTTGACTGGTGATTTATTTGGATTATTTTTTTTTCCTCCTGCCTTTAGGTTTTCCGAGGACAATTATCCGTAAAAGAAGAAATAAAATTGGTCTGGCCTGATGTTAATTGTTTTTACGACCTAACATCTTTAAGCTATTTATTTCTCCATTGTGAGACATGTGTTCTGTCTTATTCTGCTTGCTTCAGCTTCAAGTTAATTACACCAACATCTGACAAAACCAAAAGTTGACATCCACACATCACAGTAATCATTCACTAGCATTAAGCTATGTTTCGCTTTGTTTATACCATTGGTAAAGTACATACAATAGGTTATCAAATTATGGTCATTTGAGATAATTTTAATATATTTAATGAGACAGTTGTAGAAGTATTAATGTCATATATTTGTTGAAATCTACGTTTTGTTATGAATTCATGGAGAATGTTTGTATGTGAATGCTTTTCAAGATGTCATTATAAGAAGTCATTGATGACCCTACAGTCGTTAAGATAAAATAGGATGTGTAGTTTTCTCTGATGGGTATTGTTACCACATGGATATTCATTATTGCACCCTTATTGCAACAATGGAAGCTAATGATACACCATTTTGCATATATAGGTCCGTCTCCTGGTCCTGGTTTCCTATTCTCGTGGTAAACACGTTTTCTGCCGAAATCGCCGATGCGCGACACTTAGTGTTGTTTACATCACCGACTGGTAATTAGGAAGTGGCCACAGTCTGTGAGTGATCAAAATCTTGCAGTGTCACGAATATTGGGGAGTTTATACCAACTTGGACATATCATTACTTTTTCCTGCCCTTTTTGGCAGGATTGCTCTTACATACACTCAATAACGTTAATTCCTGGTAATACCGCGAGAATGGGAGAAGCCTCGTTTCGTCAATGGCAGATGGCATTGTTTATCACCGGGCTGACAATTGGTAATTCACCTGATGGATCTGGCAGCTGATAGATGTAGATGTTAGAGGAGAAGGCCCTTCATTTAAAAACAACAAGCATGAATACGATAAGAATTGTTTGTGTTATTTTTTCAGCCGATATCCGTAAGTACCGCGAGAATAGGAAACGCCTTCCTAATATTGCTGACTGTTCATAAAAATAATCTAATGTGAAGTCATATGAAGGATGACATCTTTAGCTCTCCAGATTGAAAACAGGGTTATCCTCAGTGAAGAAGGTGTCTGTCCCTAAATGTTACAGGTTGCAGGGTGTGGATGCAACGCCTCCATGAAGTTATTTATGCTGTACAAAGTCGACATGGGATGCACTTTGACAATGATGTCATTTTTGTATTATTGTTGGGAGATATAAATATATTGTTACAAAAACTCAACGTTTTGTTTTCTATTAAAAATGCTATTGATTATTGGTAAATCAAATTGAAATAGTGTTTTAGGTCATCTTAACAATAAGTAGTTATATTAATTATGAACTGCTCCTGATTAACATAGGATAGAAAACAATCCTTTTGGGCTCAGTTTATTCAGAACATTAATCAGTTTGTTGTTATATGTTAAGTTCCTTGACAGTAATACCCGTGAAGGTCCGGGTTAGAATATTGATCTTCAGTAACCCATGCTTGTTATAAGAGGTGACTAACGGGATCAGGTAGTCAGGCTCGCTGACTTGGATGACACATGTCATCGGTTCCCAATTGCGCAGATCGATGCTTATGTTGTTGATCATCTGATCATGGGATTGTCTGGTCCAGACTCGATTATTACAGACCACCGCCATATAGCTGGAATATTGCTGAGTGCGGCGTAAAACTAAACTCACTCACTCACTCACTCCTTGACAGTAGAGTCATGATGTGGCACGTGATACGATGGAGGGAAACAGGATACATGTCATGGAAGATTATTTCCTCTATTTAACTTTAACATTCTTCCATGATATGATTTTTACAGTTTTAACTAGTTTTAACTTCAGTTTTTTACGAAAAGGATTCAGCAAGTGTTTAAATCCAAAAACACCTGAGATGCAGTGTTAATGGAACTGGTAGATCTACTTTTACACTTTATAAGGCTGATTATCAATGTACACAATTTTTTCCACGAATAATGGTTGCCTCAATAATGTGGTCGAGCTGGATACACTGGTTAGATGATCTTTATGAATCAGTTTAGGATAACTATTACTATAAAATAATGTGTTTACCATTAACATTGGATATACACTGTAGATAATATAGGATGACTTAAGTGCCACTTGTCAATGTCACTTAAATGTCAAAGAGTTTAGAATCTTTAGCAAAATGTCATGGATGTAATATGGATTTGAATAACAGCATTTAGGAACAGTTTATGGGAAGATAATATCTGGCTGTTGAAATGTAATATCTCTGAGATATACCATTAAAAAAAAGTAGGGGATATTGGATTTACAAGATTGATAAAATGCAAATGATGAAGACAAGGAGGAAACATGATGAAGGGAAATTAAAGGAAAATGTGACAATTTATTCCATTACTTTGGAAATGTTTCATCTGTATGGATATGTATTACTTTTTCTCATATGCATTGGCTTTGGCTAGTGGTATACTCGAAAAATGGAATATCCCCTACTTTTTTTTGAAGGTATAGTATACAGCTTATACAGAATGTTCTTATCATGATGTAATCCAGGTTAAAATGGGTCATCAACAACCTACACTGATTGTAGTGAATGCGTGAGTTACCAGTAGTTTAGTTTTACTCCACTTTTAGCAATATTCCAGCAATATCACGGTTGGGGACACCAGAAATGGTTCAGGCATTGTACATGTACCTATGTGGGGAATCGAACCCGGATTTCGGCATGACAATCAAACGCTTTAACCACTAAGCTACCCCACAGCCCCTTATAGTGGTTGTTTATGACTGATTTAGTATCATAATCTTAATACACCAATACTTATGACAATCTGGGTTAGAATTGGTCTTCAGTAACCCATGCTTGTCGTAAGTGGTGAGTAACGGGCCTTGATGACTTGGTTGACACATGTCATCGTATCCCAAATGATGCTCATGATGTTGATTACTGGATTTTCTGGTCCAGGCTCAATTACTGACAGACCATCGTCATATAGTTGGAATATTGCTGAGTGTGGCGTTAAACAACAAACAAACGTAATACCCCAACAGCATTAATAATGTCATTCACAATGTCTACCTCCTGTTTCAGGTTAAGGTATTTTTACAGGCCACTGTCTCAGACTTATGGGTGTGATCTTGCTGAGTGCAGGGCTGAACAACAAATAATAAAACGAACTTGATGCTTGTTGAGTCTCAATAAGTATCAGTAAGCCTGTGGAAAGTTCATGGTTGAGCTAAGTCCTTGTTCCCAACCACCAAATAGGAGCTTGTTTATTTTGTTGTAGAGGGCAATTGAGAAGGAAAGATGTAAACAATGCAAGTTCTAACTACAAGCTTAAACTTTATGTTAAATGGGTCATTCATCACATAACAAACTGCAAGGAGGCCACACCTCACAATATATACTTACCTTGCTTTCATTCTCATGCTTAAATCTTGAGAGCAGTCAGATCTGCAGCATCTCCAGCATGAACTCTGAGCATGACAGGAAGTTAACAAAAGGGATGTAACTCAAGACTCTCTTACTGTCCAACAATTTGTTTTTTAGGAATTGTGTCCCAACATCTTAATCTGAGGAATTCTTTGAATTCCAAACACAGACCTACTGGATTTTCACACAAGCATATTGGATGTTTTCAATGACTTTGCTCATGATAAAGATTATTATTATATATATTATTATTATTATTATTATTGATAAAGATGTATTATCTGGTTCAACTTTGTTGGGGTTTGCCATTAGATTAGACACCTATGGTTGTGGTCAGACTGTGATGTGGTTGATCTTTTGTCATTGTATCCCAAAGGATTGTGATATTTTTCATAACATCAATCACTGGCTTGTCTGGTCTCAAACTGTGGGGATTCTGGGTGCAAGTTGGCAACTTGTCTTGTTGTCAGACTCAATGCCCATGGGGGCGTGGTGGGCAAGCTGGCTAAGGTGCCAGGCTAGTAACCAGCGGGCATGAGGTGCCGGGATCGAGCCCACCTGTGACCGTGTGTAAAAACCTTGGAGTCAACTCTTTCAGTGTTGTCACAACCCCTAGTGTACAGTACACAACCCTGTGCTCTTAAAAGAAACCACGAATCCGTTGGTATATGACCAGATGGTGGCCACATGAATACATGCAAACACCCAGTTGCGGGTACAGCAACGTGCAGTAAACGTGGACAAAGTACTGTGGCTATGTGTCCCAGTCCACCCAGCTGTGAATGGGTACCTCGTAAGGATGAGAAAGCCGCAATAACTCGGTGCGCCTTGTGGCAGCAAGAGTTGTATGATCACCAGGGAGTTGAGATTGTTATTAAGATGTGCTGTTGAGATTGACATCCAATGATAGAGGGAAAAAATACCAGCGGCCTTAAGCATGCACTAATGTGTGGATATGTGTGCTATATAAATATCCAATAATAATACCTTGGATGGTTGTCATGGTTTATCAGTGTCATGGGACTTTGCTCATAATATCTATCATGGGTTTGTCTGGCCCATCCAGGATTGCCTGATATAATACTGACTATGTAAACATTGCACCCTATGGAGAGTAACGGAATGGCATGGTCAGGCTCACTGACTTGGTTGACATGTCATCCCAATTGCTTAGATCAATGTTCATGCTGCTGATCATTGGATTGTCTGGTCCAGTTTTGATTATTTACAGACCATCGCCATTGCTGAGTGTGGCGTTAAACAACAACAAATTCAATCCAATCCCAACATTGCAACATAGCAATAAAAACAACAAACAGTTTGTGTTTAATGTGTTTATTTACAACTGGGAAAATATGTAAAACTGTGAATCAAAGCTCTCCGTAGAAGACATATGTACATTGAGATAACATGAGTTCTAAAACAAGACAAAGCCAAGATGCTTAAAAGGCCTATCAAAAGGATACAGTGAATCCTGTAAGACTGAAATAAATACTTTAAATCTTTTTCTCTTGAATACTACTACAACAACAATGAAGAAAAACACAACTTTAAAATCTAAAATTTATTAAGATTATTAATTTAATAAATCACAAAAATGCCTTAAAAGAAATGTCAAATCACAGTGAAAAATCACTTCACTGACTGTAGGAAGAAAACCAATTCACACATTAATGTAATGTGAAAAAAAGGAACCATTCAAATGGTAGGAAATCCTCAATGATATAACAATGGAAACGGTGAAGTTCCTTTAAAATAAATGGTGCAGATTTAAAATGTGTTGTTTGAATTATAAAGATATTTTAATTATGCTCCACAGTATACTTTTTGGTTTTCCATGTACACCATGCTGGTATGCTGGCACCTAAAACTTTTTTGAGCATCAAGTGCACAGTACACTGAATATGGAAATCATTAAGATTAAGACAATGTTGCCATGATACCAGTATGTGCTGGCAAAGTGGATATGTTTCAGCCAAGGAACCAATTTCACCTTATTCCATATTCTTGGAAGACAAAGGCAACAGTTAAAATGTGTAGACTGACATGATATCACTTGTAAAGTAACTGATAAACTTGATGAAAAAGATATTTAAATATACTGAAATAAAACATCCGTATTTCAACAATATATACAAACCCCACTCCTTCCAAGAGTGAGCATATCGACTTCTCTAATATCACATTAATGCTGATCTAAGAAACTAAGCATCATCTTAAAAATTCAGTATTTAAGTATCATAATGATCTAAACAAATTCATCAAAATTCATACTGGTTGATATTGAGCCAATTCTTGGTTACAGTGTCCATACATTAAGAAATATGAAAAATATGTAATATTCTGGTTATGATGAAGAGGAATATTCTTGAAACTATGAAAGAAAACTAACAGGGATATATCGTTTAACAATCTCTCTGACACTTGTACAGGAGGTCCAGATAGGTGAACTCTTGAACGAACACAAATACCCGATCAAATGAATAATGCATGGAATTTTGAGCCAATCAGATATCAGCTTTCTGACGGGATTTGACTTCATTTCTTTAATTTAATTCATTCTGAAATTTTGACTAAAAAAGAAAGAAATCCCAAACTGAAAAGAAATATTTTCCTTTAATGGTACCGGTACTCCTTATTGGGTGGCTCCTAGAACAGACCCGGCGATAAAATATCCTAAACAAAATGGTGCAGAATTAGGTATCTTCATTCAAAGCTGTTCGTTTTAACACACTGAAATCAAATATACTGGCTGCTCACTGAAAGTATTTTGAGTGAGTTGGGGTTAACGCTGCTTTTAGCAATATTCAAGCAATATCACAACTGGGGACACCAAGAACGGCTTAACAGATTGTACCTATGTATCAAAATCTGAGTGGACACGTCAACCACCAGGCTATCTCCTTGCCCCACAAAGCAAGCCCCAGTGAATAGAAAAGTTCACCTAACTCAACCTCCTATTGTATCATCTTGGTGTAAAAGATCTGATTTCAGTGAGATTGAAATTGGGATATGCTAAAAAAGCTACTAAACCTCTCCATAGTATGGCTAATATACATGATACTATTGACAATGGGATCAGAATTGTGACAAACCGTGAAATACTAAAAGCGTAGAAAGAACACTTGTATCAAAATGTAACAATTGGTGAGAAATAGCAATAATGTGGACATATTGACCTGCAGCTAAGCATCAACTACTATAGAACAACACTGGCTTCACAAGCCACGGGGATAGGTACAGGTATGTGATGGAGGAACCTTACATTCACAACCTTCCAAGGAAAATTGACACAAATATCACCAGAAATGATATTGACAATAACACAAACTCTCATCCTAAAAAAATATTTCTTTTTAGTTAATGCAAAAATTTGAGCATTTTACTCACTATTTTCCAAGCAAAGACTTAGGCATGTCAACAGGAATATTTACAAGATGCAATATTCGTTATAACCTTAATAATAACAACTTGACAACATTTGAAAGAAAGCGCAAAATCTGTACTGTTCTTTAACAGCATTTAAACAGCATGGATACAAATAGCTTTAGGTCTGTGGCAACATGCCTCCCCTATGGTTGTACAACACAAGCTACTCTCTTGCTAGGCGAACCAGAATTATAAACATAACAAAAACTTATTTAACTGTGGGTATCATCTTTTTTAACATATACCATTTTAACACAATTGCATATTTTCTTTCATAAAATAAATGAAGGAGCACAGAGATATATAAAAACATTGTGCCACTTTTCCATCCCTAACCAGATTTTTTTTACAAATTTTACTCATTCATAATGGCTGCAAATTCTATCCTTTCCCTACATCAATACAAATAATTCTGTTATGCAGTAAATGAAATGTTCCTTGTTTCAACTCACTTGTAAAAATACCCCTAGTCCTGAATGTACAAGAATTTTGTTCAGATACTAAAAATAAATGGACATTTTTTTATTGGATGATTATATGGTAGATACATTTTCAAATATCTTGAATTTTTCTGAACATTTTGTGAAAGCTTAATATTTCAAACTAATCTGAAAACTATACGATACTTGTTCTGGAAAAGTCATGGAAAAAAGTGGCACTTGGTTGATATAAGCAGTTATTCCACCCAAGGCAGATGTTGCCAACACAGTCTGCCACCTGTGTGATATGACTTACAGGAATCAACAAGGAATTGGCTATCTAGGTTAGGGTTTGGACCAAACAGGAAATGCAGCCCTGAGTTGAAGTTCACAAAAGGACATTTTGAAATCCATTAACATTCACTCCTTTGGCGCCTAAACTTGGCACCAAATTAATTACATAGTAGCACAGTTTCTTTAACCTGGGAAGGGTTAATGCTAGAATATTACATCATGTTGTAGTGACCTTGAACTGATGGAATCTATTTTTCTAACATTAACCCTTCACCTTTCACACTTAAAAGATATGTTTCCCTTAGAAATAGAAACGTGAGGAGGAATATAATAGTCACATCAAAAGAAACCAAATTTAATGACATTTATGAAAGTCATTAAAATTTGGTTTCTGAATTTTCTGAATACACACTAATAAGTGTTTCACAGGGAAGCCATTTAATGAACCATGTTAAAGTTATGCCCACAAACCTCAACTAACAAAATATCTCCGTAAGTAAGACGGATGACGAATAAATGAAAGTGACGTCACGCATGTGATAAGCAGTCACTCGAGAATGACAAAGGCTGGTATTCAAGTCTGAAAATAGCACTCATGAAAATGCGAAAGAAGTAAAACGCTTACAGATTCGGGAATCTAGTGATTCACAATTGCATGTGACAAAAAACATACCCATGAAACCATGTGAAGAGAAGTTTAGAGAAGTAGACAAATGTCAAAGCATGCTTTTAAATTGTACCTGCCATTAAGCTCAAGGTATGACCAGCATACTGTGAGGCTGGAGATATTCGAGGATGTAAACATTATAGAATCAGTAACTGATTCACATAAGGGACTCTTGTACAACATGGTTTCCAATATTTCAATTTATAGTATATCAAAAATGTATTTAATAGCATTTAATAGTTTGTAAACGAGGTCGAAAATACTGACATAAATTGATGAATAGAATTCATGTGCAAATTATATGTAAAACACAGTCAGATGCAATCACTACATTGAAGCTTAGGGAGGAATAAAGACTGACACAGATTCTTGTGACAACATGGCAGCAAGAGGCATACATTTCTGGAATGTATGTTTCTTGCTTGGACATGAGGTCTTGCTTATCATAAAGGAACTTCCATATCAGCTGCAGAAATTGAGATTAGATTAGCTGATGGACATCATCTTGTAATGGGATGAGAGGCATGTTAACTGCATAGGTGAAATGGAGAATGACAAATGTTTCAAGTTGTATATGAAGGATTTGGCAATCACAGGTATGGAAGCTCCTCTACGAACAGAACCTTACTCGACCAGAATGATCAAATTAGCTGGTACACACACAATACCGTTGGTAAATCCACAAACACGATGCAGCTTATATTCTCCCATTGGGTTAGCAGTCCTTTCTTTCAGGTTTGAAGCAGTTATACCTTTCAGAGCTGAACATGTTTCAATCAAGTTGGAAATTTTAAACAACTAAACATAGTCACTGGGAATGTAGGGAAATAACCATATCAAATTACAGTTTTTCAAATATCAGTCATGGTAATCATATTCCAAATAAAACAATCCATGAAAACAATGAATACTTCAAGTTTAAAAATGGGAGTTTTTAAGTAAATGGTACTGCAAGCTAGTCATCTTGATGCAGGTAACCATGGCGATAACGCTGATCTTTGTTAGGTAAAAATACACTTGTGTCTCTCAGTAAAGGATTTACACATCAGATTTGGTGGTAAAATAGTTAAATTGGCCACACCAACTGTTCAAACATCATTGAAACAGCATTCGTTACATGATTATCTCCCTTGCAGGAAACAGGTTGTTTTCTGGAGTTACCTCCCTTAATGTGGCCATATATTGTTTCTGTGTCACCTGTAGGTGGGATTCTTCAATATAAAATGCCTAGTTTTCTATAATTTCATTCTTTTCATCTACTTTCTTCCTTTTCAGTATCATCCAATTTTGGAGGTTTACCAAATTTAAGTGATCGGCCATCAAAGCATTCAACTAGGAAATCCTCCAGGGTTTCGTATAGATGGCGTCGTGTGTTTCCGCCTAACAAACCATGATGTTTGTCAGTATACACCTGTAAAGAAATCAAACAATAGTGAGCAAATATGTTTTTGTAGTTACATGAAAAGAATTCATACTTATCTCATTATTATTAAAACATCTCTATGGTACATGTTCATAATCCTAGCTACAATCACATCCCTTCCGTTGGTATGTCTGTGACCCTCGCTACCATCACATCCCACCTATGACCCTAGCTACCATCATACCCCCTATATGACACTAGCTACCATCACATCCTACCTATCACCCTCGCTACCATCACATCCCACCTATCACCCTAGCTACCATCACATCCCACCTATCACCCTAGCTACCATCACATCCTACCTATCACCCACCATCACCATCATCCACCTATCACCCTAGCTACCATCACATCCCACCTATCACCCTAGCTACCATCACATCCCACCTATCACCCTCGCTACCATCACATCCCACCTATGACCCTAGCTACCATCACATCCCACCTATCACCCTAGCTACCATCACATCCTACCTATCACCCTAGCAACCATCACATCCCACCTATCACCCTAGCTACCATCACATCCCACCTATCACCCTAGCTACCATCACATCCCACCTATCACCCTCGCTACCATCACATCCCACCTATCACCCTAGCTACCATCACATCCCACCTATCACCCTACCTACCATCACATCCTACCTATGGTACATATCTCCATGACTCTATCCCAGCCCTGTTCAGATGGTACATATCTCCATGACTCTATCCCAGCCCTGTTCAGATGGTACATATCTCCATGACTCTATCCCAGCCCTGTTCAGATGGTACATATCTCCATGACTCTATCCCAGCCCTGTTCAGATGACGCTATGTCCTGGACAACTCACCTGTAACCTGAAATATACATTAGCTTCTGTCAAAGCCTTCATGAGCTGAGCAGAGTGCTGGAAGTGGACATTGTCTGAAACACAATCGAAATAATAATAATAATAATAATAATAATAATAACATTGTGTCCATTTATATAGCGACAAACTCCACACCAGGTATGCTCATAGCGCTAACACAGCACATTATTACCCCGGATACCCCAAGCTGCCTATCAACAGTTACACCAAATTTTACATTTGTCACTTTCATGCATATCTAAAGATTATTATGTATTTTGGCCTATGGTCTCATTACTAACTAAATATCTTAGATATTAATATAACCAGAACTGTCATTGTATTGTTTACACTCAGATAATGTTCCTGTATAATTCCTGTAGGGCTAAACATGTAACATTGTTAACCTCTGATTCATAATCACTAGTCTAATGAAGACGTTTACTGGAAGATATAACTTATCTGCATATACATGTACATTTACGGAGGGGTACACGAGTAGAGGGTTTCACACATTGTACCCATGTGGGGAATCGAACCCAGATCTTTGGTGAGATGAGAAAACTCTTTAACCACTCAGCTACCCCACCACCCAACATTTAGATGAAAATATAACTATCTACATACAGACATTTACTGGATCCCAAACACTGGATCATAACTGGTAAGGCCCTGCAAAGATTGACTGACTGACTGAGTTTGGTTTTACGCCGCTTTTAGCAATATTCCAGCAACATCACAGCGGGGGACACCAGAAATGGGCTTCACACATTTGTACCGCAAAGATTGAAATCAAAGACACCGATGAGTTTTTCACTCTTGACTGCTGAATAACACTAATGTAACAAGTAGACATCATCTGCATACCATCGCCAGTGCCATGAACCAGCATGAACTTGGTTTTCTTCATCCTCTCTGCATAATGGGATACATTGGCATCCTGGAAGACAAAACAATCCTATAAAATGTCAAGTCTGTGACTTAAACCCGAAGTCAAGTAAAATTCTCCAGGTCTGATATGCTCAGCAAAAAACAATAGCTAAGTGACTCAAAGGTTCTTGAACAGATTGTAAAATATCAAACAAGAGTTATCATTGTGCATAACTTTGTGAATGTTATCGCCATGTTTCCCTTCCATCTTGCCTTAGCGGCATGTTGCAAGAGCCTACTCCAGAGTATTTTCATTCTCTCATTCATTCTCATTTATCCTACTGAGACGATGATGAAATCTTGGACCTCATCTTTCTAGATAAATCCTTACACTGTGAAGTTGTTTTCGTGCAAATCCTTTGAATTGTAATCCAATAGTGATTTACTACAATCACACCAGAATCCTCTGTGATCAAGACCTTTCTACATTTGTGACATGACAGACAAGGAGGGTGTTGTGTTTTTAGGTAGTGAAAGTTATTGTTGAACAATGTTGTAATTGTATCATTTGGTTTCTGTTAAGATTCAGTAGAAGGTCATAACACTGTGTTTCAACAATAATTAGTATTAACAAGTTGTCAGAACTGTATTTCAATCTAATGCAAGCAGTGGTGTGGAGATTAGTACATTTTGATGCTTTTGGAGTGAAGAGTATTTGAAATCTTCTAGAACATATATAGACTACTCTTGCATGATATGGAACTTTTGTTAAGGTAATTAACAGATGGCCTGTCATACTCATATGGTGTTTCCTTCCAATGAACTCACCCTGTACGCCTGGCGGTTATCACTTGGGTTTGGTGTGCCCATGTACCTCTCTGTGTACACCGAGTCTGAAATATAAGCAGCAGTGTCATAACATCAGAAGAAAAGAGTACACTGTGCAGGTTACAGCTGATGGATATTCCACAATGAAATACCATAGTATATCCTGACAATGACCTACCATAGTATATCTGACAATGACCTGCCATAGTATATCTGACAATGACCTACCATAGCATATCTGACAATGACCTACCACAGTATATCTGACAATGACCTACCATAGTATATCTGACAATGACCTACCACAGTATATCTGACAATGACCTGCCATAGTATATCTGACAATGACCTACCATAGTATATCTGACAATGACCTGCCATAGTATATCTGACAATGACCTACCATAGTATATCCTGACAATGACCTACCATAACATATCTGACAATGACCTACCAAAGTATATCTGACAATGACCTAACATAGTATATCTGACAATGACCTACCATAGTATATAGAACAATGACCTACCATAGTATATCTGACAATGATCTACCATAGTATATCTGACAATGACCTACCATAGTATATCCAGTCGGTGACTGGGGCCACAGCAATGCCACATGGGAAGGTATCTGTCCCTCTGCCCAGTGCTGACAATGTCAGGAACCCTCCATAGGACTGGAAACAGCATTTGTTGTCATTTATATTTAGTGTAAGATATGTAGTGATTGCTCAGTACCATTTATAGGAATATTGAAAGACATACCCTACTCAGAAAAGATAATACTGTCCTGGCCAGGATAGAGCCTTAAGAAATAATGAATGTTCTTTAAGTTTTTCTAATAGTACATTGTCCTTCAATATCTAACATATACATAATAAATGGTCATTACAACATCGACAATTATATTGGTACTTAATCATTCTAAAACAGCTTATAAAAACCAGTATTTCTTTTGCTGAGAAATAACCGGTTGACTTTATTATGGACACTACAGTCACAGGCCCTCGTGTCTTTGTGAGGATTAAAGATTTTAAGAAAAATATAAAATTTGAGATGACCCCTGACTCGAAATGCTTCACAGTACAATACATTATGACAAGGCTGGACACTTCCGTGTACCCCACCCGCCTCCTTTGCCAATCGCTACCCTACCATCACATACAATCGATTAAAACTTAATGTAAACATAATCATGGATGACTGGCCTATTGATCACCACTCATGACACCTACCAGTTCTTTAATATTATTTCTGCAAGTCGACTGAAACCCGATTTTGACTCTCAACTAAAAATCTTGACACAAATGGATGACGATGTGTCCTCACAAAACGGGGGTGTGGTCGAATCAAGCCCTCTGGTTGGTTGATGCTTGTTAAGGTGACATTTACAACTGATGCTTTCTTTTGAGAAGCCATTGCCCGAAAATATTCTTACATTAAGCAGTTGATGAAAGGGAAAAAATCCCGCGAATTTATAAAGATTTGCAAGCATTGACCATCAGAGGTCATTATTATACTGTGAAAAATTTCGAGTCGGGGTCATCTCAAAATTTTATATTTCCTTAAAATCTTTAATCCTCACAAAGACACGAGGGCCTGTGACTACAATGTGTGTAAACACTGCTGACTAAGACAGAGCTTCTCACCCATCCCCATATCGCCATCTTCTCGGAGTCCACGTAGTGCAGCTTAGAATAATGTCTGAAACAAACATAGGGTCATGGTAGAAGGACCGGATAAACAACACTGACCAACTTCCTCACTTACAAGAGTATCTCACATACAGTAAACAAGGCAACACAGAAATATGAAAGCTAATCTAGAAAGTAACATGCATAGTTTCATTTGTCAATGAAGCATACTTTCAAACCTTAAAAGTGACTTTCATCCATCAAATACTGTGCATGCGAGGAACAAATTCTGCCTGACTTTTGTACCCCACTGCCACTATACACTTTGTCCCCATACAATACATATCTCAAATGCATGTCATAGCACAAATAGCACACTACATGAAATTGACACCCAACTAAAACTTACTTAGAAACCTTCAGTCACTTAAACTTACAACAGTCCTGCTACAATTGACAATAGTAGCATAACTTGATGGGTATAACAGTAAAATCAGAAAATTGTATTTTACATTATGTATTAATGCCGAAAAATACACCCTTTTTTAAATATCAAATGTATATATTCATACACAATGTACAAAGATAGGCTTAGTGTACCCTGATGCACAAATACCAATTTAATTAACAAATATCAATTACATCCATATTTAACAATGTCAACAAATGTCTACTCACTCTCCTGCCTTGATAGCATCCTCTACTTCGACTGTCCCGAGGCGCTTGTATATCTGTTGCAGGAAGGTCTGACCACGGCCCCCTGAACCACGCCCGTCGGCATATGCATAGATGTAGTTCTTTGAGCTGGTCAGATACGTCTCCCAACCAATGGAGAACTCATCTGTCACCTTCTGTGTGCCAGGGCCTCCATAGCTGAAGATGACAGAAAGATGGGTTGATTAACGAATGGTTACATATAGTGAGTGAGTGAGTATTCCAAGAATATTCCAGCTATTGTGGCAGTCTGAAAATAATCGCGTCTGGACCAGACAATCCAGTGATAAACATCACGAGCATCGATCTAGGCTTTTGGGAACCATTGACATATGTCAACCAAATCAGCGAGCCTGACCACCCGATCCCAGGATACATATCACTGGAGACTTCAGTGACCTGTGTCAAAGTTGGTGCGTATAATTTTTATCCATAGTAGACCTTACATATTTACTATCAAGTCATTGAGGGGAGAACAGTAGTCCAATCATCTAAACACTGCAATATATTGTGCAGAGTTGCTTCCCTTGGGCATGCTAGGAACCTATGATAATGGGTTTGAATCCTGGTTCATAAAGTGTCCATGTTTGTCAGCATCATACCAGTGCTCACTAAAGTGGTCTTTGACCAGCATAGCTTCGGACTTTCCTTCGACATTATACTGCTACAATGTCATATAATCGGAATACTCTTCACATTAGTTCACCAAACTCACTCACTCACTCACTCACAAACTGGGGATCAGGGATAATCTCCCTTCTTCTGAATGTCCTAACCAGACAAACTCTGAGGCTACTCATTTCTAGTTAATATTTTATCACTTTTTACTGGTTTACCATAGCAAAGTCACCATGCATAAATCACAACATTTTCTGTACTGAGTATAAACTCACACATTGAGGATGAGGGGGTATGTTGTAATATCCTCCACTTTCATTTTCGGTGGTAGCAACATCTTCCCCCAAATCTCTGAAACAGAAGAGACAAGACTTCAGCACTGATCATCAAGACAATTCACCAACTGCTCACTAGCTGAAGGTGAGCTACAGTATGTGTTTCAAGCTGGCAGCTGCTGTCAACATTGAAGTTCACTTAAACAAGTGAGTGAGTATGGTTTTACACCACTTTTAGCAATATTCCTGCAATATCATGGCGGGGGACACCACAAATGGGCTTCACACATTATACCCATTTGGGGAATCAAACCTGGCTCTTCAGTGTGGCGAGCGAACGCTTGGATCACTAGGCTAACCCACCGCCCCTCAGTTAAGGAACTACTGATGGTCACCATGTAACTATGCTTCCTCTTTTAGTGTACAGAGCAGAACAGATCATACCATGTGTAACCGGACTGATTGTGTGCCATTGTTCCCTGACTCCAAGGTATGTGTTCATGCTGTCAACCTTTGGTTAACCTGGCCTTCATTTAGTCATTCATCAAGTCATCATGCCACAGCTTCCATATTGCTCACAGCAACATAAAACAGCATTCACAACACCCAATGTCTACTGTTACAATGGGATGGAGGGGTAGCCCAGTGGTTCAAGCATTTGCTTGCCATGCCAATGGGCCAGGTTTGATTCTCTCCCTGGAGGCAATGAGAGGCCCATTCCTGGTTCCCCCCTTCCCCATGATCTTGCTAGGAAATTGCTATAATTGGGTTAAAAGGCAACTCTCTCACTTACACTGGAGTGAGTGAGTGAGTGAATTTAGTTTTACGCCGCACTCAGCAATATTCCAGCTACATGTATATGGCGGCGGTCTGTAAATAATCGAGTCTGACCAGACAATCCAGTGATCAACAGCATGAGCATCGATCTGCGCAACTGGGAACGGATGACATGTGTCAACCAAGTCAGCGAGCCTGACCACCCAATCCTGTTAGTCGCCTCTTACGACAAGCATGGGTTACTGAAGGTTCATTTTAACCCGGACCTACACTGGAAAAAATCTACTGCCCCTTTGAGGACTTAAAAATAATGGCTTTCTCTCTTAACTCATTAACTCAGGAAATGCAACCAGTCAACACGAACTATTTCATGTTTTGATCAAACTGAATGTGTCTGTTCTGTTAAAAAAATTCCATCATGAAATATCAGGTACTTTAACATCCATATGTCAGGGGTTTTCGATGATGTAAGGCAAAAATGGAATTTTTATCTTTAATATCATTTAAATTTTTATTTTACTAACCTTGAGGGATAAAGGATATATTCATCTATTTCACACAAAAATATCAAGTGTTTCCTATAAAAATAGCGTTGATGACATCGTATCAGTGAAACTGTTGTCGCTCTCAAGATCCGGGGATTTCGTATGGGTTTTCGACAATGAGCCATACTTTTCGCTCCGCAATGCAAGGGATTGTTGTGATCACTTGGCTTCCTATTTATATATTGCCTGTCACAAGCAGACGACTGACTGCTATTTTTTGTTCTTTAGGCAACTTGGAGCTGAAGTGGTATTAACGATCTCGGGTAAATAATATTGATGTTTGTTTGCTTTTTATATAACTTAACTTCCGGATTTCAATTATCAATAAAACTTCTCACGATAGTGACTGGGCATCCGCCCTGCCGATGAAACTGTTTGTGCACTCCGATCGTGCACGTACTCCCCCGATATAGCGCAAGCAATACAATCATCAAAATCACCAGAACGTCGAATTCAGTTCGCTTGTGGATATATATGGTAGTAGTGCCCCACACATCATAGGACAGTAAGCAAATCTCTACACTTACTCTGGCCATTCTCAATTTCAATAAAGATATCTTCTTGCTGTGGCAGGGCCTTTTTGGACAGTCTTTCTCCAAGGACAGTGTTGTTCTCCATACGTGCAACTGAAAATACATGCAGAGAAGTAAACAATTAACTGAAATTTACTTGAAGTCTACAGAATGAGTGAGTGAGTGAGTTTGGGTTTATGCCGATTTTAGTAATATTCCAGCAATATCATGGTGGGGTACACCAGAAATGGGCTTAACACATTGTACCCATGTTGGGAATCAAACCCGGGTCTTCAGCGTGACGAGCGAACGCTTTAACCACTAGGCTACCCCACCACCCCTCAACAGAATGAAAGGTAGTGTCCTTACTGACGACATATCTTGGCAGCAAAGTGACGTTACCATCATGATATGTGTGACAGTTTCAAGAAAAGAGACATCAGAAGATGACATATTCCCTGATGCAATTTGTAAATGGAGTTAGGCTACTTATGCCCCACATTCAACTGATTGCCATTGGATACCTTCAGTTCAGTGAAGAGAGAAAATACTGCAGTTCTGTATTTATCAATACTCCCAAGCATCAAAAGGCACCACTTTACCACATGACTACTCTGTATACCAAGTTTCATCTAGAAATATTCTACTTTTTGTTATTACTTTTCCAGAAACGAACACTATACAATGTACTAATTTTCAGTAAAATCTACATTGTTGTCATGAAAATGAAAAATATGTTTTAGACAATATATATCCCAAATTATCAACACATGTTCACCACAAGACTGATCAGTGTGGCAAGTGTCAAGAGACATACCGGTATTCAACAGTAAGGGGGTTCTGCTTTGGAAATGGAAAACGAATGGAAGACAAATGGATGGACATTCTGATTGCTATATCCCTGTTTTTCAGTAGGCTGTATAATAAAGGAACTGATTCTCTCTATGCTGCAGACAGGCATGACTTACTCTCTTCCATGGTGCTGGTGTCGTACAGGGAGTAATACGGCACTCCTGGCCCTAGACACTCCAGGATGAAGTAGCGAGATGATCCACTGAAACTTGCACTCACGTACTGGCACTTGTCACTGATATCACATGTGATGCAGTTCACCTTACGATCATGGTCAACACTGGAACAAAAAATTGTTTAGCTCATTTCAGTGTTCTCATCAACAGCATTTAGTGTCCTGTTATCCGACATAAATAAAATCCTTAATTTTACTAATTAATTTCAAAGATACTAAAATATATATTCAATTTGAAAAATTCAACAAAAACAAAATAAATAAAAAAAAGAAAATTAATTAATTTTTAAAATTAAAAGAAAATTATAAAATCTTCATTTGACCTTTCCTAGATCTCAGCAGTAAAAGTTACTGTTCGTAACTCAGGTTTTCATACAAAGGTTAAAGGAATTAAATGCTTGTATTGAATGCTAATGAAATATAATTGTTAGAATTCACATGTGTTCCCTGTAGCCCAAGTTTGTTTGGACCACACAATCCAGTGACTGACATTAGGAGCACTGAAGCTGGATACGATGACATACATCTGCAAAGTCTGAGAGCTTTTCTGAAGACCAATTCTAACCTAGATCTTCATGGGGTTTGTTTGTTGTTTAAAGCTGCACTCAGCAATATTCCAGCTATATGATGGCAGTCTGTAAATAATTGAATCTGAACCAGAAAATCCAGTGATTGACATCTTGAGCATTGATCTTCGCAATTTGAACACGATGACCTGTGTCAACCAAGCCAGCAAGCCAGATAGTTGCCTCTTATGACAAACATTGGTTGCTGATTGTCATAGTTACCTGTACACATGCTTCTTCTTGGGGTCCCCTCCATTTCCTAGGAAGTATCTGTGTTAGAAATACAACACTATTAGCAAGACATCAGGTGACAACTCCTTGTCCATGCAATTATATGGCAGAATCATTGCTTTTCCTTGAAATTTCAAACAATATGAATTTCACTAAGATAATGTGAAGTCATAATTTGGAAAGAATGGTATTACATTCTCAAATGGACTTAATCTATCCAGGAGAAAACAGGAACATTAAGGAAGAAATTGTAATTAAGAAGTGTAAAAAGATTTTTGTTTGTTTATTGTTTAATGCTGCACTCAGCAATATTCCAGCTATATGGCAGCGGCCTGTATAAAACCAAGAGGTTGGGATGTATGGAAAAGCTTGTTTAAAATCTGATCACTGGTACCATAGAGCATATAGGACCTGTTTGACGTAGGTAATTTCTCTTAGAAACTTCTTTAAAAAATCAAGAGTGAATTATTGCTTGATCAATTGACCATTTCTCTGGGAACCGGTACTGATAACAAAGTTGTATGCAGCAGAATATTAGGTATATGGACGGGAGCTGATCAAGTCTGGTGTAGACAAACCCAGTGGTTGATAGTGTGAGCATGTACAGAGTAAACAGGCCTGGTCTTCAACCATATTGTTTTCATATTACAATGAGGCATCGTTATTGGTACATCATACTGCAGAGAGCTGAAATTACTAAACATTTGTGACGACGCAATAAACTTACAATGTTCCTTGTATTGTACTGATCTTAAAAAGTTGGACCTACCAAGGTTTTACTTCATTATAACACTAAACGATGACTTTCAATGCTAAAGTACTTACACCAGTTTCTGCTCGTTGTCATAGCTGAGGATCTTGGTGACCTCTGACTGGTCCAGAGTCAAGAATATCTTGCTGTCTCCAGCGTTACCTCCCTGTAAATATATGGTCTGCAGATGACTGAACAGTCTACAAGTGTTACAACTTCTATATTCAGACACAATAGGAAGCCTAAAGGTACAATGTGAAAACATCTACAGGCGTTCAAAAGTGAGGATTGTCTCCCCTTATATTATCAGTAAAGATATATTTGGATACTCTGAAGTAAAAACATACCTCAGTAATATTATTGTTGTTATTAATAACAACTTCTCTGTAGTTTTATTTTCCTTATAAGGGAGCAAGACATTGTTCCAAAAGTTTAAGGAGGAAAAAGTTCGAATTACAAAAGGCAAGTTTCATAATTTACAAGTTTAACCAGCTTCTAAATGCCAATCAAAGACTTCAACAAATATTTGTCTGATTTAAAGTTTGTTGTTTGCCAGTGAAATAACAGATACATCACGTACCCTGAACTCCACCATGGCGACATGTTTGAAGTAGCCAGCATCCTGGTCTCGCTGCTGCAGCACCCAGAAATACCGAGACCCGTCGGAGGAGAACACTGGAGGAGTGTACTGAAACAAAACACAGAATCACTCAGTAATAGGTCCATGTATTGGGCACTCGACAAATTCATAGGTGGGTCTGGAACGATTGTTTTGTTTTTTGTTTATTGATGCACTTTGTGGTCATACCTTATCCATTTCACTTGATAACAATGTACCATAATGAACTAAACACAGCATATGCATACATACAATATTCTATGTGTTTCTTTCCTTTTCTACCTCCATATATATAAATCATTGGTATATCAAATATGAGGTTAGGTGAGGTGAGGTGAAACTGGGTTTAACGTCATGCTTGAGAATATTTCGCTCACATGACAACGTGCATGCGTGTATATGTGTATGTGCGGCTACTTGTACTAGCCCAGACTGAAGATGGTTTTATAGTGCTAGCCCACTGAGATACCATGCCGCAGTGAAGAATGAATACCCCACTCTGGCACATTATACTGACTCCGAGCCAACCAGTCCTTGATGTACCCATTAATGCCAAGAGCCAGGCAGGGACCAACAAGTACCATATTTTCACGTCTATTGGTATGACGCCATCGGGGATCGAACCCGCGACTTTCTGTTCTCCGGGCGGACGCTCTAACCACTACACCACCCAGGCGGTCTATATCAAATATGACACTATATGATACAACATATATATAATATATGACATACTCACCAGATCAAGCCATCCCCCGTGTCCCTCTTCTCTCAGGCTCTGAAACAATACAATACAATACAATACATAGTTAGCCCAATATCTTACAGGTTGCTTTCATCACCTGATTTTCCAAAGTAATTTTGAGCATGGATAAAAGGAACTTGTTTTCATACAGTCGAACCAGTGAAAAGCAGCTTCATCCGTAGATTTTACAAACATAATTTACTTTCAGGATTGAAAAAGAACCAACATTACATTGTAAAATGAGTTCAACATTCCTGTTAGATGAGCGACTACAGCAGCATTCACTGACCTCTTGACACTGAGCGTCCTTTGCACTGCACTTGGTGATGATGGAGAAGTTCTGGGGACGGTTCATCCAGCTCACCAGCAGAGTGTCGTCATCCTTCCAGGTCACAGTAGTGAAGTAGTACTCTCTGGAAACACAGTTGATGAGCATGTACTATAATCATTGCCTAAAGTGCAGCAGCTCTGAGAACAGAGTTAATTTAAATCCCAAACCCCCACGATTGTGTTTCTAGATTTGCCAACACCATACCCATGATCGTGTAAGGAGGGGTGGTGGGGTAGCCTAGTGGTTACAGCGTTCGCTCGTCACGCCAGAGACCCCGGGTTTCATTCCCCACATGGGTACAATGTGTGAAGCCCATTTCAGGTGTCCCCTGCCATGATATTGCTGGAATATTGCTAAAAGTGGTGTAAAACCATACTCACTCACTTGTTTAAGTGAACTTCAATATTGACAGCAGCTTCCAGCTTGAAACTAAACTCACTCACTCATTCACTCACTCACTCACTCTTGTAAGGAAGATAACAATGGTGTTAGAACCTTTACCGAAAGATTGCTCTCACTGTTAAAAAGAGGTTGTTATCCATGAATTGTTATCCCTCCTTACTGCTCCAAAGTCTAAATACCTCTTTAAAGAAGCCATGATCATGCTCTCACTGTCATAAAGAGGTTGCTCATCCATATATTGTTATCCTTCCTTACTGCTCCAACTGCCTCTCAAAGAAGCCATGATTGTGTGTTTCATAAAAGCGGGAAATGTCTCTGACCGGCATCAAAGTGATATACCATGATATAACAGAAATACTGTTCACAACATGTACACACATTGTCTTGATACCTACACCACACACTCAAATGTCAGTAAATGTCACGTAATAATTTCAGGATTGTTGAAGCATAACCTGTAATCAAACTAGCATTAAAATGGTTTATATATCTATGATATGCAAACAAAACAAACAAACTCACATGTTTCTGAAATCCGGAGGTGGCTGGATTGTCTTGATTGTTTTCGTCTCGATGTTTATAATCTTGAGCTTGAATGTGGGATTTGGGAACCCAGGCTGTGGAACATTAAGCTTGATTAATTTAGGCTGATAATGAGTGATCCTCAGTTTTCTACACGTTTGTGAAGATGATCAAGATTTTGAACATAAAGACCAAATTACTGTCATCCGTCGCAATAACGCACTTTGCAATACCACAGTCATCCATGGACCACAAGATCTGTGCTATGACGAGGGATGACTGTATGTGTTTTACCCCAGAGGTGCTCTCTCATTGTTACACTCTCACAATTTGACTTGGAAAGAATATGACATGAAAAAATGAATGACTGAAGCTGCTTTCTCATATCCAGTTGTGTTTATCAATCTAGATTTCCTGGGCACATAGCACAAATATAGTGGGGTGTCAGTGTCAACATGCTTGTGTACTATCCATGACCTTTCCGAGTCTCTGGGATCTGAACCATGGACCTTCTGATCCAAGGTCAGCCATCTGTCAGGGTAAGGATGCCATCTGTATGATGACTCTGTGTACAGCTACACTTGCATTAAAAAGTATTCAAGTAGTGGACCACTGACATTCGACATTATCAAGATTCAGAGTCCAAAATAAGAACACATATACACCAATTGAAAGCATACACTGTCTTGAGGAATTAGTAATGAAATATTAACATCTGGGAATTCTGGTCGGCCAGTGCTCCACAGAGAAAAGAACTTGAGTCTAGTCGAGCTCACTGGAAGATCCAGCAGGAATATCAGACAACACACATGAAGAGGTCATGTTTACTACCGGTATATAGTTACATACCTTTGGATATGCAATTGTCCTGGACTCGCCATAGGCGCTGTTCATGTCACCGTAGATGGGGAAGTAGTAATTCGGGACTTCGGTGTCATTGAAGACAGCATAACAGAGGTAGGTGCCATTAGCTGACCACCAGACGGCGTTATCAGCACCGAGGATTTCCTCTGGATAAACAAATGAATATATCAGTATTTGCATGTCTAAGTCCAAGTCCACACCTGATCAATGTTGATGATGACAAGGTGTTCAATACTTCAATCACCTTAAAATATGCAAGCCATGTAATTAGGAAAGGACACCAAGGAAAGGACCAAGCCTGATGATGTGTTCAATACTGTAATGTCTTTTAAAGACAAACTCCACAAAAGATACCCTTGAAGATCCAGGTTAGAATTGGTCTTCAGTAACGCCTGCTTGTGTAAGAGGCCACTACTGGTACCAGGTGGTCAGGCTCACTCACTTGGTTGACACATGTCATCATATCGCAATTGCGTAGAACGATGCTTATGAAGTTGATCACTGGATTGTCATGTCCAGACCCAATTATTTACCGACTGCCACCATATAGCTGGAATACTGCTAAGTGCGGCATTAAACAACAAACCATCGAAACCAATCCACAAAGGATACTCTAAGGAGGGGTCCAAGGTCCTACCTTCATACACCCAGTCCGGAACACCATTGTAGATGAGGCCTGGGATCCCATCATCCACCAGGGGTATAGGGCTTGTTTCAATATCTGACTTGTAGTAGATGTTGTTTTCCAGGATCATCAGCTGAAACAGAGAAGCATGAACTTGTCATCCTTTGTGATGACTGAGGTATAAGCTCACACCAAGCCTCCACATGACTACATTATTATTTTCACCAGCAGCCTTCACAACCATCAACAACATGTTGAGTTAATAATACCAGTTTTAATAAAAAAGCGTATGGCTGACAAAATACTGATTACGATCCTGCTGATGCCATAAGGTAATATGATGTTTGTTTCGTTGTTACATTGCAAAATTGGGCAATATTCCAGCAATTTTACAGCCGCCTGTAAATAATAAGAAAATCTTGAGGTAATGTTAGCTTCAATCAGGAAGCTAATGCCACTAAAACCAAACTAATCAATATCATTTCAAGAAATATATCAAAATAACCCAAACATATAAATACATTCACTTGACATTCAAGTCCCCTTCCCAGAATGCAAAGACTGTCGAGTGTGAGAATTCTGGCAACAAGTGAAAGTGTAAACATAAGCCCAGTTCATGATATCCTGAAGATTTCAATAATGCTTGTCATTATGTTACATACAAACTAGTCCATATAGGTCTTGACAGTTTAGTTGGTGCAATATACATGTTGGATTTATTGACCATGTTAATTTAAAACAGCTACTGAGAGACGACCAGATATTTGCTGGACTCTGTATCACACAGGTTGAGATACTTTGACTAACTGAATTTGACATCAGCTGTAAGGTTACCAAGAGACACTTAACTCACTTACCAGGCTATGTCCTCTTGGAGCCCACGCCACATACTGGTACCTACTGCCTGGGCCAGGGCCCTTGAGCTTCAGCAGGTCTCTGAAACAGACACAACTTGGATGTCATTCACTTCTTTAACCACTCCATTGCTCTTCAGGAATAAACACTTCGTTGTCAGTTATACATCGTCTAGAACCAGTATTTTAATTAGTTTACACTTTGAATTCATTAAGATTTCATTATTTTATTTTGACACTCAAGTTAATTATTTAAAATAAAGTTGAAAAACATGTGTCACCAGTTTGGTTCAACACTTCTATTATGTGACCTGAGGTGTAAAATGGACATAGACTATGGCCACACATGACAATGTGGAGAGAAAATGACTATGGAATATTGTAAATATTTGTATAATCTTTAAGGGCTTAGAAAACCTCATGATGGACATGAGGTACTGGGACATCTAATGATGGACATGGGGTACTGGGACATCTAATGATGGACATGGGGTACTGGGACATCTAATGATGGACATGAGGTATCTAATGATGGACACATCTAATGATGGACATGAGGTACTGGGACATCTAATGATGGACATGGGGTACTGGGACATCTAATGATGGACATGGGGTACTGGGACATCTAATGATGGACATGGGGTACTGGGACATCTAATGATGGACATGGGGTACTGGGACATCTAATGATGGACATGGGGTACTGGGACATCTAATGATGGACATGGGGTACTGGGACATCTAATGATTGACATGAGGTACTGGGACATCTAATGATGGATGGACATGGACATAGGGTACTGGGACATCTAATGATGGACATGGGGTACTGGGACATCTAATGATGGACATGGGGGTACTGGGACATCTAATGATGGACATGGGGTACTGGGACATCTGGACATGGGAGTACCTAGGACATCTAATGGACTGGACATGGACATGAGGTACTGGGACATCTAATGATGGACATGAGGTACTAGGACATCTAATGTGGACATGACTGGGACATCTAATGATGGAATGTACTGGACATCTAATGATGGACATGGGGTACTAGGACATCTAATGATGGACATGGGGTACTGGGACATCTAATGATGGACAAGTCTAGGACATCTAATGATGGACATGGGGTACTGGGACATCTAATGATGGACATGAGGTACTGGGACATCTAATGATGGACATCATCTAATGATGGACATGAGGTACTGGGACATCTAATGGATGGACATGAGGTACTGGGACATCTAATGATGGACATGAGGTACTGGGACATCTAATGATGGACATGGGGTACTGGGACATCTAATGATGGACATGGGGTACTGGGACATCTAATGATGGACATGAGGTACTGGGACATCTAATGATGGACATGAGGGGACATCTAATGATGGACATGGGGTACTGGGACATCTAATGATGGACATGGTACTGGGACATCTAATGATGGGGACATCTAATGATGGACTGGGGACATCTAATGATGGACATGGGGTACTGGGACATCTAATGATGGACATGAGGTACTGGGACATCTAATGATGGACATGAGGTACTGGGACATCTAATGATGGACACATGAGGTACTGGGACATCTAATGATGGACATGGTACTGGGACATCTAATGTATGGACATCTAATGAGGTACTGGGACATCTAATGATGGACATGGGGTACTGGGACATCTAATGATAATGATGGACATGGGGTACTGGGACATCTAAATGATGGACATATGGACAGGTACTGGGACATCTAATGATGGACATGAGGTACTGGGACATCTAATGATGGACATGAGAGTACTGGGACATCTAATGATGGACATGAGGTACTGACATCTAATGGTACATGGGTACTGGGACATCTAATGATGGACATGACATGAGGGTACTGGGACATCTAATGATGGACATGAGGTACTGGGACATCTAATGATGGACATGAGGTACTGGGACATCTAATGATGGACACGAGGTACTGGGACATCTAATGATGGACATGGGGTACTGGGACATCTAATGATGGACATGAGGTACTGGGACATCTAATGATGGAGGTACTGGGACATCTAATGATGATGGACATGAGGTACTGGGACATCTAATGATGGGACATCTAATGATTGGACACTGGGACTAATGATGGACATGAGGTACTGGGACATCTAATGATGGACATGAGGTACTGGGACATCTAATGATGGACATGAGGTACTGGGACATCTAATGATGGACATGAGGTACTGGGACATCTAATGATGGACATGAGGTACTGGGACATCTAATGATGGACATGAGGTACTGGGACATGATGGACATCTAATGGGTACTGGGACATCTAATGGACATCTAATGATGGACATGAGGTACTGGGACATCTAATGATGGACATGAGGGGGTAATGGGACATGGGACATCTAATGATGGACATGAGGTACTGGGACATCTAATGATGGACATGAGGTACTGGGACATCTAATGATGGACATGAGGTACTGGGACATCTAATGATGGACATGGATACTAGGGATGTTGTTCATAACTGAAAAGGTACTAGACCTTGCATGACAAACAAAAGGTATTTGGGACCTCATCCTGAAGACAAGACGGATTTTCTGGTCACATGTATATTGAAGATCATAAGTGGTCAAGCTTTAACCACTAGGCTACAGTTAAACTACATAGTGAACTCACCGAGTGTTGACATCATACACACTATAGGAGGCTAGTGTTGAGTGGCGGTACACCTGAAGTGAATAATGACAGAAATACACCACGCTGATATCAACTTAGTAGAATTCAATGGTACTGTATTTCTGACAAATATAACTATAAGAAATTTAACTGACTCAAACACACTAGAATTAAAAAGCATGAAACAGTTTATGGAAACATGAAAACATAATGTTTTTTGGATGAACACTGCCGGTGGTTTCCAACAAAACTTACAAAAATTATTAGTTTCAAATCATCTTCAAGGCATGTAATGAGCAGGTGCTTTTCCAAAATCCTGTTGAATTGACATTATCCATGTCAAGAAATTTCTAAAACAATGACAACATTTTGAAGTTCTTCCAGAACTAAAATATTTTTTTGACAAACCAAGGCAATTACATTAGTCTAAACTAACAACTGCTGGTAAATGATTCTGTTTATGAACCCATGCTACTTAGAATAACGCCTTGGTGTAATTTACAATCAAATTTCTTGAGTACTCACAGGTTCAACATCAGCTTTCAATAGAACATATTTCTTGTCTGGAGAGAGGGAGTATTGCCCAGTATCCAGCTGCCTCTGTGAACCAAAGTCAATACTTTGTAAACATGATAACTAGCATTTCTACATATGCATGAAATATGCATCTTTTATGCCTTTGTACTGTGTTACCATGGAGATATTCAGGCAGATTACTTAGATTTATCCACTGTTGCTGATAGGCACAATGGTTTAAATAGGTCCATGAAGATGGGTGTGGTGTATTGTTCATTTTATAGTGCTATATTGAATATAGTGAATCTGTGGCTCACTTCCACTCTTACCTTTATTTGAAGTGCATGACAGAGAACTAATATGTCTATGACAGGTGCCCTAGTACTCGTATATCTTTGACAGGTGCCAAAGTACTAGTATATCTTTGACAGGTGTCCAAGTACTCATATATCTTTGATAGGTGCCCAAGTACTAGTATATCTTTGACAGGTGCCAAAGTACTTGTATATCTTTGATAGGTGCCCAAGTACTAGTATATCTTTGACAGGTGCCCTAGTACTTGTATATCTTTGACAGGTGCCCTATTACTAGTATATCTTTGACAGGTGCCCTAGTACTAGTATATCTTTGATAGGTGCCCTAGTACTAGTATATCTTTGACAGGTGCCCTATTACTAGTATATCTTAGACAGGTGCCCTATTACTAGTATATCTTTGACAGGTGCCCTAGTACTAGTATATCTTTGATAGGTGCCCTAGTACTAGTATATCTTTGACAGGTGCCCTATTACTAGTATATCTTTGACAGGTGCCCTATTACTAGTATATCTTTGACAGGTGCCCTAGTACTAGTATATCTTTGATAGGTGCCCTAGTACTAGTATATCTTTGACAGGTGCCAAAGTACTTGTATATCTTTGACAGGTGCCCTATTACTAGTATATCTTTGACAGGTGCCCTAGTACTAGTATATCTTTGACAGGTGCCCTAGTACTAGTATATCTTTGACAGGTGCCCTAGTACTAGTATATCTTTGACAGGTGCCCTAGTACTAGTATATCTTTGACAGGTGCCCTAGTACTAGTATATCTTTGACAGGTGCCCTATTACTAGTATATCTTTGACAGGTGCCCTAGTACTAGTACTAGTATATCTTTGACAGGTGCCCTAGTACTAGTATATCTTTGACAGGTGCCCTATTACTAGTATATCTTTGACAGGTGCCCTAGTACTAGTATATCTTTGACAGGTGCCCTAGTACTAGTATATCTTTGACAGGTGCCCTTATATCTTTGACAGGTGCCCTAGTACTAGTATATCTTTGACAGGTGCCCTAGTACTAGTATATCTTTTTGCCCAGGTGCCCTAGTGCCCTACTAGTATATCTTTGACAGGTGCCCTAGTACTAGTATATCTTTGACAGGTGCCCTATTACTAGTATATCTTTGACAGGTGCCCTAGTACTAGTATATCTTTGACAGGTGCCCTAGTACTAGTATATCTTTGATAGGTGCCCTAGTACTAGTATATCTTTGACAGGTGCCCTATTACTAGTATATCTTTGACAGGTGCCAAAGTACTTGTATATCTTTGACAGGTGCCCTAGTACTAGTATATCTTTGACAGGTGCCAAAGTACTAGTATATCTTTGACAGGTGCCCTGGTAGTACTAGATCAGTATCTGAGACAGGTGCCCTAGTACTACTGTATCTGTGACAAGACTCTATTACTACCGTATCTCCTACAGGGGCCCCAGTACTATTGTATCTGTGACAGGTGCCCTATTGTATCTGTGACTGATGCCCTAGTACTACTGTATCTGTGACAAGACTCTATTACTACCGTATCTCCTACAGGGACCCCAGTACTATTGTATCTGTGACAGGTGCCCCAGTACTATTGTATCTGTGACAGGTGCCCTTGTTCTACTATGTACTACTTACAAATGTAGTGTTGTCCATGAGCGGGTTGGAGGAGTTTTTGACACAGTCAAACTCAGCCAGTGCTCCCTCCACATTCCTGTAGATAAACTTGTCCTCTCCTGAAACAAACACCCATTGTCAGTACACACTGCTGGAGAGATAAGTACACAAACAAACAGTGGTCCTGAAATGTACCATGCACACATTTCAAGATTTCCAGTGAATCTGAAGCTTCAAAGCAACTACAGCATTTAGGTTTACAAAAATGTGATTTACAGATTCACAGAACACAGATCATCCAACCATTATCAAGAGTGAGTGAGTTTGGTTTTACGCTGCTTTTAGCAATATTCCAGCAATATCACAGGGGGGGCACACCAGAAATGTGCTTCACACATTGTATCCATGTGGGGAATCGAACCCAGGTCTTCCACATAACAAGCAAATACTTTAACAACTAGGCTACCCAACCACCCCAATTTTCAAGAGAATATAGAATTTAGGTATGAGAAAGAACAGTGAAGGGACGCACAAATGTCTTTTTTTCTGTAAACAAAGTATATGGTTGTTTCAAATGATCCTCAATCCTCTATATAACACATAGCTGTCTTCACAACTGTCTCCAAATTGCTTCTTGAATGCAACCATTTGATTCATAAAAACCTTATTCTTTGATCGCCTCTGCTTTATCAATAGATTCACTCCCCCAGCTATTGATCGCTGAAGAGCTGGATGGATTGAAAACAACATTTACTATAAATATTCTCAAGCATCCTCCACATCTATAGTTGCTGACGCACAATCAAATATTCTCACAATATTTCTATTAATATACATCCTTTTTCATGAAACGATTACTGAATTTATCGTTTCAATGGTTCTGTAGAAACATTGACGTCTTTATAGCTGTGTATAAAGAATGCTGAAGTCTGACATTCAGTGAATTGATCGGCAAGGCTGTTTTGTGACATTCAACAAAACACACATCGTAAAAAAAATGTTTAGCAGCAAGGTTTCTCAATGCTACCACAAAAGATTACATTATACATCTCATTTTTGTATTGGTGAAGATCAATCAAATATATAAACCAGAAAATTACAATACCTGTCTATGGGAACCAGTTTGACAAGTGTGTGAGTTCAACTCACGTCAGTTTTAACAGTATAGTTATATAGGTTGTATCCCAGCATGCCATTTTGATGTGGGAAGAAAGCCTGGATTGATGCAGCTCTCAGATTCTTACAACTTTGTTTATGCCATGAGAATCGTAGACTAATGTTTAGTCTCTGATTATATATATTTTTGATAGAAACAAACAATTCCTTATAAATTGAAAAGGAACCCTAAAGGAGCAGCGAGATTCAGAACCTGAGGAAATTTGCTTGCTTCATTAAGGGCTTTTTGACCGCCTCCGTGGTGTAGTGGTTAGAGAGTCTGCCTGGAGAGTGGAAGGTCGCGGGTTCGATCCCTGGCCGCGTCATACCAAAAGATGTTAAAATATGGTGCTTGTTGGTCCCTGCCTGGCGCTCGGCATTAATGGGTACAACAAGGACTTGTCGGCTCGGAGTCAGTATAATGTGTCTGAGTGGGGCATTTATGCTTAATTGCGGCATGGTATCTCAGTGTGCTAGCATCATAAAACTAGCTTAAGTCTGGGCTAGTACAAGCAGCCACACATACACATGCATGCACATCGTCATATGAGCGAAATATTCTTAAATGAGACGTTAACCACATTTCACCTCTCCTCATTTAGGGCTTTAGCATTGCAGGAAGGTCTGGGTGGACAGGACAATAATGTGTTTCATTGACTGTGAGACAGACGATGAGCACAGGTATGGTGCTGACAAAGTGAAGAGAGGCAACTCTGTACAACATATTGCCGTCAGCGACCCGTGCATCCTATGGCAAATACTCATCGTTATAGAAACCATTTACACATATTCTTCATAAACCTGGTCGGGTAACATACTCTGTGTGTGTGTGTGTGTGTGTGTGTGTGTGTGTGTGTGTGTGTGTGTGTGTGTGTGTGTGTGTGTGTGTGTGTGTGTGTGTGTGTGTGTGTGTGTGTGTGTGTGTGTGTGTGTGTGTGTGTGTGTGCGTGTGTGGGTTTACTGCTATTCTCAAAATTAACTTTTCATGGCCATGATGGACAGGTGCTACCTGAACATATTCTGAGTGGTATATTTAATATATCCTTGATAAATCCAGATATCACAAATTTCATACTTGCCTTGGACCTTTGTGAAGGTCTGACTGAGCTTAATACAGATTTGAATTTCAATATATTTCAATGTATGAAAATTTGGTGAATGTTTACCCATGAACTTCAGTATGGTTGTGACAATCAGGGCAAACCAAGATTTGAACTGAAGATCATTGGGTTCTTGCATGTTTAAGGGATGCATCTCTGTATAGTCGTGCCACTGACCACTGCTCCTTATTTAGAATCTTGGTTTTCATCCTTGGACATTCATTAAATTCTTGGTAGTACTGTCTGTGTTTGTTGGATTTCGATTGGTTGGTTGGTTGGTTTGTTGTTTAACACGGAACTCACCAACATTCCAGCTATATGTGGCGGTCTGTAAATATTCAAGTATGGACCAGAAAATCCAGTGATCGATATCATGAGGATCGATCTACGTAATTGGGATACGATGACATGTGTCAACCAAGTCAGCAAGCCTGATCACGTTAGTCACCTCTTATGACAAGAATGAGTTGCTGTAGACCAATTCTAGCCCTGGGCCCCGTTCCTGAAAGCGATCGTAGCGCTACGATGATCGTAACTCTCATACTTTAACACAGACTTACGACAGTCGTAGCGCTACGATCGCTTTGAGGAACAGGGCCCTGATCTTCACAGGTAGTTGGTTGTTTGAATTCTCATATCCATTACACTTGCTGAAGTTATTGTACCATACTGTACAAAGGTTGATAAGTTTCTCGATTCAATTTCTAAATCTACGGAACTAGATTGCTATTTTATAAGTTGTTCTGCAATATTATACCAATCCACCAATAATTGCAGCACGTCCTACAGGCAGACTCCTTGTTATGTTCGCCAGAATGTCAATCGTACCTGTGAAGAACACCTGCTGACCATTACAACAATAACAATCATAAACCTGATCTGTATTAATGTTTAATATACATACAGGTGCTTCTACTCCTGTACAGAAACTCTGCAATAAAGTAGAGGAAATTGTCAGCTGATAGATATTGGCTCAGATGCGGAGCTAGATCCTGCTTCCTAATGAGATATTGGAAGTTGTTATGGCTTTCATTTTCATCTTAAACTTCTTTATAATTGGTGATTAATCGTATATCATTGCTTCAGGATACAATAACACATGTTAATCATACGGTTTCATGATATGATTTTGTCTGAGGATTTATATGACAATCCATTTGAAGATGATTGCCAAGAGACACATACTGCCCTTGAGGAAGCCACTGTAATGGTGTATGCATCCAAGATGTTGAAGAAGGCTCAGTGAGTGAGTGAGTTTAGATTTACGCCGCACTCAGCAATATTCCAGCTATATGGTGGTGGTCTGTAAATAATCGAGTCTGGACCAGACAATCCAGTGATCAACAGCAAGAGCATCGATCTGTGCAATTGTGAACCGATGACATATGTCAACCAAGTCAGCGAGCCTGACCACCCGATCCTGTTAGTCGCCTCTTACGACAAGTATGGGTTACTGAAGGCACATTCTAACACGGACCTTCACAGGTGAAAATGGCTCAGTAGCACATGCAGTGGAACCCTAGCCATGGGTTTAAATTCAAGCAATGTTGTTGTACAAAACACATCCAGTTGGGAAACTATCACTATGGAAAGAAATGAGCCACAACTCTGAGCCCAAGGACATGGAAGCTGAATTCAAAAGAAACAGCCAGACTGCTTATGTGTAAGGGACGGTCCACACAACAGTTGATGGAACCTGTTATGACTGGGGTTTCACTTCCTTAGTTACAAGCAGATTTTAGTACTTTCTTGAGGATTTAATCTCATCTGAAGTAAGACACCATGTCTTCAGCACACAAAGCCAGCGATCTTACCCAGATGTTTTGTGCAAACATAAAAGATTTCCTGGTCAGATGTATTAGGGCAGAAGATCTGACTACACATCAATAGTTTCCTGGTCAGATGTGTACAGACAGATGATCTGCTATACATCAATAGTTTCCTGGTCAGATGTATCAGAGCAGATGATCTGACAATACATCAATAGTTTCCTGGTCAGATGTATCAGGGCACATGATCTGCTATACATCAATAGTTTCCTGGTCAGATGTATCAAGGCACATGATCTGCTACACATCAATAGTTTCCTGGTCAGATGTATCAAGGCAGTTGCATCCCACTGTTGTCATCACTGGGACACTGATACTGCTTTAGATATATCCCAGACACCAACACAGGTTGACGACACTGGCTGCAACACTTTTATTGATAATCAATGTGTCAGAATGACCCTTGCATTGTGAACAGTTTCAAGTCCTGTTGGGAATCTATCAAGGAAACAGTTCAGATACACTTCCCAAGTTACTGCCAGGCAAATGCAGCATGCACAGTGTAGAATGGGCAGGCATCTGATTGACAATTAACAAAAAGAAGGCAAACTAGAAAATGGTGTTGACTATGAGACGCATTTTTACCATCAACAGATTATAAACAAAATGATGAAACCACATGGAATCCCAACTGTGTGTGGAAATTTCACATGCCTGAAAGGAGGGCCATAGTAACTTAATGTCTTAGTTTTATGAAGCTAGGATATTATAAATATTATCAATTTTTATCTCAAGCATGCTTCAGACAAACATACAGCAAAGGGTGTTAATTCTTTTTTTTCTACCTCAAAGAATCCTAGTTAAAGCAAATGTTAGCCTTGCTCCAAGGTTGTACTGAATGCTAAGCCCATGGATGTATGGTAATTCTATCCTTTAAAGAGGCAAGTCTAGAAAGCGAACAGTACAAGGATTAAGGTCGCCAATCTGTTATTTATTTATTTATTTTTTTTAATTTTCATTTAAACTATTAATTATTACCTTAGAGACTTGTGCAAGTCTAGGTACAAGCCAATATAGGGAATTGTCACTGACACCATTTTATGACACTGCTGCAACCTACTGACCTGCTGAAACTACTTTACCATCACAAAGTTACATTAATAAAGAATTAGTTCAGCTCTATTTCTTATTTCATTCCTTTCTTAATGCATTTATTAAAGATGAAAGACAAAATGTCAAAATTTGATAAAAAGCTGTCTCAACTGTTCAAGATAGAGTACTTTAAACACGCTATTTATGCGGCACACAATTTTGAAATATCAGAGCACAGTTATGCTGTCAGCAGTTTGTCATTGAGCATTATGTCAAATGTAAAACACAAGGGAAAAAGCAAATTTGATAGCTGACAAAAGAGTCTTTAAGGACATCAGGCATGAAACCTATCACACTCTTGGATTAAATGCCTCCAATCCAGAAAAATCTCCAATATCCAAAATGTCTTTGAAATAACTTGACAGGTCCAATATCTTGATAGCAGGCCTCTCCTCTGGTCTCGGTTCTGTCAGGGGAAGCGACCGGGCAGCTTGTTTTACAGGCATGCATTCATTAATCGTACCACATTGATCCAAAAAGAGGATATTCAGTGGCGGTAATGGCCACGGGAAGGTGGTATAAATGTCACAACATCATGTGCCGTATCTCCATCAGTGGACTGGAGAAAAGCGGGAAAAGACAGTAATCGAATAAACCTGGTGCACTTTGTCTATTTTCATCCCGGAAGCAAGAACTGTGGCACCTAACTATCATCTCCTGTCCCATCAAACAATACAAAATAGGGCAGTCTACTTGGACCATTCTCATTCTCCAAGAAAAAAACAAAAATGGGTTTCAATATTTCTCTGACTCATTGAACATTTCTGCTTTGAGCACATTCTCTGACGTGACTGGTGATGTAGATGACATTGTTTTTTTGGTTTCTCTCATCTTTAGTCAGCATGATTATTTTCACGTTCATCTCACGGTCCAGGGGGAGTTGAGAAGGTAAAGGAGATGGATGTTCTCCCAGCCAGATCTGAAATTCTATGACTATGCATGTGCCATGTGAGCCCCCTGCCGAACCTCTGACCAAATTATGGTCAGAATAGCCTCCATGTGATGCTCTCCAAACCCCATTTACAATCTCAAACACAAGCATACTTATTTATGAGGATGTTGATGGAATAAATAAATACACAAGGATGATTGCTGTCATAAGGAAGAAAGATACTACTTGTAGAACTGCATCCGAACTCAGCTAGGTATAGCCTAGCAAACATCTGTTAAATATGTATTCATTATTAAGGAGATAGGTAGAGTAGATACATGATTCACTGTCAAGAGACAGTTGACTGGGCATAGGTTCAGTGATGACAGTGATGATGGTGTGTAAGATTCTTCACCTTGATCATGACTTGCTATGTCTATGCTCTATGAAAAGTGGGGTAGTTTAGTGGATAAGCTGTTTGCTCATCACATCGAAGACCCAGGTTCCATTCCCTACATGGGCACAATGTGAACACCTTTTCTGGTGTCCCTTGCTGTGATATTGCTGGAATATTGCTAAAAGCAGTGTAAAACTAAACTCACTCACGCTATGAGAATTATACAAGAAAAGACACGTTAGGCTCTGGTAGGCTCTGAACATAGACAAAATCTACAAAAATACCTAATTTGCCTCAGGAGACCTGCTGCAGATATAAGAGATGCTTTGTTTCACTGTGGGGCAGGATTGAAGACGAAGAAACTCCCTGAGGGTCAGCTTGTAATATAATTTATTTGGAGGGTCTCAAGAGGGATTTAAGAGTGACCTTTAAATGTAGCACTGGTATTGTGTGATATTTAAAGCTTATACATTCCAAGCCCTGTATAATCTGCAAACCAATGGTCAACTGGGGATTTGACCAGAACACTGTTGTACAGAACAACCTTAGCATTAGAACAGTTATGTTAAGGTAAGGAAGTCATCTTAGCACTAAGATTGCTCTGTACAATGGCATCCAGTTGAACAGTTTATTTGTGAACACTGCAGAGATGTGTGTGCCATCAGACAAACATTTAATACCATAAATAGGAACAGCTAAGGGAGATAATAACACTTGATGACAAAGGCATACCAGTAAAGATGACTATGACTTAGTTTATTTTTTCATTTCCATTTCTGTATGTCTCAGTGGTACCCACAGATAAAAGGCAACAATAATCCAGAGGGAACATTAAAGACAATAATTATACATTGTAAGAATCCTACTTACCATTTTGCCAGTGTGCTGTAAAGGTTTTTGGTTTGAAAGATGGGTCAAAGAAGTCATCTAACGTGAACTTTTCGCCCAGTGCCTCGTCCTTGTCATCTGAAAGGTAAAGTAGAGTTGTTAGATTCAACATAGAATATCACTGGAAAATATCTTATCTGCATTTTCTTCAAAGAAACAAATTGCATTTCTTTTAATCATGGTTACAGGTGTTGATGTTTGGAGGCATCATCATCATCATCATCATCATCATCATCATCATCATCATCATCATCATCATCATCATCATCATCATCATCCAACAGTTTCATCGTCATCATCATCATACAACAGTTCCTGTCAATACAGAAGTTCTGGTGACATTGGGAGGAATATCTAGGTCCAAGGAATATATTTACCTCAACAAAAAACATATCTTAAAAAAAAACAAATTGGATCGAATGGAGCCTCAAACAATGTTATATTTCAGGCCTACAGCTGAGTCAATCTAGGCTTGAGTTGGATCCATGTGTCGTGTTTTCTATAGGGTTTGGGAGACAGACACAATTTATTGTATCATGTAATCAATACAGTAACTACCATCCCTGGCCAACACACCACTAGACGCAGACACTTGCTGTATTAGGAGTCATCAATGTATTAAACTCTTTAACTAAATGTAGATTAAAGGAACTGCTAAACCAATATCATTTTGAGAGGATAATAATATTTAATTATGTGCTTTTATTCTGGAATGTGTAACATCTGTTTCCTTGCTTAGTGGTTTACATAACTTTCAAATTTAATTATTTTTGTTTTAGCACAGAAATCTTGCTGCACTTAATCACACTGACATTTCGCGACATCCAAGAGAGATGGTATATGTGTTAGCTTGGTGCAGGAAGAATTACAGCTAATCAGTGATAACTGACACGAATTGACAAGCTTACTGCTGCAGATACTTCATGATTTGTTTCCTCCTGATTGAATTATTCTCCACTTAAATTTATAGATAATTGAATCCTGACATACAAATTGGAGTGCTGGCTGAAGGAACTGATTATTTTGTTATAAAGGTACATGTACTACATATTCTTATAACATTAACATTAGGGGAAATCTCATAAAGATTGTGAGTTTGGTTTCTGGTATGTGAGAACCACCACCTTGTTTGAGAGTTTCCTGGGGTTTTGGGGGGGTTTTTTTTTCAAATAAACAATTTCTTTGCCTTTGCATGTGTTTGTGATGGATGACACCAGTTACTCAGGGTTATAGCTTAAAGACCTCTGGTATCATCACTATTTGATACAAAACACATGATCATAATGCAGCTTTAATCACAAATCTTGGGAGCAGAGATTTCTTATGGTTATTGAATTAATATTATCATATTTCCTTAGAAAAGTATAAGATGAACACATGTTTACAATATACTATCTCTAGCTAGATGTTAGCAGTGACAAGACTGACTGACTGAGTTTGGTTTTACGCCGCTTTTATCAATTTTCCAGCAACATCACGGCGGGGCACACCAGAAATGGGTTTCACACATTGTACCCATGTGGGTATTCGAACCCGGGTCTTCGGCGTGATGAGCCAACGCTTTAACCATTAGGCTACCCCACCGCCCCAGCAGTGACAAGAGATTATACAACACATGTTATCATTTTCAAGACATTTTTGGTGCATGTTGTGACTTTGTGATAAAAGTAGTTACTTAAGATAATTACTTAGGGTATATGAAAATTACTGGTCAAAAGGTCACTTGAGAAACTATGGAAAACATCAAGGATGTTTTAACACAAGAGAAACGATTTTTCAAAATTCACCATGCTATCAAAGGAATAATGGAGGCTGGTGGTCTGAATTCAATGTTCAACACTTCCTTGATAGAGATGATAAGGGTGAAAAACAACAACAATACACTACACAGATTACTGCAGAGGCATAAAGGTAAATCACTCACTGTGTTAACAGCTTTGTATAATTGAGTGAGTGAGTGAGTGAGTATTTTAGCAATATTCCTGCAATATCACGGTGGGGGGCACCAGAAATGGGTTTCACACATTGTACCCATGTGGGGAATTGAACTCGGGTCTTCGGCGTGCGAGCGAACGCTTTAACCACTAGGCTACCCTACCATCCCTCAGCTTTGTATAAAAGTATAATAAATAGTACTAACTTAAATGATTTACCACACATAAAAAAGCATTAATTTGTAAGAAAAAATTATAATTTCTACTTGTTTAGATTTTCCCATGATTTGACAACATTTGACACCCCACACTGAGGTTATAAGGTAGTGATGTAACACTTAAAACAACAGAAGCTATAAAGCACCAATGTTTACTTATAGTCTGTTTGCATTGAAAACGTACCGATGAATGTAGTGACATACTGTCAGTGAAATGTTGTCAAATCATGGGAAAATCTAAACAATTAGAAATTAAGATTGCGAATCCTCATAATTTTACCTTGCCAACTGAACATTTAAATCTCAGAATTTTATTCAACTTAGGATAAAAGTTGTTTAACAAACGATCATAATTTCAAATCGCTGTTATTTGGTTTGTTTTACAAGGGTGAAACACCTGTACATGTAGGGTTGGTCTAAGTTAGCGCTCATCATGAACCGCACATGCATTTGTTTCACTGTTCCAACTACTGCTCTTGCCCCCTTGTAATACAAACCAATAACAGCGATTTGAATGTATGATCGTTTGTTAAACAACTTTTGTCCTACAATGAATAAAATTCTGAGATTTATATGTACAGTTGGCAAGGCAAATTTATGAGGATTCGCAGTCTTAATTTCACTTTATTTGATTTACTTTTTTGTTTAAAGTGAAATTCATCGGTACGTTTTCACTGCAAACAGACTATAGTCATACTCAACTTGGAACTTCTAACAGTAATCTCAGCAACATATTAAAGTGTTATCCCTTGCCATTGATCACAGAACACTGTGTCGCTGACAATGTCGATCTTATTCTAATTTCGGCTGCAGTTTGACTGGAAATAGCTTCACTTATTAATAAGTGATTATTAATAAATGACAGATAGAGAAAGATGCACAGTGAACTAAAAAAAATGACAGCAAACTTTAGTTATTCAAATTGCAGTAAAACTTTAGACAAACACAAAATACATTTCCATAATCATAATAAATCTCTATAATTATCTTGCCATTGATCACAGAACACTGTGTCGTTGACAATGTTGATGTTATTCTGATTTCAGCTGCAATTTGACTGGAAATAGCTTCACTTATTAATAAGGTGTTGAAAAATCCCGACACATGACAGATAACGAAAGATGCACAGTGACTCAAAAACATGACAGAAGTAAAACTTTAGACAAACACAAAATACATTTCTATAATCATAATAAATCTCTACAAAATGCAGACTTGATTGTGCGATTTTTTCCTTATAATAAGCATGTTCATGACACCTTACAAAATAGCGATGACACAAAACAGCTTCAAGAGTCCTTATCGCAGCTGTGAGAGTAGTGTTAACTATGATACTGTGTGATGGTGTCGTCCACTGTACTGTAAGATTAGATCATTTCATTAATTACTGAAAAATTATATTTCTTCTCAAGAATTAGCTAGAAGGGATATTTTTGTGCAAAATAAACCACACACAATCAGATGAAAGGTTAGTCAATGATCACCTTAAAATAACAAGAGTTGTGGCGCTGATGCATCAAATTTGGATATCTCCCCCTCCATGTCTACAAGGAACGGGGTAACATATGTTATATTTGGGATTACACTTTCTTAGTAATTAGGTGCCTGACTCTGAGGGTGTGGGTTCGAATCCCAGATGGGACTCAACCCAAAAAGTACTAGAATCTGTACTATACTAAGAAAGTGTAATCCCAAATATAACATATGTTACATTTGAACACTTTCTAAAACGGCATTGTGTATTTCAAGAAACGGAGTGGTGGGGTAGCCTTGTGGGTAAAGCATTTGCTTGCCGTGACGAAGACCTGCGTTCAATTCCCTACACGGGTACAATGTGTGATGCCTATTTCTGGTGTCTTCGCAGTGATATTGCTGAAATATTGCTAAAAGCCGTGTAAATCTAAACTCCCTCACTCCTTCTACACCATACATTTTGAAAGCTTCCCGAGACACTGAAACTACCTGTGCTGACTTGTCTCTCCTCCAAGACAAAATGTCACACCAACAGGAAATTACATCCCCAGTACTTATCAGGAATGCTGGTAACCTTGTCAACAAGTTTCTACGGCAATATGAAAACAATAGCACCGGAATATCCCTCCACCGGGTTTATCCACGATTCCATTAATATAGAATCCATTAATTAATGCCGACCTGTCACATGTAAGGCAATAGGGTTGACTGATATTATTCCTAACACAATGTCTGGCTTTGGTGAGATCCTGCAGTGTATCTTAATGAGGAACGGTAAGATGTTTCAGTATTTCTAGAATTTTATTAAACCTTGTGGACCACAGTACATGTGTCAAGCTAAAATCCGATCATCAAACTAACAAAAATATCACATTATTTACGAGTTCAAAAATCTCCTTTTGAACAAATATACCATTATATTGAATTAACAAAATGAGAAATTTGATTTTCTTTCTGTAATATGATTTTTGGGCAGTGCTGTCCGGGTCATTAGGTAAATGAGAAGGGACACTGCAGCAGCCATTGTTTTCATTCTAGGAGGAGAGCTTGTGGTTGAGCTCGGATTGACGTTTTCATCATGGATCATGTGTGGTTGATGTAATTGTCCTTGCGGGAAGCCAGGATTTTCCCTGGATCACTCAGGTTGTAAATCTTCTAAATTGCTTCCCTACTGATGAAAACGTTCTTTGCAAAAAAGCATGGCAATGTCCTTTGAGAGCGATGGCTATGGTATTTGGAGTCTTTGATGTTGTTTTCACTGATAATACCCTTCATGATATTATTTACATAGATTTCTGAGAAAATTTGTGTTGATATTTACAGGAAATTTATAAAGAAAGTTAGCAAGTGATTGTTACAGTTAATGATGTGTTGGGATATGAATCAGCAATGCTGGTTTAACGACATGAAGTGACACTGTAGTTGCTTCCAACTGACGTCATGATCTGGTTAAAAACTTAACAACACCAAGGTCGTCATGACCTCATAAGCTAGTCCTGATTCCATTGCAGAAACTTTCTCCCAATCTGACATTACAGGCTGAGAAAGATACATTATTCATTAAAAAATAATCTTGCATCACATGTAGAGATATGAGGGTGGTAGAGATACGATTGAATTGATGCACATGTCTGTAACTTCACAGATGGTCATTCTTTTTTATTGACATCTGCATTTTTATGCCAGATGATATTTTTCTTATCTACATTCAAGGGGCTGTATGGATAACAGTTTGCCACATGAGTTATTGAGAGGATGTAAAACATTGACACCAGGGAATATTGATTATACATTGAAACAGATTCTAAAGGTTAAATTGCAGTGAAAATTATATGAACGGATCACAAAAGATTATTGATGACACCAGGTGCCACTTATACAATTTGCATATAGTGAGTGAGTGAGTTTAGCTTTATGCTCTTAGCAATATTCCAGCAATATCACGGTGGGGGACACCAGAAATGGGTTTCACACATTGTACCCATGTGGAGAATCGAACCCAGGCCTTCAAAGTGAGGTGTGAACGCTTACCCACTAGGCTACACTACCGCCCCTTTGAATAGAAATATAGTGTATAGAATGTGACTTAGAGCATTAGTGGGCAGCCTGTAAAATGATATACAAGGTACAACCAGTGGTTGATAGTGTTATAGCACTTCTTTCTGAGTGAGTGAGTGAGTGATCTGGGTTCTGTGTTTCAGTTTCAGCATGTCAGTATAAACTTCAAGGTGATATTTTAAGGGGACAATACTGAGACTGAAAGATGGACAGATGATAACGTAAAGTGGTGATCAGCAACAGTTGACACAATGGCACGATGACACAATGACACGATGACACAATGGCACAATGATACAATGACACAATGGCAATGGCACAATGAGACAATGACACAATGGCATGATGGCACAATGCCACAGTGATGGCACAATGGCACAATGATACGATGGCACGATGACACAATGGTCAATAGGTACAATTGATACAATGCCAATGAAAAAATGCACATTGTGTTTTCAATCAAATACTGCACTGCACACACCTTCGTAGCATCATTATGACCACATTTTCAAGTGCAGAGTCACGGACTGAGCAGCCACAGAAAAAAGTTCATTGCATTGAGGAAAAATATCACAATGCATCAGAGCATGAGGAAATTGTTCACAAATACCAGGGCAGCATCACGAGAGAACAAAGACATGGGGTGTAACTAAGCAGTGCCATGTCTGAGGCTGCACAGGACCCTCCCTATGTGAAGCCAGCATGAAATGAGATACAATGATTCTCCATGTTCCACCCCTGTGTAAATGTATTGACCACTCTACTGTATCTTCATTGCATTGAACAGAGCATGCACATTGATTTCTGAAGCATCCAGCACCAATTCTTATACTTGACAGGAGAGGTCTGTTATCATAATAAATAGAAGCAGTTTGATTAATTCAGTACACAGTTGTATATTAAAGGTCACTGTTGAACTCATTGGGAGAGTGTAAATAATGAGAAGAGATATTAATCCTGCTATTAATGATTCATTTCTTCTCTCAAGTTTGGTTGACATGATGCTTGAATTGGAAGCACTTTTAGAGCTTTGATTCACATATACTACTCAAAATGAGTTAAGGACATTCAAAACAGATTAACTATGGTAACATGAAAGAATCAGGTGGTCCTTATGTTCTATTGATTAGTATATAAAATCTGTGTGAAAACATTTCCATATGTTGACCTATGATGTGATCAAATATACTAAAAGATATGTCTTCTTTGATGGGCATTTGTTTGCTTGACAACGACATTAGAATCTAAGTGGAAAACGTCACCTGTCACAGAATAAAGAAATTGTATATCCATAAAATCATCACCATTCTACAAGATATGTGTTCAAAATGTTAAGGGTGGTTGTAAAGCATGGCACTGAATGTTCATTTCCAAAGATGGGTACAATTTTACAAAAGCCTTTACATGATACGGAGGCAGAATATTATTGGTTAAAAACACAAACCCTCATCAACATTCTTAAATATTCGAGCATATTATTCAAAATCTCTTTCCAAATTCCTCTTTATTGTTTTGGAAAAAATTCAGTATTAAGCTTGTTGAACCACAAATGAAAATATTGACATTTTTAAAAACTCATGGTATGAGGCAAGACTTAAGCATTGTCTTTACTGTTTGGGGTTTACATTGGGTATCAACACTCAGGAAACATTAGAATTGTCATATTTACATCATGATGCTATAATGCCCGTGAAGGTGATGGTTAGAATTGGTCTTCAGCAACCCATGCTTGTCGTAAGAGGTGACTAACAGGATCGGGTGGTCAGGATCGCTGACTGGGTTGACACATGTCATCATATCCCAATTGCATAGATCAATGTTCGTGCTATCGATCCCCGGATTGTGTGGTCCAGACTCGATTATTTACAGATTGCTGCCATATAGCTGGAATATTGCTGAGTGCGGCGTAAAACTTAACTCACTCACTCATGATGCTATAAAGTAACATGTTTGAAAATCAGCATCCAAGGAATGCCATTTCAGCATTATGAGATTTTTCCAGACGCATTATTTTGATATCAAATGTCACCACAATTCATATCTTCTTTCAAATGTCAATAATGAAAATAATGCTACCTGCTACTTGTGAAACACTTCAGTTCAATTATGTGAAACAAAATCTCTGACGCAAGATTCTTGTTGCCATGACTATCTATTCCTGCTATGTAATCATTCCATTTCCTATCTATATACATGATGGACACATTGACAGATGACGTGTAAGCATACAATACAAAAATTGATTTGTATATTAGCGATTCTCAGATCTGATAAAGATTCAATCTTTGCCATGCTCCAGACAAAGAATACTAGGAACAGCTTAAGAAATCATTTGTCTGCATTCAACACATAAACGGCTGGTGATAGAAAGAAGCATTCTCTGAAGGCCTTTGAAGATGTCAAGGTAGTTTAGTTACAGAGGGACTTCTTCAGCTGTAAGCTGGAATTGAGGTGCATCAAAGGGAGAGAGAATAATTCATCCAAAGTATTTACCTTTGAAGTATCTGAGCAGTCTGTCAGCACATGACAGGATATAGGAACTCAAACTGTTATCTCAGGTAAACTTTGGGAATAGACTGTTGTCATATCAGGGAAAATATAGACACTGGCTGTCATCTCATGAGAAATGGGGTGGTGGGGTCGCCTAGTGGTTGAAGCATTTGCTCTTCACTCACTCACTCACTCACTCACTCACTGGGCGTTGGGGTAGTCTAATAGTTAAAGCGTCCACTCATCATCATGCTTAAGACCCGGGTTCTATTCCCCACATGGGTACAATGTGTGAAGCCCATTTCTGGTGTCCCCCACCATGATATTGCTGGAATATTGCTAAAAGGGTGTAAAACCATATTCAGTCAGTCAGTCAGATGCACTAATACTACAAGAGGGTAGATTGTGGGTAAAGAGAGTTATCAGATCATAGAACAAATACTCCTGGGCCTAGATTTTCGAAGCTCTCTTAGTGCTAAGATAGTCGTAAGTTAATGTTATGGCACTTACGACTATCTTAGCGCTAAGAGAGCTTCGAAAATCTAGGCCCTGTTTTGTTATCAGATGTGGACAAATATGGGCAAAGATTGTTATCAGATAATGGAAAAAATGACATGGACTGTTATTTTATTGGGAAAGCATCAACATAGACTGTTAGCTCATTAGTGAAACTTTTAGCATAGGTAGATGAAAAGAATGTTCTGAAATGATGGGAAACACTATCAAAGACTTATCTGGTGAGACCCAGGCTTGGGAAAATATGGAGGAAGACTGTTATCTCACAAGGGAAATTTTCAGCACAGACTGTCATCAGATGAGGGAAAATTTGGGGAAAGACTATTATCTCACAGGGGAATTTTCTAAAACAGACTGTTATAAGATGAAGGAAAATATTGGCAAAGACTGTTATCTCACACGGGAAATTTCCATCATAGACTGTCATCAGATGAGGGAAACTATGGGCAAACACTGTTATCTGTCAGGGAAAATTTCCAGATTGTCATCAGTTGAGAGAAATATGGGGAAAGAATGTTATCAGGTGAAGGAATAGGCACTACCCTCCTGAAGCTCTATAAAGAAGAAGAGCCACGGTAGTGACAGCATGTGTCCAGATCTGTTAGTTTGCCTCCAGGCAACAGGGATCACATCTTCATTAAGAATTGCCTACCACCTTTTAAAAGATTAATGGTTTCATGGGGAGGTTGCACATAAAAAACGTACAGAGATTAGCCTGACTTTCAATAAGTGATGGCGTTCTTCCAGCAAGTGTCTTTCTTTTAACAGATTAAGACCTTTAACAAAACATTCTTCCTTTTTAAAAGCATCAATCATGTAAAAACAACTGTTTCTGTCCTCTTTTTGTAAATCCAGCAAATCAATAAAGCTGATGTTGTGTTTCAATGTGATTAAATGTAATAGCTGCAATGTACAATGTCGGAAAAGAGGTGGTGAGGTAGAATGTTGGTCAAACGAGGCATTCACTAGTTATCCTGATAATCAACATGTCAAATTTATTTCAACATTCATACTTCGGTTGTGAGTGAGTGAGTGAGTGAGTGATGGGGGAAACCAGAAATGGGCTTCACACATTGAACCCATGTGGGAATCGAACCCAGGTCTTAAGCGTGATGAGCGGATGTTTTAAGCATTAGGCTTCCCCACCGCCCAGTGAGTGAGTGAGTCAGTTAGTCAGGCAGTCAGTCAGGCAGTCACGCAGGCAGGCAGTCAGTCAACAGTACGACAAATGACCACTTGATTGAGCCCAACCAATCACCTGTTTAGTAACATATCATTATCTGAGACTGGCGTACACTGAAATACATAATAAGCTAACCTCCCTGCATGTGAACCAAACGTAGGGACTTACTTGGTGACAGCAGGACTACAGCAGTGATGATAAGAGAGCAGACGACGACAATGACGAGAAGGGCGATGGCAATACCACGCCAATTGCGCTGTGAGGCTGCATTTCCCACCAACTCCTGCAAAACAACACAAGTTCATTGTTATACTTGGAAAGTCATCAAAATTGTCACTGGTACACAGAACACTAAATAGACTTTGAGACATTGTCAGATTTGACAAACATACTGGATGCTATATCACTGCAATATTTCAACAAGGAAACACAATGTTGCACTTGTATGATGAGACTGGATACTATGCAATATTTCAACAAGGAAACACAATGTTGCACTTGTATGATGGGACTGGATACTATGTATTATTTCAACAAGGAAACACAATGTTGCACTTGTATGATGGGACTGGATATTATGCAATATTTCTACAAGGAAACACAATGTTGCACTTGTATGATGAGACTGGATACTATGTAATATTTCAACAAGAAACACAATGTTGCACTTGTATGATGAGACTGGATACTATGTAATATTTCAACAAGGAAACACAATGTTGCACTTGTATGATGAGACTGGATACTATGTAATATTTCAACAAGGAAACACAATGTTGCACTTGTATGATGGGACTGGATACTATGTATTATTTCAATAAGGGAACATAATGTTGCACATATATCAGAAATCTGAATAGCACATTTGCAATATTGCTGTAAGCTAAAATAACAGGAAATAACAGATTTCTAAGCATTAAATTATGTAAATTAATTTGTGACCACAATATGTGTCCAACCATCAAAGTTTCTATTACTGTTCTAACAATTAACACTTATAATGCAAAGAATCCATCTACAACACATTTATCCACAAATATGAGCAACTATGTCCTTATTCCTGGACATTATTATATCCTTGAATCTGTTTCCTTGGCAACAGTGTTCATGTACCTTGTCCATATAACAGGTTTTCACTCTCTATGTTATAATTAACATAATTAGCCCTCATTATCTAACAAACATTTGTTTACCACACTGGAATGTACCATACGACCGTGTTAACGAAGCACTCACACTAGATCCTCATATGCCCCACACTAACACACACAATTCTCTTCTAATTACACTGTTTGTTTGTTGATGAACCCCATGTTTTGTCTGTCTCACAGTCCCTGAACCATAATATTCTCCCTACAGCCTAGCCTTCCATGCAGTGATAGAGCCCTAAATTAAGTCTAAATTTCCCCAGGTCTGAATCTCTGGTCTCCTTGGGGCTCCTTTTCAATTTAAATGGGTTTATTTGTTACAATCAAAATTATATATAGATTCAGAGACTAAGCGTTAGCTTACTCCATGCTGTGGATGATGAAAAGCATCCAAGTCCAATTGTTAAAAGAATCAAAGAAAGACTATCTCCCACACAAAACATGCAAACATCAGATCCGACACAGAAAGCTATTACTAGCAATATTATTGAACTTCCCTCCCCAGATCTAATGGAAGTTACAGCAGGTATGACTGCTGGCAGGGTGTAAAACAAAAGTACAAAGCAATTGAGTTTATTTCTTCTTTATTGATTATCAGCATTGTTTGTTTTGCTGTTCTAATGGGTATCTGCTATAATGACTTGTTAAATCAAAGCCATGTTAACTTGTGTAAAAAGGGTCATGAAAGAGATATACAAATTCTGATAAGGCAAACCTTAGTTTCTGTCAATATACACTGACTACAATGGATGGAAACAGTTTCAAAGCAAAATGAAATTTATTTACCCTTTATGAGGTGAGGTGAAATTGGGTTTTACGTCGGCGTGAGAATATTTCGCTCATATGACGACGTGCATGCGTGTGTATGTGTATGTGCAGCTGCTTGTACTAGCCCAGATTTAAGCTGGCTTTATAGTGCTAGCCCACTGAGATACCATGCCGCAGTGAAGCATGAATACCCCACTCAGACACATTATACTGACTCCGAGCCAACCAGTCCTTGTTGTACCAATTAATGCCGAGGGCCAGGCAGGGACCAACAAGTACCATATTTTAACGTCTTTGGGTATGATGCGGTCGGGGATCGAACCCGTGACCTTCCGCTCTCCGGGCGGACGCTCTAACCACTACACCACGGAGGCAGACTTACCCTTTATGTATTCAGTCATGACTTGAAAGGATATACACATATAGAGACACTGATTTCATCAAATAACATGGTATGGAAATATGAAACATTAGCTAGATAATAATCTGTTTCAACTGACTGTCAAAACAAGATCCAACTGGCATCAAAGGTGAGTGAGTGAGTTTATATTTTAATCAGATTTTAGCAATATCCCAGCAATATCATGGCAGGCGACACCAGAAATGGGCTTCACATATTCTACCCATGTGGGAAATCGAACCCTGGTCTTCGGCATGATGAGCGAACACTTTAACCACTAGGCTACCCCACCCCCCATGCAGCAAAGGTAAAATTGTCATGGGAAATATATAAATGGATCATTTAAATTCAGTGTTGACACCAGGTGTTCATGTCCATAGAATTATGAAGGATTCAGTCAGAATTCTACCTACTGTGTACAGCAAAAGCATGTTCTTATGTCATACTTCTCATTCTAGAGGGGCGGTGGGGTAGCCTAATAGTTAAAGCGTTCCCTCGTCATGCCGAAGACTCAGGTTCGATTCCCCACATGGGCACAATGTGTGAAGCCCATTTCTGGTGTACCCCGCCGTGATATTGCTGGAATATTGCTAAAAGCGGCGTAAAACCATACTCACTCACTCACTCTCATTCTAGACTCGCTAACCTACTTTTGTATATTTTTTGTTTAACATTGCACTCAGCCTGGACCAGCAAATCCAATGACTAATGTCATGAGCAATATTCCAAGCAGCAAAGGTTACACAAGACACCAAACTGACCACCAGTCCATTAAGTTGTCTCCTCTGGCAAGCATAGGTTGCTGGGGACCTATCCTAACCCATATAATCCCCAGGCAATCTAGTGCTGTAATTTGTCCTATGTTATAGACAGGATGAGATTTGGCTTGTGTGCCCAGGGTTTTATAGTCCAGTATGATACGAGGGTTGACTGATACGTTTTGATCTTCACAAGAAGAATCTGCCTGAAGTGGAATCTTCTGTTGAGGACATGACATGATGTCATTGCTGTAGTCATCCACAAAAACGTAAGTCTCTTGAGTGCAAAGTGGATCAGTGTAATAAATCAGCCAAAACAAGCAAGTACTGACCTTTGCAAAATTGATGAACACTAGGAATATACCTAGCATAGTGTGCCCAGTATCAGAGTATCTACCTTGCGGATCAAGCTCCTGATAGACTAGGTGATGATAAGAATTGGTACCAGTACCTAAATAAACACGGCCATGTCTTGAAGTTCATTCCTTTCTCAACACCAAACATGCATGTTACATAACTTTGTACAGGAGAATTCCTTGCATGTTCTAAGGATGGTAATGAGTGTGTTCGACTGAAGCATGATTAATGGGATGCTTGTTATAGGGTGACGTAATATGGGGTTTAACGACTCACTAACAAAATGATGACATCCATTTGTGTGTGGCTGCTGGTACTGGTTGTGACTTATACTGCTAGGCCAATCAGAGAAACCGTGCCATGGTATAACACGGATACTCCACTCAGATGCAATAAATTATGACCTCACCAAATCCTTGTTTTATTCCCTTTATGCAAGACATCGTGCATGAAACCAGACTGATACTACGTTTAATACATGTATCACACAGATTATATCCCACTGGAACCAGTGTATATCATTTGGATGATATAGCAAATTGGTACCAGTGTATTACATATATCCCACAGATGATATATCAAGAACCACTGACCTACCAATGGTATTGTATCACCTCACTGGAATAGTACTATCTTTAAACATCTGTTTGGCGAAGCTAGAGGACCTACCAATGACCCTCCCAGGGGTGGAAATAACTTTAACATTGCTAATGTACTCTGTAGTCTCTCGTACAGACCCTGAAGCAAATATATCCAAGAAAGCCCACACAAGTCTAGAAAATGTGGCAAGTCTAGATTTCCTCAGCTTCAGGGTCTGTACCAATCTGCTGAAAATGAAGAAAGTCTCAGGGCTCCTTTCCGTTATATATTTTTTTTTTTTACTATGAACTTTTTTCAGTAAAATATGTTCATTTCAGAGACTAGTTGTTAGTCTAATGTACTATGGTACAGTGGGACATATAAAATCACTTGCCCTGATAATTTGTCCACTATACCAGCCATTTTCTTGTTGATTTTTTAAATAAACAACATAATTAACATTGGAATATCAACTGGACACCGGTACAGCATGATATACAAATTTGCTTGCCCGACAGAAAAAAACACTGGACTCGGGCGTGGGGCAATGGGTTATTTCCACCCCTGTTTCCACTCTCATGTCAACTCTCTGTCCACACAACCATGAAAGAACTCTATGAAGACATAAATCATACATGATATATACCTTGTTCATGCAAGACTATGAAGTATATATCAGATATATACTACAATGATCAGACAACGTGCTAAACTGTTGGGTAAAAGGTATGATGGTAAGCATCCTGCATACTACTTAATCTATCCTGGCATCCATTTTAAGTATGTTTTAGTGTACACAGCTGGTACAAGTCAGTTAGTCTGGGGTTTTTACATAGAATTTATGACCATGCGTGCTCACAAGTTAAGGCCTAAACATTTTACTGCTATTGATTAATTGTCAAATGCAAGAAAATAGTCCCCCAAATTCAACATTTAAATATTGGCATCTGTGTACCATGATAAGCAATATTCAAGCAATATCATGGGAGGGGACACCAGAAATGGGCTTCACACATTGTGCCCATGTGGGGAATCGAACCCGGGTCATCAACGTGATGAGTGGACGCTTTAACCGCTAGGCTACCCCACCACCCCTTGTACACTGCACTGCAGCATCAAGAATACTACACAACAGAGCTCACTTCCAGACACACCAACAGGGAGATGGCACCCTCAAATAAATAAATATCAGCAAACATACACACATTGTTTTCATACATAATCACAGTATATGTGGTTTCAAGAAACAAGCAATGGCTGGTGTAGTTTCAGA